TATCAAAACTGGTCAGTAAAATGCATTGGTCTTTATTTAACATTCACATTGTTTTCACTTCATAACTGTTGGGTCCACATGTACTCTCATTTTGCATCATTTTTAAAAAGAAAAACAAATATTGAAATATACAGGATCTGTTTAAAAACTGGTGAAAATATATCATTTGAAAGAAGAAATCTTTCCTTTGATTAATCCTCCGCATGGTATATCAACATATTCTGATTGGCAGTCGAACAAGACACTTTGAACTGTACATGATATCGATCAACAGCGAACAACCATGCAAGTATTTGGACCAGAATGGATGTCGGGTTTTTCTTTTTTTTTTGCGTTTACAATGGACAAATGCTTTGTTCTTTGGGAGCGACGGACAACATCCACAACTGATGGTAGCTGCGGAACATTACAGGCATGGCAACAGGTTGACGGCTTTTCTTTTGGACAATAAATGATTTGGAAAAATGTATAATTTTATGTCAAAATTATTCGTTTCAGTACCAATGAAAACTGGCCAAAGATCAGCGAAACATGCTGTGAATATTTGTGGTCCCCAGAAATGTTGATGGTAATGACACACTGATCACACTCTCCTACTGTAGCACCACCATCAGCCCATTAATAAGTTTATTTAAACACCTCATGTTGACCTGTGATGCACAACCAAGGCAGGTGGTAAAGCACAGTTTGGTTTTGACCATAGCTAGCAAAGAACATATTGTCAATTTGTTATAACATTCTGACATGGACTCTGAATCGGTTGCTATATAACATCACCAAACATTAGAGGTCAATATAACCAGTTAAAAAAATCCTTTAAAGCCAGAACTAATGTGTAGGCATGTTGCTGTGCAGGTTTCAATAAAGACTAACTTTGATTGTGGGCATAGAAGAAGAGTTGTCTGTCTTAGCTACAGCATATGCCATCTTCTCCTTGCTCCTTGCTGATGAGCCTTATCGTTACAACAACTCTTTACTGGAACAGATTTGATTTAGAGTGAAAGGAAACATCAGATAGTTTCAATTACTTCCAATTAATATATCTTGACCTTCAGGCAAAGCTATGTGTCTTTGAAAAAATGCCATGCTAACCAGTCAACTTGGTTGAGTTAGACCCAGGCTAAGGGTTAAAGGTCATATTTTCTGAAGACATTGCTTGATGCTGAATTGCTCAGATGCTTCCTTGGCATTCCTTTAGTTGAAAACCTAGACACTGGACTTTACTGCTCCATGTGTAACTATCAGCTGATTAACTTTGCTTGATGTATGGATAAAATCAGAATGCAGCTTTGTGTGACGGCTGTATGTGTCCAATTCCATTCAAATTTCTCATTCAGAATATGGTTTAACCAACAGCTGAGGTTGTCTGATCTTTGAAGGTTTCTAGTGATCCAGGTCTTTGTATTACAAGCTTAATCTGAAAACCATGAACAGCTAAGGTTGTCGAGTGCCCATCTTTGAAATCCAACCAATTCCAGAGCAGCAAAATATGGATGACTGGATGGATGGATAGATGGACATACAAAAACATAAAACTGTCTGAAACAGAGATGGATTGGTATCAGTGAAGCTACAGATCCAAAGGCAACTGGACTGGTTAAAGATCTTGGAAGACGTTTCACCTCCCCTTTGAAAAGGCTTCTTCACTTCTAAAAGATCTTCAGCCAGTCCAGTTGCCTTTGGATCAAGCTTTGTATTAACTCTGACCTGGATGACTGAGAACCTACACAGACATTGAAGCTACAGGAAGTAAAAGGGACGAGATTGATGACAGCACAAAGCAGAGACTAATCATTCGACTTCTGGACTAAATCATTTCCACCGTCAGACGTGAACGATCGCTCTGAGAGCAGCTGAATCCTTTCCCAGTTTGCCTTCTTCTGCTCAGTCAAACAACATCCACTATTTGTCAAACCACTCTGAACAAAGAAACCCAACAAGAAAAACTATTCTCTTGTGTGAATCTCAGAATGTCTGCAACACAAGATTTAAAAAGAAAGAAAAACCTACTACCAAAAATAGCCCTTAATGATTTCAGTGGTGAAGCTGTTGGTATCTTTAGACACATACACTACGTTGCATATGTGAATCAATCCTCATGTTTCCAGAGATGACCCTCCATCTTTGGCGTGATGTAATGAAGAACGTACAGTACTGTAGAGATATTGGTCGTGTACAGATTTGGCTGAATTCTAACATTAAAGACAGACACTTGAACCAGCTTGGTGTGATTAAGTACAGTACGATAAATATTTCAAGAGAGAACCAAAGAACCATTAAAGTCAGGATACTTTAAACTTTAAGTAGGGCTGTCAGCATTAGCTAGTTAATCGGGATTAATTACGGCCTGAAATGAAAGCATTAATGATTCATCACATGCTATTTTGTCCCTTTAGGCTCTCCGTAGATAGTTGTCCTCAGTGTCTCCCTGTAGTCTCAGTGATGTAAAAGAAGGACACTGCTGCATCTTTGAATGTCTCATTTCACTTTAACAAACTCTCAGACAGCTCAGCTGACGAGTCCAAAGTAATATCCACCTTATGACATCACACGTTGACCTTTGGTACCGTTCCTTTGAGCTGTTTGACTTCAGTTTTAGATCTGTGATGAGTTCCTTTTTCCGTGACTAAGGTAATGTCTTAGCCTTTGCTCTACCAGAAGGTCCTCACTTTATTTCGAAATAAAAGCTGGATTGAATTGAAATAGCTTTTAAAGCATTATCGGCTCTTTTTAAATGCAAGATAATGGAATTTCAAACATGTGATTAATCGCAATTAACTATCCAAATTTAGTGATTCATTGATCAAAAAAATTGTAATCATTTGACAGCCCAAATTTTAAGACCAGTGTGCGAGAGCAGACATCTTTACTATCAATTAATGTATCCTGTAAACATTTTAGAGCTGCTTTGTTAGCAAAAGGCAATTTTTTGTAAATCAAAATGTGCTTTCAAATGGTTGATTATTTCACCGATACCTCAGCATGATTACTGAATTTATGCTCATGAAACTGACCAGTAAGCAAGTTTAAAGACCTCAAACCATGAAATTTTGTGATCTTCCCAAAGCAAAAACCATCAGTGTGAATGAAATGGTTTAATCCACTTGTTTTCTTTAGATATTATCCATTTAAGATCCTAGGAATTTGCGACAATGCATAGAGAATTTCTCAGCGAGTACAAATGGTTTATGACAAGCTGCCGGTATAGATTGATTGACATCTGACTTTGAGATCAATGGAAAGCGGATTAATGGAACAAAGACAACAGTGAGCTGTAGGGTGAGTGTCCAGGAGATCTGGCATTTGGTGGAGTTGGTTTTGAAACAATAGACAAAGTCATCCATGTGTTCCTGGTAGCAGTTCATATCTGGTGCTCCATGCTTGCAGCTCTATATCAGGATTTGCTTGACTTAATACATGCCACAAATTTTGCTTTAGATCCGCTCAGCTTGGTCACGTGTTGGCCTGAACGGAAAAGGCTACCCAATCCAACAAGCTCACAATAAGGGTGTTTTATATACTAAAAATTGGGCTTTTCGAAAAACGGCACCTTCAGCTTGGTCAGTGTCGCCAGGTATACCAGCATGCTTTGAGCAATACATCAGCGAATAACCATACACAACAGCTGTGTCTCGTTTCGGGGGTTGAATTCCTTGAAGGACCCACCCTTCATCGACCCCTCAGGCCAATCTGAAATGAGAAGATTTGGTCTATGGTGGAAACCCTGTTTGCATCACCAACTATCCCCCCTTGCCACATTTGAAGGAGCCTTCAAAATGGGACAGCTTGTGATACTCAGACACCTTCTTATGCGTCCCCTGAACAAACGTAGCCCCTGAAATGGGACCTATAGCTAAAGATTCATTTTGGGGATTTTTGCCTTTATTTAGACAGGGCACTGATAAATTTGGAGAAAGTGGGGAATGACATGCTGGGAAGGTGCCGCAGGTCAAACTTGAGCCCAGGCCGCTAGCTTGGAGGACTGTCCTCAGTACATGGGGCACGACCTAATCACTAGGCCATCAGCGCAGAAATATCAGGGAATTTGTAGGATATTTATCCCAAAGCATGGGAGTAATTATGGACCTTTTTTCTGGCAGTTTTCTTTACTTTCCATTCAATACTAAAAAACAGGCAGTGTTCTCTTTGAGGAGGTGTTACTAACTAGCTGGCAGTTACTTAAAATTTACAATTTCACCGTTCAGTTACTCTTAAGCTCAGTCATTGATCTATATCTTATCTGTTAAATGTCATACAAGAAGACATTTTTGGTTGAAGTTGTAAAAGCAGGCACATTTTTAAGAATTTTAAGGAAGCTTTGCTTGCAATTTCTTCTGTTCCTGTTTTTACTTGTATCACCCCAAATCATTACAGAAGTTATTTCAGGAGACTTCGACACCATTGTGGGAGGCCCAACATAATCCAATACGATCAAGAATTTGGCAACAATGGCAATTGAAAATTCCTTTTACAGGCAGAAACCTTGAGCAGGACCAGACTTACTGGTGATGACAAAAAGTGAAATGGAAAATGTCTTTGGCTGTGTTGCATATTTTTTGGGATTGAAACAACATTTCGACAAAATGTTTTCTAACAAGGCTGGACCTTCTTTTGGTTCATACATTTCTTGAAAACCCAAGTATGTAGCTGCACCCCGAACTCTTTTACTAAATTGTCACAATTGTTTGCAAAACCACCAACTATAACAAAGACTGGAGAACCAATCACTGCTTTGTAATTCCAGTCTTTCAGGAGGATAAAGTATTTGGCCGTATCCATGTTAGCATTAAGCTCCAGCATAAGCACCTTACCACCAACACATGGATGATTTCACTGCATAATTTCTTGTGACTAAATTATGAACTCAACTAAATTTGTACAAAAACTCCTTGAACAGGAGGCTGCGTTATGAGTACAGCTCACCCAGAGAGAATGGGAATGTGCCTGAGTCCTGTTCCATGTCCTGTTGGGTCCGGTCTTGTCCCTGTCCAGTATCAGTATCAGTCACAGGGGTCCTGGCAGTGGGAGCAGTGGCTCATGTCTTCAGAGTAAAGCTCCACCTGGATGGTGATGCTGTAGAAACCAAACTTTGTGTTGAGCAGATCGGTGGCCTCCTGCAGCACAGACTGAGCATCGGTACCCTCCTCTGATTATAAGACAAAAATAACACAGTGAGTATGAACGTTTTGTTTTATGGCCTTTCTCTAATGTCTTTATTCTTCTCATCATGAATGTAGACTAAATTAGAGCAACACAGGTGGAAGAGAGCACATTTAAAATTCAAAACTCAATCGGTGTGAAATAAATGCCCCTTGAAGGTGACACCGAAACAGTTGATAGCTCTCACGAGTCGCATGGAAATTTTCCCCCATATGCACATTTTGCACTCCCACTAAAATACATAACTTTAAGCTGAGATCTTTTATTTTCCTTCCATTCATAAATTATTTCAGTTTCCTGGGATCAAGAGTTAACAAAAGTTCATTTACTCAAGGACTATACAGGTTTGATGTGGTTGTACTTTACTGTCATTCCCATGTTATATGACTTTATACTTCATAAAATTTAATGGGGAAATGTACTTTGTTCAACACTTGCTGTACTTTGCTTATTCAGTATAACACTCAAGAAAACATGCACATCCAAACCAAAGAAGGACAGGTGCTAAATCAAGCAAATGAGTCGCTTGAACACTACAGGGCGCCAAAATTCCAGAAATGTATTTCATCATCTTGACATCAACAAACAGCTTTGTGAACCTTGTAGGTCAGTAATACTATCACTACAGACCTTTGACAACAATGTAGAACTGTCAGCACAAAATGAAAGATGTGTTTTTAAAATACAATACAATGTACATCACCCTTCATTCTTCGACCTTCAATTACCAGGATAGTCTCATCTTTTACTCTACTGTGCTGTTTCCTAATTTCCCAGTCCTCACCAGTCAGCGTAGGTCTTAAATCAGTGTCTGTAACTCACCTATAGCCAGGTGAACGGAGACCAGTGACTGGCCCAGAGTCAGAGCCCACAGATGCAGACTGTGCATAGACTTCACAGCCTTCACCGACAGCAGTACCTCCTTCACGGAATTAAACTCTATTCCTTTAGGAGATCCTAAAAAAAAAAAACAGGCTCCACATTTATACCCAACATAACAAATCTGTACATATTTATCCTGAATTTAAATGTATTCATTTATACCATAAGTCTATTAAGCAAGCTCAGTATGTAGAAACATGGAGCAAACGGAAGTCTGTAAGTGTATCCCCTTTCAACAGCAAGACACAGTTAAGTCTTCAACACAAACCAGAAAAATATTAAGAATTTAAATGAATAAAAGGCAATATAAAAATATACATAAATAGGAAAGAAGTTAAAATAATCAAATGATTACAATAAAATGTATACAATTAAAATCAATTAGAATGCATAAGACAACATGAATACATTTTCTAAAGTTTAACTTGATTTTAAAATGTAGTGTCTGTTTTATCTGTTTAACAAGAAGATATGTTACATTTATTAACTAACTATATAAATCTGCATGTCCTCAAATTAATTCTGGAAAGATATTTTGTTATTTTCAATGATCTGAGCTAGAGGGATAATTGAATAGAAGTGGCCCGAGAATAGAGCCCTGGGGAACTCCACAACATTTCTTGTAAATTCTGTTTTTTAATTTCTTATAGGCATTAAGTAGTCCCTGTTGTTTAAATATGTTGTTCAATTTAATTCAAAGTTTCTTCTAATTTCTTCACATCTTGGTTATTAAATGGTTTTGCTGCAGTCAGTGTCAAACGCATCTAAGAGATCAAACAACACCTAACACTCAAACTTTTCCTTTGTCTTGTTTTTTCTCCTTTTCCTTTATTTTCAAGTGCTTTTGTTCAATATAAGTTATCTACGTGTTCATTTTAAAAGAGTCCTTGTTGGCTAAATATATTACACATTATATCTAATATTTTATGCACCAGTGGTTCTGTAGATTGTATTTCCCCCCCAGGGATCTGACCATCTGCGCTCTAGTTCTTTGTTTCATTTTAACTTCAACTTTGAAACAGGCAACTGAGCTGTCACCAGTGAAGTGTCACAAAAGCAGTGGGATCTGTGTAAAAGGACAAAATTCTGGTGCTAATATTGGCTTCTCTCTGTGAAGCATGTGTCAATAATGTGACAGCTATATCATCTACAGATGTCTGTGGTGATTTAATCAACTAAAGACTGACTGCCTGACTGCCTTCATTACATTAAATATGCTCTGAATCTTCTCATGAAGTCACAGATAATGACAGTCCTTTTAGTCAAGTTATAACTTGACAGCTTGATTACAGCTGCCTACAGACGAAGAAATAAACCCTTTGTGTTTGTCAGAAGTACAACCACAGTGTTGTCTTTAGGGAAAAGTACTGCATTTTTTGTGTATAAATGTTCTTTTGCGGAGAGCTTTGTGAAAATAAAGCCCCTCTCATGTCTGTTAAATGTGAAGCCACAGCTAGCAGCTAGTTAGCTTACCTGTCCAATTTTTTAAGAAGCTTCACCAATACCCATGATGCTCACTTATTTACATGTTGTATCACATCTTTGTAATCAATAAAAATAAATGGTGCTTGGTCAAGGGACTTGTGTTAACTGCATCTAATGGGTACTTTCACTTATTAAAACTTTACAGTGAGGTTTCAAGGGGAAAAAAAATTGGGCTAGAGTTTTTGTACGGATGCAACTAACAAGATCAAATATACTGATATCTAAGTAAAGTACCTTCCAGTAGTATCCTAAAGACGTCTCTGAGGATTGTGACGGTGGTGCAGAGGACAAAGACGGAGAACAGGAACGTACAGATGGGATCTGCAATTTTATACTCGGGCTGTAAAAGAGGAAAAAAATAGAGTTACCGAGTGCACACAAGAGACATCAGACGGTGTTTGTTTCAGGTCACAACAAAGAGAACATGTTGCAAGATGACTGAAAAGCTTTACCCACTCTGAATAAATTAAAGACGACAAACTGGCTTCACATGAAATCACATCACGTTGTATTTTATATTCAACATGTAGGATTATTCTATTGTTTTAACTTGTTTTTTTGTGTGTTTTTTGAGAAGTAGGAAAGCAACATAAATCATCTACATCAGTAAAAGTGAAAATATACCAGAAAATACTCCATACTACTACATGTAAAAGTCCAAGATGAAGTAATTTGAATTTGACAGAAATGTCACGAGCTAAATGTGCAATGTCTTAACTTAAAGTACTCATTCTTACATTAGATATTCTGTAAAACTTTAAATAAAGGCCCAACCCAAAAAAAGACCCTAGTCCCTTTTACTAGCCTGGTGTTGCTGCAAGTTTTGATACACAAAGGTATCAAAACTAAGTAGAAAAAGTAGCACAGCAGGTTGGCATAGCTGCTGTCTCACAAAGCGAGATCAAATTAGTGATTTCTAATTTCATTTTTAAACAATATCCCAAATGTGTACAATTACATATTCTGTCTGGTGTAAATAAAAATGTCTTTCCCATCTTTGCTATGCACGAGTTTGGTTTGAAACAAATGAAAGGCCCGTCTCGTGTTGACGCCTGTCCCAAATAAAGGCAGCATCATTTCATAGACTGAAGGAACTAAAAGCCCGGGCTTAAATTTGAAGTTTTATGGTGCATGTATCTAAATGCTTAGGGATATGATGAATTCTTAAGATGCTTTGTAAAGGATCGATCAGAAGTATGATATTAAATGCTAAATAATTTGAGTTATAACTACAATACTTCTCTGTGCAGTGTAGTGGAGAAGAAGTATAAAGTAGCATGAGATGAAAATACTCAGGTAAAATTCCAAAAAATCTGCAGAAAACGACCTAAAACTCAAGTCAACTAGACGTTTCGGTCTCACCCTAACATGAATGTGATCTATTATCTGACCCGAAAGTAGATGATGGTCGCTGCCACCATGACGCCGACGCTCTGCAGCAGATCTCCGACCACATGGATGAAGGCGGCCCGGACGCTCGTGTTGCTATGGCCACCGAGGAGTGAGTGGGAGTGGCCGTGGCCGTGAGAGACGGGACTGTGGCCGTCCTCGTCGATCTGGTGGTAACCGCTGCCATGGGAGTGGAAGGTGGTGGAGTGGTGGAGGATGTAGGCCATGCTGTGGAAAGACAGAGGTATTTCAATTACACGCTGGAGTCGTATCAAGCATTTATTAAAAAAAGGTGTAGGTCTGACCTTTGAAATGTACTTTGAAACAAAGAAAAAATGTCCCCAAGGGAACATTCATGATTCTAAGTCAAAAACGATGTCCTTGACTTACAAAAAAAGTTCTCGCCATTCCTCTGCAATGACCATTTTATTTAAAAAGTCGTCCATTCAGGCGTCTCTGCTCGTCGTCATAACTCTGTATTTATGTGTGAGTGTGTAAAAAGTCAAATTAGCATCGTTAACAACAGCACTAGTGTGGTTACGTCTACCATCGCACTAATCTCAAGTAAACAAAAGTGACAGCATCGAACAATGACGTCAAACGGAGGAGAAACCGGCGCACAGTGTGACGTTACACGCCCAAAACTCCAAAACTACACATGAACACCTCAAAAGGAGTTAATGAAACTCTTCACCCTGGAAGGATTTTTCCCAAAGGTTAGTTTTCAGTTACCTAAAACACGTACTAAAGGTCAAAACGTACATAAAAACGTACGCTTTCAAAAATGACCGCCTATATGAGGACTAGGCCATACACTCAAGTTTGAAAACTGAGGACTTGAGACTTAACAAATTCACTTGGCATTCATGTCTAAAGACTCAACATAAACTTGAGACGGTTGGCTCAAAATAATTGACTTTTTCTCATTAAGTATTTCAACTCTTCTAGATAAGTTCCCTCTTTCCTGGGTAATTCAAAGTGCAAACATGCAAACCTGCTCGAACAGGATAGAGACCAAGAAACAATGCAAAAACTGCTAACATTTGGATTCAGAGATTGTCCTGTGGTTGAAGCTCAAAAGACGAGAACAGCGATCTTCAGCTCAGAAATCAGTGGTCGAACCCTCACCTCTTACTACTCCCTTTAATTTAAAACCCACAGGTCTTCAATTAGGAGGCTTGTTGTTCATTTCTACAAAATGTTGAATATCAGTCAGAATAAAAGGTGTGAGCGGGCTGCAGGAGACATTTAAAGAGATGTTCGCCCCTCATCCTGACTGAGTGTTTCCATAAAACGATCACTGTCCAGCAGACTCTCTTCACACAGTGTCGAGCTCCAAGTGTCATCAGTAACTGTTCTCACACCGACATAATGTACCATATTAACACTCATTATGCCGAGCAGCACTCACATGATATTGACGATGACGGCGCACCCGGAGGTGACCAGCATCACATGGCCATCGATCTCGTAGTCGTTGCGTACGATCCTCTCGATGGCTAAATAGACCAGAGCCCCCGTCACAATCCAGATGGAGATGACTGAGACGAACGCCCCGAGGATCTCTGTGGAGAGAGAGAAAGAAATCTTAATCACTTTTACATATTCACACACTTCATCACACTCACAACAGCACCAGTGTGTCAGAGTATCTCAGCAGGACATGAAGTTAAGTTACAGAACACATCGCTCAGAGGCAGAACCTCGACATCAAACGAGTGTCAGACACACAAAGACAGAGACCCAGATGTTAAAGTGAGTTCATACTCCTAGCTTAGCTTATTTAATGTTTGAAATTTGATGTTTGTTAAGATTCTCTGAAGAAAGTGGACACATAGGGAGGAGTGGTCTTAAAGAGACACCAGCTGAAGGACAAAGTTAGCTGACAGATTAGATGCACTGCTTTGTCCACACGGGGCACCAACATCTACAGGTAACATTAAAGAGGACATATTATCCCTCTTCTCCACCTTTTCAAATAGTCCCCTGTGGTCTAAATGAAACATCTGTGCTGTGCTTTGGTCAAAATATAACATGAATCAAGCACCAGAGGAGGTTTGTGACCCTGTATAAACCAGCTCTCTCAGAACGCTCCGTTTTGGTGTGTGTGTCTCTTTAAATGCAATGAGCCCGCCTTGAGTTTTCCCAGTAGACATCACTCCTCTGTAGAGAGAATAAAACCTGTGTTAAAGTTTTGTTCTAGGCTGGGGGTGGAGTCCATGCGTGGCAATACCAGGGGAGGGGAGGAGAGGGGATTTTTTTTTTACCTCTGTGACATCACAAGGAGAGCACATTTGAAACAGAGCATTTTTCTCTGTGTTGTAAGACTTATGCAGACCACAAACAAAGGACTGGATGGGTTTATTTTACATGCTGTGGGTCAGTAGACACTCAGGTTACCCAAATATATGTTCAAAAACACTGTACAAGTGGATTTTTCATAATACGTCTCCTTTAAAGTTCATCCCAGGAGATTTATACAGGTGCCATATGCACCTTGTTGAAGGTTATATGTGATACCAAAAGCACATTTTTTTGCCCAGATATTTTAGCCTTTGAGTTGAATAACACTGCTTTGAGTTATTAGACAGGATATATATGGAGCACCACCTTAAGGAGGAAAAAGTGTAAGATGTAAATATGCTGACGGACTCATTTTGTGAAAGCTAATGCAGAGTTGTCATATTGTCTCCTCCATCTGCTGAAAAACATCAAATGTACACTACACTGAAAACTTGCTGCCCTGAAGGAGACACAGATTGGATTTACACTCAGCCGTACAGTATATCTGATCCCTCGCACTGACCTGATCTGTGCCAGCCGAAGTTCATGGTTTTGGTGGGCGGTCTGGACGAGATCCACAGCGAGAACAGGCTCACCATCATGCTGCCGAAATCTGTCAGGAGGTGCGCCGCATCCGTCATGATGGCCAAGCTGTGGGCCAGGTAGCCTCCTGCAGGACACCAGGGAAACAAATGATCACATAGACTCCCCAAATCAACAAAGTTTGTGGAGATTTCTTAATTTTAATTTGGCATTTAGAAAATATATGTTAGAGCTCGACCGATTTTTTCAGCCAGCCGATATTAGCTTATGCAGTGACTATCGTATCGGCTAATTTTATCGCAAATATGCACCGATATAACTAGATTAATTCACCAGTCAAATAGCATTTTAATTTGAGTATCATTGTATTACATTAGCAGCTCTCGTTCTGGCTGTCACCAGCAGAGGGCGCTATATGGATTACAACAAGCATTATCACTCTCCTGAGGGTCAAGCTGTGACGCACCTACATGGGCAGTTACCTTCCGGGTGAGTGGCCATCTTGTCTTCCTGATACTGTATATCTTTTCCGCAAGTGTTCTATCTATATCCATCAACCTAGATCAAACATAGATTTTAAAAAGATATCGGCCGATATAGCGATATCGGATATATTTTTTTCCTCCCCAATATCAATATCGGTATCGGCCCCAAAAATTCTGAATCGGTCGGGCTCTAATATTGTGAGTATTTGTAAAACCTTAAATCATAAATCAATTTTCTGTTTCAGAGTAATCCTTGCATGAAGGTGAATAATGTTCCTCATACAAACTAATGGAAATTATATACAACAAGGAGCAAACACATTTTCACTGAAGAGAAGTTTTATGTTTATTTGATTTCTTAGTGATCAAGCGGACGTGTTTTATGAAATGAAACTGTCTTTAAAAAGTTGCTGACGTGGAGAGTGCCTCCAGCCTCTGAGCAGTAACAGACTTTAATTACACCTATCCCACCGCCGTTTAAAGCTTTATAAAACGTGTAATTGAATGCAGTTACACACCGTCATCTGTATTAAAATATAACTTTTTTTTTTTAGTGCAACGCCCCGGGTAAAAAGGATGCGACAGTCTTTTATATCATCGTAAACGTCCGGGCAATCGGCCAATGAATGTGCAGCACCATTTCATCCTCTCAGCATTAAAAACGTTTGAGGCTTTATTGTTGTTTAAGAAATAAATGTGCAGATTTGAATACTAAGGTGTGGTAAAGATGTTATTTCCTAAAATTACATATAAAAAAAAAAAATTATTATGTCATAAATTAACTTCTGGATGTTTCCTCATACCCCTCTGATGTCTGAAGTGAACTCTGCTGTCGGAGCATTTTGAAAGCAGATGTTGTGAATCCAGAGACATTAAAGCTCCGTCACTCATGTGTCAGAAGAAACCACTTTCACCGACTGACACAAAGCTTCCGACGGAGCAGCTATGGCTTCATGAGATTTCCATCGGGACGGGCTGTCAGTTCTACTAAAACTTTACACGACATAAAAAAGTCCACTGCAGCTTCCTGACTAAACTCAAACTGACCTCCTGAACATCACAAGCTGTCCATACCAAGAGGGGCGTGTCCAGACTTTTGGCCCAAGTGGGACACTGACTTTTGCAAGATTGGTCTGAAATGTGATACAATCCAATACTGTTTCAAACCTCACCAATCATATCTACTTTACTTTTTATTTTTTATTTTATTTAACTTTTATTCACCAAAACGTGCATACACACACTCACACAATAATAATAAAAAGGGATGCAAACAAGAGGGGAACTGTGGTACGATACAGTTTTGCAAGCAGATTTAGACAAAAACAAACAAACAAACAAAACAAAAGGAAAAGGGTCAGTAAATAAAATGAGTGACAAAATAAGTAAATGAGCAAACATGTGGACAGTATAGTAACAACATTATATAAAATAAAAGTGGTGGGATAGGTTGTACACATGATGATGATTTTTGGTGTTATTTGTTTTTGTTTTGTTTTTCACTTTGTATGGGTGCTAACATGATGATTGACTGTTTGTAAATTATATTAAAATTGTCATATCTACTTTATAACATGAGATAATGGCAACATTAACTGAAATTTTAATGACACAAAAATAAGCTTTATGTCCAAAGCCATAATTTACGGTACTTAAATATGTGCATGCAAACTCCTGCACAGTCTAACATTACCAGGTAGTTAATTACATGTAAGACAGCGTGCATAACTTTTCTTTACACCTGATTTATTAAAAAGATTCGCAAAATTTGTATTTACAATAAAAGTACAAACAAACAAAAATATGTTACATTGATATGTACAGAAAAATCATAGCAGCCTTTCTAAAAAATTACCTAATATTTGGTTTTAACATAAGTCCCGCCTCTGACAGGGCAAATAGCCAATCACAGTTTAGGATTTTTTGGGGGTGGCCAATCAGATTTCTAGGGGGACCATGCCCATTGGATGATTTATTAGTGTTGTTTATGTATTTGTATGTCTCCAGCTGCAAACAAATTTCCCTGTGGGGACAATAAAGATACCGTTGACCTTTGACCTTTGAGTGTTGTGTCTGAAGAGGATACACTATTTTTCTCACCTATGACCTCTCCGATCATGAAGACGAGGCAGACGGCTGAGGCGATGTAGAGTTTCTTCTGGGCCAGCAGTCTGTCCCCGCCGTCCTCACACTTCAGAGCTTTGGCGCCGTGGCAGTGAGCGCCGACGGGCCGCTTCAGCTCGATGGCGCCGGCCACGCCTCCATTCTTGAAAGGGAAGTCTGGATACTGGTCTTTAGAGTCTGGAAAGGAGCTGCAGGAAACAAAAAGTGTGTTTGTTCATCCCTTTAGTTCTACTGTTTTAAAAACAAGTTTCATTGAGCCGGATTTTAGTCATGAGAGCTGAACGAAATGCTGAGTTTTCCATTTTCTCTCACACACACGCACACACGCATACACGCATACACACACACACACACACACACACACACACACACACACACACACACATACGTATACACACACACAGCCAGGTTGCTGTTCTTTCCATGTGCAGTGAGGCAGTGAGGGAGAGCCGCGATGATGTGGCTAATGAGGTGGAAAAAAACTAATTTGGCCTCACTTGAGATAACAACACACACACACTCTCAAACACACACACACACACACACACACACACACACACTCTCTCAAACACACACACACACACACACACACTCTCTCAAACACACACACACACACACACACTCTCTCAAACACACACACACACACACACACACACTCTCTCAAACACACACACACACACACACACACACACTCTCTCAAACACACACACACACACACACTCTCTCAAACACACACACACACACACACACACACTCTCTGAAACACACACACACACACTCTCTGAAACACACACACACACACACACACACACACACACACACTCTCTCAAACACACACACACACACACACACACACACACACACACACACACACACACTCACACACACACACTCACACACACACACACACACACACACTCTCTCAAACACACACACACACACACTCTCTCAAACACACACACACACACACACACACACACACACACTCACACACACACACTCTCTCAAACACACACACACACACACTCTCTCAAACACACACACACACACACACACACACACTCTCTCAAACACACACACACACACACACACACACACACTTAATGTCACACACTTCAGATTGGAGATTGCCAGTGTTCCATGATTAGCCTTTATATCACACAAACGCACACACACACTCTCACACACACACACTAACACACACACACACACACTAACACACTCACACTCACACTAACACACTCTTGCACACACACACTAACACACACACACACACTCACACACACACACTCACACACACACTCAGGCGTCTTAAGGGATGCGCAGGCTGAAAAGAGGCGGCCGAGTGGAAAACAGATTTTGTTCAATTGTACCACTGGGACATGAGAGCAACCACTCCCCCAACACACACACACACACACACACACACACCAACTCAACACACACACACAGCTACTATACACACAGAACATATACCACACATTTGATGCCAGAGGGCAACAATATGTTCCAATGTGAGCATGGTGTTATGCAGATAAAACAGGCCAAACGTCTTCAAAGCATTCTTATAAAATAACATTAATGTCCGACTGTAGGAACAAAGACACACACAGAACACGGCCTAAACTACAGACTAAGGTGTGTTAGCTTAAATACACCTCTCCTAGCTACGATCTGTTACACTTTCTTACTTAACCGAGTTTTTCCACAAGCAAATCAAAATGTTGAGTTCTCTGTTTTTCTCTCTCTCTCTCTCTCTCGTCCACACAAAGACAAACACACATTTGCACAGGGGCGTGTCCAGACTTTTTTTTGACTCGGGTGTCCCAACCGGGGCACCGACTTTGAAAGTAAATGTGCAAAGTATTAATTCACAATTTAAGAAGAAGAAACTCAAAGCAGCCTTTTGCAAAAAAAAAAAAGACAAATAGGGAATCACAGTTATGGATTTTTTTGGGGTTGGCTAATCTGATTTTTCAAAGTTGGCTCATGCCTCCCCCGGCCACCTCTCTGGACACGCCCCTGCATGTGCATACACACCCATGTTTTTATTTTTCCTTACTATAACATTTCCAACAAAATGTCCACAAAAATATACTGAATAACGCTTGGAAAATATCAGATAACACTGGGAAAAAATACAAGTCAAGGTTCCCAAAAGAAAACAGATTATTTATTTATTTTCTGGATTATTTTTGTGGCTTTTTTTCTTTTGCATCTCGGGCCGTAAATTGCGCCTAAAATCACTCTGTGTGTAGCCAGCCTAACATGTCAGTAAATTACTTTAAAGAAGTTCAAATTACCTCGAAATGTTTCTCCAAACGTGTGTTTTATGTTGAGCTAGAAGCTGATCAATCCGATGTATTTGGCAGTATTGTGAGTTCAAGACAAATTTCCCCAAGGGGACAATAAAGTGTTCCATCGTGTCGATTTAGAATCTTTCCACCAAGCTCAGATGAAGTTATATTTGTGAGCTGGTGTGTGTATGCCGTGATAGAATGAACTCTTAAATGCCTCGACGAGCATAATGGATATTGTTGTCGCCTTGTGGCTCCTTTGTGATCTCAAATGTTCATCAAAGTCGAGCTGTGTTCATCAGTGAAGGTCCGGCTTACACCAACATGAAAATCTGCTTCGTACTAGCTGCTGTTTTAATTCTTGGTTTCAGAAAATAACAAAACTCTGCACATCCTGCTTCTTGTATAAGAGTTGATGTGTTCATCAATACCCCACAGGGCAGGTGTACAGTGTTTGTGCAGCAGTGCTGAGACCTGATGGGGGGGATTCAGTGATCTGTGAAATGATATGATATGATATGAAGAGACCTCAGAAGAGCGATACGCTGAAAACATAACAATCAAGCGTTTAATTACAGCTGCAGTCGGCTTTCTCCGAGCACAGCGCAGTGTTTTCTTTAGCTGATGGGACAAAAGGCCTGCAGCCAAGTAAAGATGAATGCAGGGCGGAAATGAAACAATGTTTTTTCTTTCTGCTGTTCTTTAAAACATACAAATATCCTATTATTACTGATGTTACTTTTCCACTTTCTTCTGGGTTAAAGAAGTGATTCTTAACTGGTCTAGTCCTATGGATCCACCACCAACAGGCCTGCCTCCTGTAGCCGTGGTGCTTTCAGGTGCGTAGGACATGAAACTATCACATTGGAGGGAAAATTCTAATTCTAATGAAAATTTGAATGCTGTGACTCCTGGAGAAAAATGGCTGCTCTGTGACCTTGTTACATCGTGATCTAATATTGAGACGTGGTCTTTTTTCTAATTGTTTCAATAATATTCCATCATATTACCTACACATGGAATGAAAGAGGAACATTTGGCTTCCCTCTTCTATAGGGTATAACCTTACGAGCTCCCAGAGAGTCTGACTGGCTTCTCTGCTTTTTATCTGTGGAGTTTTCCAGAAGCTGCAGCAGCAGCAGCAGTGACAGAATCCAACATCTCCAACCAGAGTCCCATCAACCCTCAGCCAATTATGCTGACTTCATGCGCAGCCGCCAGAAATATCACAATTACCAGTGAGCAAATGATCCGACAAAAAGGGTTTTTGGTAAATACAGCCGGGGGACATCATAAAGAGTCCCGCATGAATGAGTAAGCTCAGTTTTTAAAGGGGGGTTTGTTCAGAAACCCTTTGGATGAAAAACATTTTTAATAACATTTTCTAACTCTGTTTCGTCATCACTTTTTATTAGCATCATTTTAAATTTTTATTTGTAAAAGTTTTTTTTTACATTTTTTTAATCAGAATCGATGCAACTTTGACCAACCTCCTGCAAGTCGCTCACTTAAACTGTGTTGTTATTTAGGTCTATTACTTATTTAAGCATGAATAAACCCTTCAAATACTCGCTGTGAAGCTTTAACCACCAGTCAGTACGGTGGCTGGGAAGTGCAAAGCAAAATTGTGTGAAACACTTTTACAAAATTTGAGACAAATTTACATTTTGAAAAACAAAATTACAAAACCAAAACACTTTTACCAAGGACAGAACACATTTACATTTTATTAAACAAATTTACAAGATGTGAAATGTGAAACACTTTTAAAACACTGAGAGAAATGACCCCTCACTCAATCACTTCCGGGTCACTTCCTGCATTCAGTACATTCCCTTTCCGTCAAGAATCTGCAGTTTGTCCATTTGTTTGGGGACTGGTAAAAGTGTTCTGCCACTTTCAAATGTGTCTCAGTGCTTATCAAAGTGTTTCTGCTAATCTTGTAAGTTTGTTTAACAAAATGTCAAAAGGTTTTAGTATTAGTAGTAATAATTTTCGTACATTATAGTGGTGCTAATAATATTATTTTTTTAAGTATCGGTTCTGTAGATTCTGAAATGTACAAATAAGATTTTTTTTATTTTTCTAAACCAGAACAATGAGAGATGTCGCTTCCTTACACACCACTTTACTGCCAGCTGGGGAGAAAATGCTGAGGTTGACACACATTTAGACTAACACACACACACACACACACACACACACACACACACACACACACACACACACACACACACACACACACACACACAAATACACATGAGCACTGCAAATGGTGCATGAAATCTCAAATGTAGTGCCATATGCACATCTCTCTCTCTCTCTTCCTAATGCACGCACGCACACACACACACACACACACACACACACACACACACACACACACACACACACACACACACACACACACACACACACACACACACACACACACACACACACAAACGCAGCAGCAGCACCTGCACAAAAACTCTAAAAATATGTCCTATTCATTTTTTGGTGGTTGATTTTGACCTGCATGAGTTGTGCTCCTCAGAGGCCTCCACATTCAGCAGTGGCCCTTCTGAAGAACGCGTCATGTTTTCATGTTTTACAGCCGGTGCAGCTTCTCGCTTCAGTGCTTTTAGAGAGCATTCAAATCCTGTCACTTCAGATCTTTTCAACGCGTGGATTTGGCTCCACGAAGGTGAGAAACAGCTGATTTTTTTAAGGCGTGACAGAGTTTCTCTACGGGATCAATTCTACCTTTAGATCCGCTGCATATATACTTCCGAGTTATTGATTCATCAGACACATCATGAGGGTCTATACTCACGATCTCAGCCAGAGACAATAAAAAGAAAATAATTGGAAACTTTTAATACATCGAACAAATGGGCTAGATTTGATTTCCCCCTCATGATGACCCATATTTTCGTTATTTTCATTTCGTCAGACAAACAAACAAAACTGAGGAGCATCTGTTGCTCATGTTTGTTTTTCCTTTTTTTTTACTCAGGATAAAAATGCTGATTTGCGTCTTTTCATGACGAATAAATGACAGAACTTGAATTATTCAATCTTTGTTTTTTTTAGCCTATTTTTATTTTATTTTATTAAAAATGTGTATTTTTCCTAACTTAGCCAGGTTTCCTTCTTCTTTACTTTTTTTTTAAAATATATTTAGCTACGAAATTTGCACACACTATAGCCTAATTGAACAGTTTCTAGTTTGGGAATAATCTAAATAAAATAAATAGACAATGCAAATAATTTATGCCATCTTTGTGGAATAAGGAACATGATAGTTTTTTTTTAGGCTATTTCAATGAATTTAGAGCATTTTTTTCCGAAATATAAAATGATTCCTTTATGCAAAATCAAACATCTCAAACATATCCAAGCTAATGAACCTCTCTGGGTTTATGTGTATCACCTCCACCTGCAGGTATTCACACCTCCGTGTATTTAGGCTTACTGTGTTATAAATCCCGGTGTTTTCCGTCCACGCAGCCCGGCCGTGCAGAGAGAGCTGCTCTCAGCCTCTCTAATGACAGATGATGAGTTTCTAGCATTGCTCAGTGAACTGGCCCCGGGAGCCATTTGTCACAGGCTGTCCAGAAACAAGCCAAGCATGGAAATGAATTTGTTCATTCACATAAAACAGCCTGCAAGAGCGCAGCAGCCTGCTTAACATGCACCACGGTAACAACTGCTCCCACCGTGGAGCCCCCACGTTACACACACAGCTTCACACCATACACACACCGACACGACACGGGAGGTGTCCTGCAGAAATCATCAAGTGCTGACTGTAAAAAAACACTTTTCTACTTCCAAAGTGCTGTTTCATCCAGAAAAAGTCAATAAAAAACATTTTTCTTGCTTTCTTATCGGCCTGTGTCGTTATATCTTAAATCATTAAATTGATATGTCATTTTTTTTCTTTTTTTTCACAAGTGCATGCAACATTGATCGTGCACAGGTAACTTGGTATTGCAGCATTATAGTCTGCATGCAGCTGCAGACACATGAAATAAGACATGTCCCCACCTTTGCAGCTTTAAAGAATACGTTTTGGCACTGTTCTCGTGCATCAGGTGAGATTTCTCCGAATTTGCAGCGTTATTATCCATTTATTCTGCCTGCTGTCAGCCGCTGTCCCGTCTGAGTTCAATCAAATAAAACAAAAACAAAATGTAAAGGTGACTTTTCTTTTTCTTTTTGGAGGATGCTGCTGCAGGAGTTGCCGGTGAGAATCGACAGGTCCGGGTCCGGGTCCGGGTCTGGGTCCGGTTCCGTTTAGCTTCAGTCGTGTTGGGGAAAAGTGAGCCGAGACCTCATGATGAAGCGCGAGCGGAGAGACTTCAGAACAAATGGAGAAATTCCTTCATTGCGGTGCTGAGGGGAGCAGGAGGGAGGAAACCACATGCGGGCTTTTTGGAGGGAGGTTTTTAATTGTAGTGTTGAACATGCAGCAGCAGCAGCAGCAGCAGCAGCAGCAGTGATATGAAGGCTGCAGCAGCTGTGAGTGGACAGGACACATACTGAAGCCTGACTGATCACAGACAGCAGCTCTGGTTGGTGATTCTTAATGGGACAAGAACGAAAATCAATTTAGTCAAATAACCATTATACCCTTGTTAATCACATAAATAACAGATTCTAGTATTTTGTTCAAATGCAAGAAATAATTATAAGTGCATGATTTTTTTTTAAATAATGTATGTTAGACTGTATCAAACATTTTTACATTAATTTATTTGAGCTAAATAAATGCTGTTGTAAAAGCAGATTCATAAGAAATGTGTCACGTCATCATTAACGCTTTTAACAAATTCAAGTCCAATAAGAAAATATATACGTCTCCTGAGTGTTTAAATATCTTTTAAATTGTGTCCAAAAATTTATTCTGATTTGAATTTAAACTATTGCTGTGTGTTTATTTATTCTCATATGTGTAAGGTGAAAGAAGAGATCATGGCTGACGATGTGTCAGATTTTAAAGGTAACACAAAGAAAACATGAAGCGAGATTCCTTGATAAGAAAAACAATCAATTCAAAAATGTCTTTAAAAAAATAAACATATAGGCTGCTGCAGATAAAATTCTGTCATGTTACAGCATTTTGTAAATCTAGTTAGAATCATTAGGAACTTTGAATAAATGCTGTAAATGAACAAAAACAACTACTTTTCATTTTATTGTTGTCATCATTTTTAATTCAATATTTAATATCATGGGCCTCCAAAATATCAAGAGTTAGTTATGCAGGCTTCAAGGCTGACGGTGCGTTCAAGTACCGGTGGGACAAACTTTAATTAGAATTAAAATTCAGCTTTATTAGGCAGGTATGCTTACACGTACAAATTAATATTTGCAGTCTATGATACAACCACAGATAAATAACTGTGCTCTTCATATACAAAAGTATAACGTTAATTATCAACAAAAAAAGTAATTTAATCAGCAGTCTGTGTGAACAGTGTGTATTTGTTTTTGCTGTTTGTTTGTCTTGCGCTGTTCATAATAAACTTGACATTAAAAAAAACAGTAATAACACATTATGTTGCAGCCACAAAGCATTTCTGTAATTTAATGGCATCTTGTAAGCTTATCTAAATTAAATTAAACATTTTCTACATAAACTAATAAGCGCCAACAATAACAACGATGGAGTTGACAAATATAATTAGATATAATTAATTTTAACACACATTTTCCCCATTTTAACGAAAATAAAAACAAATAATTGACAAAAGAATATTTTTCCCCGATTACCATAAACACAGCACCGTTTTACGTCTCCGGCTGACGTCATGACGCTCCATGTGTTTGGTTTCCGCGCCGCGCCGAGCTTAACGAGCAGACATGGAAGCAACAACAAGCAGCAGCGACAGTAAACCAGAGGAACAGCAGCCGACAGACGAGGGGGCGGACGGGGACGGGGACGGGGACAGGTCCATGTCGAGGTCTGACAGGTAAACACATCAAAGGATGAAGGTCTGTGGCGCGAGGCAGAACAGTGTAGGTGAATAAAAAACATGTTTGCGAGCTAACGATGCTAGCTGGTTAGCCTTTACTGCCATGACAACGCGATGGAGGGACGTTATTACCCACAGTGTGTGTGTGTGTGTGTGTGTGTGTGTGTGTGTGTGTGTGTGTGTGTGTGTGTGTGTGTGTGTGTGTGTGTGTGTGTGTGTGTGTGTGTGTGTGTGTGTGTGTGTGTGTGTGTGTGTGTGTGTGTGTGTGTGTGTGTGTGTGTGTGTGTGGTCAAAGCGCCACCTAATGCTACTCTGTGGATAACACTTGCTCATTCATAACACGTAGCACTAAGGATGTGCAGGAGGGGGGGTCAGGTGTCTGTCTGTCAGGTGTCTGTCTGTCAGGTGTCTCTCTGTCAGGTGTCTGTCTGTCAGGTGTCTGTCTGTCAGGTGTCTCTCTGTCAGGTGTCTCTCTGTCAGGTGTCTCTCTGTCAGGTGTCTCTCTGTCAGGTGTCTGTCTGTCAGGTGTCTCTCTGTCAGGTGTCTCTCTGTCAGGTGTCTCTCTGTCAGGTGTCTGTCTGTCAGGTGTCTGTCTGTCAGGTGTCTGTCTGTCAGGTGTCTCTCTGTCAGGTGTCTGTCTGTCAGGTGTCTGTCTGTCAGGTGTCTCTCTGTCAGGTGTCTGTCTGTCAGGTGTCTCTCTGTCAGGTGTCTGTCTGTCAGGTGTCTGTCTGTCAGGTGTCTGTCTGTCAGGTGTCTCTCTGTCAGGTGTCTGTCTGTCAGGTGTCTGTCTGTCAGGTGTCTCTGTCAGGTGTCTCTCTGTCAGGTGTCTGTCTGTCAGGTGTCTCTCTGTCAGGTGTCTGTCTGTCAGGTGTCTCTCTGTCAGGTGTCTGTCTGTCAGGTGTCTGTCTGTCAGGTGTCTCTCTGTCAGGTGTCTGTCTGTCAGGTGTCTCTCTGTCAGGTGTCTCTCTGTCAGGTGTCTCTCTGTCAGGTGTCTGTCTGTCAGGTGTCTGTCTGTCAGGTGTCTCTCTGTCAGGTGTCTCTCTGTCAGGTGTCTCTCTGTCAGGTGTCTGTCTGTCAGGTGTCTCTCTGTCAGGTGTCTGTCTGTCAGGTGTCTGTCTGTCAGGTGTCTCTCTGTCAGGTGTCTGTCTGTCAGGTGTCTCTCTGTCAGGTGTCTCTCTGTCAGGTGTCTCTCTGTCAGGTGTCTGTCTGTCAGGTGTCTGTCTGTCAGGTGTCTCTCTGTCAGGTGTCTCTCTGTCAGGTGTCTCTCTGTCAGGTGTCTGTCTGTCAGGTGTCTCTCTGTCAGGTGTCTGTCTGTCAGGTGTCTCTCTGTCAGGTGTCTGTCTGTCAGGTGTCTGTCTGTCAGGTGTCTGTCTGTCAGGTGTCTCTCTGTCAGGTGTCTGTCTGTCAGGTGTCTGTCTGTCAGGTGTCTCTCTGTCAGGTGTCTCTCTGTCAGGTGTCTGTCTGTCAGGTGTCTCTCTGTCAGGTGTCTGTCTGTCAGGTGTCTGTCAGGTGTCTCTCTGTCAGGTGTCTGTCTGTCAGGTGTCTCTCTGTCAGGTGTCTGTCTGTCAGGTGTCTCTCTGTCAGGTGTCTCTCTGTCAGGTGTCTGTCTGTCAGGTGTCTGTCTGTCAGGTGTCTCTCGGTCAGGTGTCTGTCTGTCAGGTGTCTGTCTGTCAGGTGTCTGTCTGTCAGGTGTCTGTCGGTCAGGTGTCTGTCTGTCAGGTGTCTGTCTGTCAGGTGTCTGTCGGTCAGGTGTCTGTCTGTCAGGTGTCTGTCGGTCAGGTGTCTGTCTGTCGGGTGTCTGTCTGTCGGGTGTCTGTCTGTCGGGTGTCTCTCTGTCGGGTGTCTGTCTGTCGGTGTGTCTCTGTCGGGTGTCTCTCTGTCGGGTGTCTGTCTGTCGGGTGTCTGTCTGTCGGGTGTCTGTCTGTCGGGTGTCTGTCTGTCGGGTGTCTCTCTGTCGGGTGTCTCTCTGTCGGGTGTCTGTCTGTCGGGTGTCTCTCTGTCGGGTGTCTCTCTGTCGGGTGTCTGTCTGTCGGGTGTCTGTCTGTCGGGTGTCTGTCTGTCGGGTGTCTGTCGGTCGGGTGTCTGTCGGTCGGGTGTCTGTCTGTCAGGTGTCTCTCTGTCAGGTGTCTGTCGGGTGTCTGTCAGGTGTCTGTCAGGTGTCTGTCAGGTGTCTCTCTGTCAGGTGTCTCTCTGTCGGGTGTCTGTCTGTCGGGTGTCTCTCTGTCGGGTGTCTCTCTGTCGGGTGTCTGTCTGTCGGGTGTCTGTCTGTCAGGTGTCTCTCTGTCAGGTGTCTCTCTGTCAGGTGTCTGTCGGTCAGGTGTCTCTCTGTCAGGTGTCTGTCTGTCAGGTGTCTGTCTGTCAGGTGTCTGTCTGTCAGGTGTCTCTCTGTCAGGTGTCTGTCTGTCAGGTGTCTCTCTGTCAGGTGTCTCTCTGTCAGGTGTCTCTCTGTCAGGTGTCTGTCTGTCAGGTGTCTGTCTGTCAGGTGTCTGTCTGTCAGGTGTCTCTCTGTCAGGTGTCTCTCTGTCAGGTGTCTCTCTGTCAGGTGTCTGTCTGTCAGGTGTCTCTCTGTCAGGTGTCTGTCTGTCAGGTGTCTCTCTGTCAGCTCTTCTTTCATTCAGGTTGAATTCTTTGAAATTAGAAAACTAGACACAAACTTGACGCGTCACTCCGGTTAAACATCCTGTCAGAATACATATCAGTGGAAAAGCTCTCAGCCTCACTCCAAGACCAAACTCATCACCTTGAAGCAACCTGGACCCCTCTTGTTTACATTACATTTACAAACACCTCCACCTGTAAGACAGAGCTCTCAACCCAATTAATCAATCAACTACAAAAACACTTCTGTTCTCACTAATCACCATGTTACCATGACTACTTTGTATCTGTTCATTTTTATACTTCTCTAGTGTTTCTTTCTGTTTGTCCCAGTTCTACTTTACTCTATTCCCCCAGTTTGTTTTGTTTGTTGTTGTTTTGTTTTGTTTTGTTTTCATTTCTTTCTTCTCTCTGTGTGCCTGTAAAATTGTCCTCCCCGTTTTGTCCTTTGTGTCACTGTTTGTTTTGTTATTTCAAGAATAAAAGGATAAAAAAAAAGAAATTAGAGGATGACATTTCTCATGAGGATTAAGCTGAATTAGGAAGAGTGAAGGGCTGGTTAATACATCCAGTTTTGAACATACATAGATGTATTTTTAAACGAGATATAGGGTGAGATATCATTCCACCAACCTAACAAGGGACTACAGGTGGAAATAAACCCATCGCTATAATCTGGCATATTTACATGTTTATGCTCATTAATGTGCATGCTCCATATTTAAATAAATCTGCACTGATGCATCGTTGTGATGTAACTTTGTACAAATGTAGTTTTTCCTATTCTTTCTATTGTTCTTTGTTCTTGTAATTGTTCTTTTAGTGTGTATTGTGGTGCACTGTTGTGTTTTCTTTTTGTTTAACATGATCTCCTCCTCCTCCTCCTCCTCCTCCTCCTCCTCCTCCTTCTTCACCTTCTGGACTGTATTTGTCTCTTTCTCTCATGTCTGTGCTTTCTTTTTTAGGTTTGTCTTATATTTCGTATTTTACTGCTGCTGTTTTGGCCTCGAAAAAGAGGTCATTTGATATCTCAAGCAATTCTTGCCTGGTAAAATAACATTTTAAAAAATTGTAATCTTGGGTAGTTGAATCGTGAAACTCATTAAATATCTGAGCCAAATGATGACAGCCTTACTCATGTGAGCGTTGGCCCCTCCCTGTGCTGTGCTGCCTCCGAGGGGCAGCGGTGTGATTTCCTGGGGAGTTTGGCAAGTTTTTCCCTCTCTCCCCCTCGACCACACCGACAGCATCACTGCGGAGAGATGAGTTCAGAGAGAGGCTTAGAAAGTGCACAGACTCCTCTTATCTCTCTGCAGGACAGTGGAGTATCTGCAGGTCCATGAAAGACTGAATATAGGACAGTTTTAAAAAAATGTCAGACGTCTTGTTTCTGATCATTTATAGCCTGACGACTTTAATCGGCTCTGTTTGATCAGAATCAGGTGTTTCTTTCACCGGCTTACAGTCAGCTTTATGAACCTGCAGATACGACAAAAACACGTAAATGCCTGTATTGGAGCAGCAGCGTGGGGCCAACTATGAACTCAAAAGGCATCGCTGATGGCAACCACCACAGAAAATTATTTATAGATAAAAAGCAACAACATGATAGAGTTTATAACACACATCAATAGGTAGACGGTACAGGCCGTACGAGTGATGATACCAGTGAGCTACTACACCTGTAGAGAAGAGTCCATCTGACCGTCTGTTGTCTCTTCACCTCCAGTGGGAGCGGAGACGACTCCCTGGATGGGATCACAAACCGTGTCCCGCGGTGCCCTTTGACTCCGTCTCTATCACCACAAACACGGACCACGAGCCGGTCTAAGACCGAGCCCCCTCTGCTGAGGACCAACAAACGGACCATCTACACCGCCGGCAGACCACCGTGGTACAACGTCACCGGGACCACCTTCAAAGAGGCGTTTGTCATCGGTGAGAGGAGGACACAGTTGGAATTAACCAACATGTCATTTATTTTATATGCCAACTTAGCGCTCCAGAGTCAAGGTGACCACATTCTTGAAGAATTTATTTTCTTAAACATCTGAAAGGAGAGTACAAAGACTCACTTTAGCAATCTGCTCCATAACAAGACAGAATATATCTCCTGTGGTTTAAGGTCTTTTCCTACTGGTATCATATAAAATACAAAAGGGGAACCACTAGAATTATTTAATTCTTAGCCAAACTCGAGCTAAATCCCTTTATACTTACTGTAAAATCTGGAGTATAAGTCGCACCGGTATATAAGACGCAGTCTGTTTTGAGGGGTTTCTATCGTGTTCAGAAAAGTCTAAAACATGCAGTTTGTGTGCAGCTGTGTCGCTCTATTAGTACCTTCTGTTTTCATCTTGTGGAGTTTACATTCTTACTATCTACAGTACGGTAGTTGAGCTCTCAGCCTGCAGGGAAAGTTGGGAAGGCCGACAGCTTGTGAGTCGCGCTCATGCTGCAAGACTCCACTGGTCACTCGTTGACTTTAATATAGGAGTCTTTCAGTCAAAAGATAACTGTAAAAGTTTATTTACGGAACACTATACCACTGTTTGCTTTAAATGTATGAGGGAGGGAGAGAAGATATTAAAAGGTAGTGCAGCCAGCCTGGTCTCTGTCACTTTGTATCCCAGCACAGCCTGCAATCAGCTTTCAATACACGATGAATCAGGATTCATTTTCAATCATGTCAACTCGCATGAAGTGTGTGATGGTGGCGGCTGCACCCGAACTAATGACGGCTCGTGGTCGCACAGGTGTATAAGACGCTGCCAACGTTTTAGATGAAAAGAATAGGTATTAAAAGTTTGTACACCTGATTTGATGGTAAATCATCACGTTATTGACCTGGTTATGTTATAAAATTGTTCCAGCTGCAGCATAACCTGCAGTATTTTCTGGCTGTGCTGTCGTGTGGACAGATTAGCCTCTCATCCACTCAGCACTCAAAATGATGCCAGTTCAGATTCTAATTTGGGCTGTAAACAGATATCGACCAGATCGACTGTAAACAGTCTGAGAGGTTGATGCTGTTGTTTATAGACAGACAGTGAGATAGAATTCACAACAGGGCGATGGAACATTTTTAGACACTGTGCATTAATGTTTATGTTGGCTCTGCCGTCGTTTAGTCGTCATGGGAGGGAGAGCAAAGAACAATATGTCGTTTCTTTCACTTTTGCCTACTGTTGCAAAAATACAAAAGCTGGGGCATCAATAAAATGGTTAAAAAAAAGCCCAGTTTCCACCAAGCGGTCCGGTTTGATTGGGTTTGGTAGACCCTGATCTTGCTTGCGTTTCCATAGCCAAGCCATAGCCATAACCGTTATGGGCCAATCACACAGATTCGCTAGCAGTGTGCCGCTAGTTAAAATATTATCAACTTTTCAGCTCAAGGCAGAAAGAAGCACGCAGCCTGGCTCCTCAGGCGCACCACACTGTTTTGCCCAACGCTATTTTGAGTGGCGCGTCTTGCTGTGAACGCAACTTTAATTAGTGGAGTGTAAGATGGATGGTAATAGTTATGTAATAGCAGGGACATCATAGCAGTGCAACAGAGTTTAATCGCCTATAAATTCAATGAAGCAGAAGAACAAAGGGCAACAACGGATGACCAGCAGCGGTCTGCACCTCCGAGGTCGTCCATGGGGCGGTGCTACGGGCTGACATCAGGCGTTTAAAACAAAGAAATCCTAATCCTAGGAATATTTAATTTAACCATGACACATAACATTTGTTGCACAGGAAGTGACGATTCTTTCGACCAATCAGTGCACTGCACTGTGTCTAGCTCCACCCTTTAGGGTCGGATTAGTACCCGTGGCGCCCCAAGAGAAGGGTAGCAAAAAAAGTAGAACAGTATGGATCAGTTATTTTGACAGTGGAAATGCCCATAATATGAACTGAACTAAACTGGACCGCTTGGTTGAAACGAGGCTTTTAATTCTAGAAAGTTGAAAATGCGCTCAAAGACAAAGTTAATAATGTCAATACAATCCTGCCAAAGCATCAAGAATACAAATGCAACATCATACAACACCACTGTAATGATGGTGAAAGGTAGAAAATGTATGATTAATGAAAAAGAAGGAGGGAGGTCATCCTGCTTTTTAGGCCTTTATCAAACACATCACTGATTGTTTTGCAAAGTTGCTGTTGACTCATTTTTTAAGCAACACTGTCAGATTGTGAAACTGTCGTGTCATGTCAGGACAGTTGAAGTGTCCATGATGCTCTGACTTAACTGTAACCATCCAGCTTATCAGCACAGTAAAATATCTGCCCGGCAGCAGTAAAGTGAACCCTGACACAGAGAGAGAGAGAGAGAGAGAGAGTGTGTGTTTTTGGTGTTCATGGAGCTAATGTTGCGTGGTTAAACACATCAGATTGGCATGAGTGGGAGTACATGGAGTGAGAGGTGGGACATTATCTTTAGTAGGTAATCTGTTATTGTCAATGGGCTGCGGTGACCGGTTACAATTTCACACTCAGCTGTACTGTCGTCGACGTGGTTCAGGTTTAGAAAAGAAAAGACTGTAACTGCAGGAAACTGAACAGGCAGAGCATGTTCTGTACTGAGAAACAAAAACAACCTTCAGTTAAGGTCAGCGGGAGAAAGAGGAGAGGAGAGAAACAACTAAAAACAAGAATCACTGACTTCATTTGTCTGTGTTCTCAGTCATCCAGGTCATGGTGAAAAGTCATTAGCATGCTAATGATCCACAGAGGCTTAAATTTCAAAGCTCCGCCCCCAGTAAGTTTAGAGCTGAAGAGTCCTTTCAGTGGAGAGGTGAAATGTCTTCAAGATCTTTAAACGAGTCCTCTTGTCTTTGGATCAAGCTTCGGATTTACTGTCTAAATTTCACAAATGTACACTGGCAACTTTTTGGTATCAAAACGTCCCCCTCTGCTCTCTGTGTGTTTGTAAGAAACATTAACTTTTTAGACCATGTTGGCTTGTTTTGCCGTCATCAGGGTCATCTGATGGGGATTGGATGACCCTGATGACGGCAAAACAAGCCAACTAGGTCTAAGCCACAAGCTGAAACATGTCAGTCTCACTCTCCATGCACCTTGTTAGTTTGTGAAGTTGTGCCAGAAACCCAATTTTTTCAGAGAGTGGGATGATTCAGTTTGATACACATTTCTCAAATCTAAAATGTTCAATTCTTCTGTTAATAAGGTGATGTATGTCCTTTGACCCTTTTGTGTGACGTTAACCATAACCCTAAAGTTGTTCATCCACATCTTTTCAAATGTTTAAAGAGAGTTGGAACAGAAATTTCTGCTTCTCTTTCGTTCAGCATCTACAGCCCAACCTCTGTTTGCGAGCAGTTTTATTTACAATATTCAGAGCAGACCCTGAACAGACAGGAGGCCTTGAGTCTGGGGGCGCCGGTAGCTTGGTGGTTAGTGCATGCGCCCCGTGCACAGACGCCGAAGTCCGTGGGAGCGGGCGGGGGCAGCCAGGGTGCAAATCCGACTTGTTGCTTTTTTCCTGCATGTCGTTCTCTACTCTCTCTCTCCCTGGTTTCTGAATGTATCCGCTGTCCTCTCTCTAAAACAAAAGGCATGAAAAGTCCAAAATCAGGGTGCATGATCCAGTTTCAGTGCAGGTTATTATACGTCCAGAGAGCGCTTCAGAAAGTTTGTTCTGCTGATTCTGACAATTTGTGGGCATGCAAATATATTCAGTATGGAAAGTTAGGTTTTATCATGTAACAAATATGGATGAATGAACCAAAAAAAAAGAGGAAATTAAGGAGGAAAGTGGACAGAAAGCCTCATGACCCTCGGCTGATATCAGAGCTTGTTTTCTATCTCCTCAGTCCGGTTTTTACTGCTAATAGAAAAAGCTGTTTTATCTGCTCTAACAGGCCGTTTCAGTGACCAGGCTTCACTGCCGGGTGGTGCACTAAAGATTAGTCACCTCTGCAGAATCCATAGAAACCCAATAAATAGGATTTTAACTGTTTTTTTGTTTGAATACGCAGAATTTTGCGAGTCAGAAGCGGTATTTCAGTAACCTTTCTGTGGCTGTAATCACACACAGAGCTGAGGAGCCTCTGCAGCGTTTTTTTGTCTTCAGTCTCTCGGTCAGCAGTTTTGACCTTGATGGTTATTATCTGTGCAAAAAAAAAAAAGCCCATTCCAACACTTCACTGGGAGTTGTTTATAACACAGAAGGAGCTCTGTAGGCTATTTCTGTTCCTGTGCGTACACACACACACACCCCAATAAATACACAACTGTCTGCAGCAAATGCATCCTGTTTTTCACCTCCTCGCCAGCCCGCCCGCCAGCGTGTTGTTCTGGCTCTCCTCCCAGGATTCTTGTCCTGAAGGATTGCTGTTTTGGTCTTTAACCTAAAGGGTCGAGTGAGGTAAAGCATGGGTCCATACTTACTCGTCTCCTTTACATTTATGGTAGTGACGCCAGTATATCTAAAAGAAAAAGGAAGTTTCTGATAACAGAAATATGGTTGCATTGACACATTTTCTGCAGTGCCATGCAAAAGAGTTTTACCATTTATTTCTGTTTTTGCAAGGCATGTGGTCACATCATATTCAATAACGTGCTTTGAAGAGATAATGTAGGATGAATACTATAAGCATAGCTGCAGTGTAATTTAAGCTCTGCTGATTGATTTGTTTGAGTGGGTAGTTGAGGCTTATTTCCGTCCTTATCTATTGTAATTTTACTCTCCTCGCTGATGCTGAACACTGAGAGAAATGTGAGGACCTGACTAAAATGCAAGAAATAATTATTCCTTCTTCGTTCTTTTTAGTTGTAGTCATAAAACAGAAAATATGTCAAAATCCTTGTGGCAAAAATAATCGATGGTGATTTTAGTCAACAAAAATCAAATGGATAAACTAGGCCTGACAGATATGAGATGTTTGGGGCTGATATCGATATTAGGAGGATATAAAAAATCTGGCCGATATCTTTCTTAGATCTACCTTTGATCTTAAGAGATAGATAGATATAGATGCATATATTTTTAACGTTCAAACACTTTTGGAGAAGATGTATAACGAAGACAAGATGGTCATTCAACATGTACGTGCGTCACTGCTTGGCACTCTGGAGAGTGATCATGCTTGTTGTAATCAATATAGCACCCTCTGTTGTTGAAAGATAACTGCTAGTGTAATCAATTAAACTCAAATTAAATGCTATTTGACTGGAGAATAAATCAAGTAAGAGAGTAAGAGCAGCCTGTCAAGTAGCGTCCTCAATACAGCACCGGGTCTATCACCATCAGCCTACAGCCTGTAATGTGTACAGTCTAACCAACACTGTCAAGTATGACTAAAGCTGGTGTTTTGTTTTCAGCCCAGAGGATGGTTTATAGGTAGCAAATTTCACCAACAAGCAAGCCAACAGGTGTTGCAGCGATGGAAGCGGGCAAGAGAAGTGGTTCAGATTGAAGTGATTGTACCCGACCTAAAAAGCCTCTGCATGTTTCTAATAAGCTCCACGAGCGGAAACGTGCTCAAACTAGGATCAATATTGGAGATGCTTTTGAAAAATGGAGAGAGGTTAGAACACAGAAAGGTTTACAGACCCATGCAGAGCTGGATAAACACTGAAGCTTCAGTGAGACAGCTCTCTACAATGTTTAGAATTTGGACTGCAGTAAACACTAGGGGTCAGAGTTACATATTACTCCTTTAAGAACTGTAAGGTTTGATTCCTATAGATGTCAAAGATGTTTCTTGATTTGAACAGTGTTTTTGTTTTCTGCCTTGCTCCTGAAGGTCTGTGTGGAGGAAGTGCTTCTGGTAAAACGACGGTCGCCAACAAGATCATTGAAGCGTTGGACGTTCCCTGGGTGGTTCTGCTCTCCATGGACTCTTTCTACAAGGTACAAAATCCAGGTTATGACTCAGCGTAACGTCTCCTTTAAAATACATTTAAGATCTGTGGTTGAAAGCGTTTGTTCAGTGGTGATTATTCCAGAACAAAACGGCTCCCTAACACTTCTGTAATTGCTCTTATGTCGGTAATGTGTCCAATACCTTGGTCAGCATTTTGAACAAGGTCTTTCATAATAATTAATTAGAGTTTGATTTAAAAACAATTCCCCCAAGTCAGTGGAGATTAATTCTTAAATCAAATCTCAAGTCGAACACACACTTGTTCCTCCCGCCTGGACTCGATCATTAGTGCTGATCTCAGCGTTTGAAGTAAAAAAAGCTCCGGACTGATAACCGTTAAACACAATAGTTCATATCAATTATAGCGCTCTCTCCTCTGGGACCGGGCTTCGATTGTTTTCATTTCGCTCTACTCACAGGATCCTTCAGAGTCCATTATATCTGCAGCACGTGTCTATAGATTCAGAGCTGGAAGGAGATGGTTTAAGTCTTCACTCGTGCATGCAGCGATGGGTTACATCAATTTATGGTGTTATTTACAGGCGAGTGAGCAGCTTCTGAACAAGAAGGCGGCTAAATGTTACAAATTAACACATTTAATAAAGTGTAGGAGCGAGGGTGTGATGTAGTCGAATGAAAGTGTACATCTTTGGTCATGTCATGTGAGCATCTTAATGACAAGGAGTTTCACTTTGTAATCCTGCAAACCATCATACTTTTAGTGGAATTTGTGCTGTCAGTATTTAAGGTGGAGAGGCAGCGGGACAAATACGGATAGCAGAGAGGAGATGAAATGCAGCGTGAGGTCTGTGGCTAAATCCGCAGCATTAAAGGACATATCAACTCCTGTTAAAGTTTATCATCAGGGTGATAATAATCTTATCAAGCAGCTGTCGTTTTTTTAATTCTTCAGGTGTTGAACAAAGAACAGCAGGAGCTCGCTGCCAAGAACGAGTACAACTTTGACCATCCCGATGCCTTCGACTTTGAGCTGCTGGTCACCGTCCTCAGAAAGCTGAAGAAAGGAAAGAGCATCAAAGTCCCGGTGTACGACTTCACGTCTCACTGCAGACGAAAGGAATGGGTAAGACCGTATAACTAACTGAACCTCTGCCAACTATCGATTGACTAAATGCATTTTTTTGGTGGTTCCAGTGGCCTAGCGGTTAGTTTGTGTGCGCCACATGTACAGACTCTGGAATCCACAAAGCTCAAGTCCGACGCATGGCTCCTTTTCTGCATGTCATTCTCCACTCTTTCCACTGCCTTGTCTCTTTAAATAAAGGTAAAAAAGCGCCAAAATGAATCTTTAAAAACATTCAGATTTGTTCCTCCTCAGCTGCGTACATCGACACAATCCACGGGTACACCTGGACGTAAGGTCAAGCTTTTGAAACGAGCGTGATTTGCATATTCAGATCTGCATGCTGTGTTTTTTAACGACATGATCCTTTTTGTTCAATTCCCCAGACAAAGTCACCATGATGGTTACAAATCCCTCAACACCCCTTAGGGATGTTCTAGAGCTGGTGCCAAATGAGACGCCTGCTAATTAGCTAATTATTAAGGATTTAGTGTACAGGACGTTAACCCAGCCAAAGAGCACAAATCCCCCCTCTCCCGAGAGCATCGTGAGGAATCAATCTGGTGTTGTAGCCCTCTGACAACTCCTCTCCATTTCTTTGCAAAGTAATTTCATGGCTGAAAAGACGCAACACCACGCGGGGAAACCGCCCATCACGACTTGTGCCTCTGAAATCCTTTTATGGTTCCTTTTTGTCGTGAGGTGAATGTAATTAAGCCCGAGGCCCCGAGGGGTCCCGAGGACCGCCAGGAGGCTCCAGGCTGTATATACTCTGTGTTTATGTTTGTCTGTCTGTTTTTATATGGACGGAGAGGAGGATGAAGTTGCTGCTTCTTGTTCTCTGGTAAAACTGCAGGTCTCTCTCTCTCTCTCTCTTGCTTCACTTTCACATGTTAAAGAACCACTAAATCATCTCAGAGTGAAGAACAGGGAAATGAACAAATCGATAAACACTCATCTGTTTCTTTAGAATTCACTTTCTGCTTTCCAACACAAACCTCGCCTGAACGCTTTGTTTTCTTCCCTCTCTCTCTCTCTCTCTCTCTCTCTCTCTCTCTCTCTCTCTCTCTCTCTCTCTCTCTGAATCAATACTGAAGTGTCCAGTCCATTGACTTTAGCATGAAGCCGGTCAGTGGAAGGTAATAGGATTGTGGCATACTCAGCACCATTTTGTCTTTGATTGAGACAGTGATTAATCTCTCTCTCTCACTTCCACACACACACACACACACACACACACACACACACACACACACACACACACACACACACACACACTCTCTCTGGATGTTTAAGAACATGCACCAATAGTTTAATCCAAGCAGCATCATCCGGGCTTGAAAAATGAAGCCAATGTGAAATAGCAAATACATCCTGCAGTTTGTTGGGTGTCCGCTTGAGGCTGGCTGCAGGAACACAGGAAGTCACATACACAAAAATCAGTTTTTACAGCAGAAATAAACATGTTTACAACCAAATAGGTCTAGTTATTATCATCACTGACACACACTGCGCATTTCTTTTTATTGTATTTCTGTCTTCACAATCTGTGCAGCATTTATTATTCAGACAGAAAAATATTTCTGTGGTTTTCTGCAACAATAAACATCATATCTGAATTATTACCCACAACACCTTTCTCCACAATATGTACAAAAAGTACATACAAAACTAACAGGACCAATATGTTCAGGAGAGACTAGACTAGTCATTTACTCTGAACTTCAATTTTCCTTTAACCAATTGGAAAGCTAGTTGGCTTGGAACATCAATAATACTTTAACTACAGGGAAGAAAGTAATGTAAAAGAAGAGCTCTGTGGCTTTGAGCTCGTAGAGAATATGAAGGTGAAAACTTTCTCTTTTTTTAAGAAACATCTTTGTTGGGATGGTTTGTCCAGTTTGACACTCGTGAGCCTATAGCTTATTTTTTTAATGTTATGATTAGAGCCTGATTCTGCCCTCTGAGTCCGTCTTCTCTCTGTAAACAAAAGAACATGGAGCGAGAAAGCCTTTCCAGATAGGGGGCGTGGTCAGACACAGCTCATTTACATATTTAAAGGTACAGACACAGAAACAGCCTGTTCTGAGCAGGGCTGAAATAGAGGGGTTTATAGACATGATCAAATACAGGATCAGAGTGGATTTAGAACAAGAAACTTCACACACATGTTTTGAGGAGCTCTGAGAACTATTGAAACTGAAGAGGAGGAGAATATGTGACCTTTAAGTTTGGTCGAAAAAATGAACCAATCCTTTCCATCTCTCCTTCTTTTCAGAAAACCGTGTACGGGGCAAACGTTGTCATCTTTGAGGGCATCCTGGCTTTTGCCAACAAGGAGCTGCTCAAGGTGAGGATAACTGATCTCTTTATGTCAAGTTCCTTTATTGCTTTGATTTAAAGTTTTTATTGACTTGTATTTGTTTGTATTTCACTGTGTTTTTGCAAAATCTTCCCTTCTTGTTTTCGCTTTTATTCAGTTTTAACTCTCATATACCTGAAGTGTTTCCTGTCATCACCAGATAAACAGGATTTTTTAACTACCTTCAGCTCTTAAACTGCACAGATGCTCCACATTAGGCCATGCAAATAAATATTTAATTGTCTGGAGTCAATGGAGAACCTTTTCTCAGGTTCTTCTTCCTCTGCTCTCTCTGTCGGTCCTGATTAATGATGTCCGCTCACAGTCGACCAGCGGACTGATTAATAGAGAACAAAGTCTTCTGAATCTTAGTCAAGGCGTTTAAATAAGCTAATTTATCTGTGGGATGAATTATTTCATGTGTTCTCAGGTGACAGGATGAGGATCAATATTGGCTTTAAATTAAATATCCCAAATATAAAATGTTCGCATGAGCTGACATGTATTTTATTATGTGCTATATTTCTATTTATTAGAAATAGTGAAAGGTGTACTATGTAGAATGTTTGCACTAAAATGTCTAAACCTATGTTACACATATTTTTCTGGGGGTGTTGAGTAGCAGAGAGAATCACTCCCATGATTCCCCACCAGCCTCAATGTCATCTTTTCTTTTTGTTTTGATTAAGAGCCCCCTGGTGGCAGAATTTACATACTATGTCTTTAATGACCTCACACATATTTACAGCTAAATAAATACAGATATTCATTAAAAAAAAATTCTGTTAATTTTCCGCTCTTGAACTGAGTCGGGTTTTAAAGAAATAAAATGGCACAACAGTCCTAATTCAGTCCGTTTGTTTTTAATTTGAGCCCTCAGCAGCTCGTATTTTCTATTTATGTGTGTGTGACGAGGAGGCCTGGTCAATGAGGAGAAAATTAATTCTGCAGGGTTTTTTTTTTTTTACTACGTTGGTGTTGAGGGTGTGAGCTGGACCGTGGTGATAAGGCGTGAAGTCTCCCCTGGGACGCAGCTGTGTAGTTGATTACCCTCTGATTCACTTAATAACAGTCATGGTCCGTTGTGTGATTGATGATGCTTTGTGTCCATTCTCGTAGTTGAAGTCAATTGTAGCTGCAGATCTGATATGCTAATGGTCACTCCTCACACATGAACGAGATGCGATGATGAAATATAAATATTACATTTGTCATTATAGTGTTTCCCACACATGGATGGGACCTCGGTGGGCCGTCCAAATATATGTACGACCTGTTTTCTTTAATTTTTAATTTATTCTTAAAATTGTCGCGCGCACTAGAGAGAAAGGGGAGGGAGAGAGCAAGCAAGAATGCAGACATGTAGACCTCAAACACAAATTTTAAACTGTGCCTGAACCTTGCAACTCCTTGCAACATAACTAAAATTCCCTCTCGACCCCTGCAGAGAGAGACAAGACACCAAGAGAGCAGAATCATGTCAGTTTCAGAGAGAGAGAGAGAGGGTCAACTGTCTGTACATCTCTCTTGTAAATGATACAGATTGAGGTGCCCTGCTCATATCGAAACTGAATCTTCTTCTCATGGCTTCCTTCTAATGATGTTGATGTACATGTAGAACTTTTCAAAACGCGAGACATACTCCTGGTGTTTGTGTCTGCGCACAGATTAAGCAGATTAAAGCTGCAAAAACCAGAGACCCCTGCCCCCCCTCACCACCTTTATTAGACAAGACTGACTTTTCCCAAACCATGGCAACAATCTTACATCGAAGCAGGCCTGCTTGGTGGCAGAACTGGTTAAAAAAGTAGACACACCCACTCACTCTTTTGTGCCATTTACATCAGCCACAACATGACACACACACACAAATACACACACACACATAAACTGATGAGTACGTTTAGTTACTGGTGAAGGTTATTTAGCTATGAGTGATGACTCAAGAAGCAGCAATGCTGCACCAAAATGTTCTTTAAAGTCGAGGACTTCTCTCCAGGGTCTCCTGTCGACCACGACCACGGCGGTCTAGTGCCGTATCAGTTTGAACTGTTAGCTCGGGCAGCGAGTTCAGAGACGATGCTGAGGACAGTGAGGGGCAGGAGAGGACGAGGGGAACTCATTCAAGAAGCAGATCTGAAAGCTGATTTTATCCTGTTGAACCGTTGACTAAAAGCAGCTGGTGGAGCAGGTTAGAAAATGATCTACAGCCTCGGCCTTGCTCTCTTAACCTTCGGGAACAATCCACTCCTCATGCCCCTCCCCCTCCGACAGGCCGACAGCCGTGCTTATCCAGCAACATGCCGTCTTTTTGGTTTGCCAGATTTACAGCGGCTTGTTGTGCATCTGAGTTACACCTCAAACACCCCGCTGTCACCGTCATTTAAATCACTCACAAACTTCTTTTTGCCTCGGTTGGCGTCGATACTTGTTTTGGTGTTGCCTCTCTGTTGTTAGCGCTCCGCTGTGGCGCTGCCTCATTGATTCTTCCTGGTTTTTGCTGAGTCAGTTTAATGGAGCTCACTGGACGGATGAACGGCTGACTTACTCTTCAGAGTGACGATGATAACTGATGTCTCCTCGGTTAACACGTTTGATTCTTCAACACGTCATGACTCAAGACGCCACATTTCATGTTTAAAATGTCAAATCATGGAAGAGGCTGTCAGAATATTTTCCTCTGAGTCTTTCAGTGTGCAGCAAAGCAACACGATGTTTGTCTCTATTACTGAAAGATGAAAGCCTCCCTTCAGTCTGCCATTTATCCTCCCTCCTACATTCATACAATCAATCAATCAATCTATCATTATTTGTGCAGCGCCAATTCATAACAAGTGTTATCTGGAGACGCTTTACAAAAGGGGATTAGATGCAGGCAGGATTTTTCCTTTGTATTCCCGGCATTCCTGTTGTCCCGTCTTTCTTGCCGCTGAGGTGGAGGTCGGAGCAGGCCGTGCATGAATATGAAAATCGGTGGTTGTGGGGAGGACTCAATCAGATGGTGGAGGCTGGGCGTCTGGGACGTTGGTTGGTAGTTCTTCACACACAGTTCTTCATATCAATGTATGTTGTAACAAGGTCCTTCACTGAAACAGGAAGTAAACTGACTTAAATGTTTGACAACTTAAACCAAACGCTTGTTCAGCTTCTAATTTTCCCCCTTAGCTAGAATCTTAGACTTTTTTAAGGAGAATACAAAACATTGTGAATTTAAATCAAGCTACAACCTGCAGTGTAAAAAAAAAACTAAGCCAAAGTTGAAATGTAAAAAAACCTGCAGTTCCTCAAATGTCCACTTAAGGCTGCCGCCTTTTTAAAAAAAAACATTTGTGGCTTTTTGTGCCTTTTATTGGAGAGATAGGACGGTGGAGAGAGAGCTGGGAATGATATGTGGGAAAGAAGCCACAGGTCGGACCTGAACCCGGGTCGCCCACTTGGAGGACCACAGCCTCCTTACATGGGGCGCGTGCACTAACCACTGTACCACCAGCGACCCAAAAAATGCCGGTTTTTAAGGCGAAAATAAACAAGCTTACACCCTGGTACAAAAAAGGATCTGGTGTCAATAACTCATTTCTTTGTTGGAGTAATTCAAAGATTTACATCATTAGTGTTGCAGCTGATTTGAACAGGTGGACGTCCTGTTGTTGTCTGGAGGTTTTTTTAAGGGTTCGCCTCAGCTTCACCTCTTTGCCTCTTTCCTTATTGATCTAGAGTTATGTGTAGATACATTTTCCAATATGGCGACAGTCATCGAGCTTCAAAACGCCTCACAGTGACAAAATGGTGACAGATGACATTAACAAGGGCATCGTTTCACCATAGTATATGGACGTAGACTCGGTGGCGTCACCAGCTGGTTTGAGGAGTTATGAAGCCAAAAGTGGCAATCAACATAAATTTAATGTGACAGTTATTCCTTTAATATTTTTATGATTATGCACATTTGTTGTCACTGATGCTAAACAATGGCTCAACTTCTCTTCTGCAAGAATTGAATTGATGCAACAAAGAGCAATCATGTTATGAATGGGAAGAAAGGGAGCAATGTCATTTTAACATTTGAAGAATTACAGAGTTAGCACTCATTGTTGAGCTATCGAACGGTGGAAGTATCCCAGCATATATTTATTTTGTCACAGTGCAGTCTGTCCACATGCTGTTTTTATTCACTGCCCTTCAAGTCATTGGAGGAAACAAAAGATTCACACGCTTTAAGCTCATTAATTCCTCACCTTTCCCTTTCCTGTCTGCCAGCTGCTGGACATGAAGGTGTTTGTGGACACAGACTCTGACATCCGGCTGATACGGAGGCTGAAGAGGGACATTTCACAGCGTGGACGCAACATCAGCGGCATCATCAAACAATACAACAAGTTCGTAAAGCCGGCGTTCGAGCAGTACATCGAGCCCACGGTGCAGTCTGCTGACATCGTGGTGCCCAGAGGTCAGTGGAGAGTCTCTGTAGTCAAAGTTTGTTTCCTGTTTGATGAGCTTGTTTTCATTTACCAGTAGTTCTCCCTACTGTAAGTGAGCATGTCCTTTGTCCCTAAATTCTCTCCTTTTTGTGTCCTGAACTCCTTTTATTCACAGGAGGAGAAAACTTTGTAGCCCTGGATTTGATTGTTCAGCACGTTCACAGTCAGCTCGAAAAGGTAAGAAGTCCTCCGCTTGTTTTTGTTAGATTCTTTATTCGATTTGGGTTGTGGACAGGATTTCATGGATTCAGCTGAACGTTTGTTTGAATCTTTGCTTTTCCACATTACAGATTGTGATTCTGTTTTTCCTTCCTCTGTGTAGAATAAAGGGCTTTGTTTACCTGATGTTGTGCTCAGAGGAGTTTTCACAGCTTGCTTTGTATCGTCTACACCAGAACCTTCTGTGAGGGTGGAGTGTTTTAAACACAACACAGCTCGGTACTCTGCTTCATAATAATCTAAATAGTAGATAGTGCTACTAAAGGTTTGGTTAAAGCATGGTCAGCTAATTCACCCTTTTCCCCAAAGTAACTGTTGGCTACTTTCACCATGACAATAACGGCGGACAAAATCGTCCTTTGCTTGGGCTACAATTGCCTGTGACCTGCATTGTTGTGTTAGTATGCTAATGTTAGCGCTCTTAAGTTAGATTGTAGCTTCACATTGCAGATAAAGTTGACACAGATACATCAGTATCAGTTTTTATTTTTCCCACATGTAGTAAATGCATCCTCAGGTCTGTTTGCAGCCGTCCTGTTCAGGTTGTTAAACCTTGTTCTGTCTCTGAACACTTGCTCCCTCTGCTGGTCAAACAAACTGAAAACAGCAGGAAAGCCGGACTTTTCTTTTTAATCGATCAGACTGTTTGTGAGCACTTTCATACGACACACCCGAACCTCACGATCCCCCCCACAAGGTCTGAGGAAATGCTTTTATACATACGCAAAGAGGGAGGATAAGGATGTTAAATATACAACAAAGCCAAACAGTAAAATGAATACGGCTGTCAGCATTAACTAGTTGAACGCCATTAATTAGGGTCTGAAATTAATGCATTAATTTTCTGTAATCACGATTAATCTCATGCTATTTTGTCCCTTTAGGCTCACCGTAGAAAGGCTAGGTTTTTCCCCAAACTCAGTAGTTTAAAGATCTTTTTCAAGCCTCCCCCTGGTCTCGTTATCCACCCCCCCCCCGACTCCATAAAGGCGGGTCAGGTGAACCATTAAAAGTCTTGGTCCAGTTACCTGAGATAAACGAGCGCATAAAACCAGGACGGCTGTCCTCCATCTTCCCTCACCTGACTGTAATGTCAGCCGCTTTATGACCTGTACCAAACCATGATCTGTTCCACCTTCAACGTGTTCATTAATGACCACTACAGGAGAACACACACAACATCGCTCACACTCACTTTTTCTGACACCTGCAGTAAGTAACAGGGAGCGCGGACTTCCACAGGGGAGCCGGATGCAGAGCTCTCTTTGGTGTATTCATCAGATTTTATCACTTCTACCTGCATGAAGGGTTTTGTGAATTCATGCAAGCAGTAACTGTGAGATTTAATGATCTGCTGAGAGGTTTATAAGAGTGTCTCCTTGTATTAAAAATCTCCACTAAAATGAGTTTAATCTCCAAAGTTCATTAGAAATAAACAAAGTGAGAGAAAAGAATGAAGCTTCTTTCTCACAAAGAAACATTTATTCAGCTGTAAATGTTTGCCTTTGTTGTTTCAGATCAGTTTTCCTCATGTTTATTTTTTTCTTCTTGTGTTTCATTGTTTGCACACACACACAAACCTTTGTGCGTTTGTGTGCGTGCACGACTCCCCGCCCTTGCCTGACTGAATTGCTGTGTAACCATTCCAGCGTGAGATCACTGTGAGGTACGACTGCTGCCTTTTTATTTTATTACTTCTCCATCCTCCTGTTTCTTTCTCTTCCTGCTTTCACTCTGTCATAGTTTATTTTGTCAACAAAGACAAAATAAATGAATGTCGTGTTTTGCTGTTTTTTCTTCTTATAAAATCAAAAAGCAATCTGCGAGTACTTTCTCTCTGCGCCCAGAACACCTTTCATTCTGGTGTCTTGTCAGTGACATTAATAATCTCCGTCTCTTCCTTTCTGGATTTCTTCCTTCTCCTTGAACAAATTGTCGGTTGAATAATATATCATAAAGAGACACAGAAATGTAATGCCCGTCAGTAAATCAGTATAAACCTCTCTCAGCTCATTGTCGGCTGCTTGAAGCTGATGAATGGAGTCGTAGTGACCAAAATAAATTATTACCAGAAGCAGAAGGCAGCTTTTTTTTTTTTTTTTTACTTTTTATAAACAAAAAAACACCTGCTGGTTCCCCATGAGGAGAGAGCGTTTGCAGCAGCAGGCGGCCACCCGGAGAAAAGGCGCAGCTCCCAGCGTCCTTTCCCCACCGTTATTTATCTATCTCTAAAGATTGAACATTGATTAAAAAGAAGTTGTTGGCCGATTTATCAGTATCAGATTTTTTCTCTTCCTTGTATCTACATTTATCGGTTGACCCAAAAAAAATCACATATCAGTCAGGCTCTAATTCTTATATCCTGATAACGATGGAATCAGATTAACTGTGCAGCCCAAGAACACCTGACCAAAACACTCACAGGTGTTCACTAGCTGTGGGCACAGGACACATCACAAGAAAAACTAAAAGTAAAAAAATATCACCAGTCACATGAAATCATCAATTCTCAGTGTTTTTTGTGCTGTTTTAAGAACTGTGTAAGCTCCCTACCCCAAGAAGTAAAGGACGACTAATCTCTACTCTCAGCTCCCAAAGTGTCCCGTTGGAGTGTGAATGGATTGAGTCCCCTTAAATGACCCCACTCTGAAGACAAATTGAATCGAGCTCCTCCGCCCTGAGCGTCAGAGTATTTGTTCAGTGTTGCAGAGCGTCGATGGAGTGGAGCTGTTTCTCTGCTCTAATGCTGTTTCTTTCCCCCTCTCTTTTTCTCTTTTGTCTCCTCTTGTCCTTTTTTTTTTATATATTTGTACTTCCTGTGTTTTTTTCCCCTCTCTTCTCCTTATTCAACCTTTTCACCAATTAAACTCAACAAATGAAAATCTTTTCACCTTCAGAGGAAGCTCCGCTGGGATATGTGAGGCTCGCCTTGTGCATCCTCTTTGTAGCTGTTTTGCACTCTGGCCTTGTTATAAACAGAATGTGTACAATCATCTGTACAAAAAGAAAAGCTTCCATGCTTGTTTGATGTCTTTGCTGCTCTCATGACCAAATTAAGTAACCCATGCAAGACGTCTTGGGAGAAAAGCATTAAAATTACCTGCAAAAGCATGCTTTATGTTTTTATGTTGGAACAGAGCATGCAGAAAACTGAGAAATGGCAACCAAAAAAAAGCTGCTTTAATCTACTTTAACTGCTCTTTACCATGGTAAGCATGTGTTTGAGAGTGATTTCCATGAAATGAGCGCATTTCCTGAACTGCATTTCTTGTTTTGCCTTTTGGTTGCTTTGATGAAACGCAGATTGTTTTAGTTTTTAGTCCAACTTCGTTAGCCTTGTAGCAGCATCCCAGAGTCCCCTGCTACCTCCACTCAAATGCAACGGCAACAAGTTCTGCAGACATCAGCTCAACTGAATTCTTAATGTTACTCATCAAGAATTCAGTTGAGCTATCACATTTCTAAAGACAAGTCTGAATAAAAGTGTTTAAAAACTTTGCAGTTAAGCCTGGCTCACACTGTGCGATTTTTCCCTGATTGTATAAAAGTCGGGGTGGCATGTCTGCTCACACTGTACGACCCGATAATCGGTTCCGAGCAGCCTTGAGTCCCTGCGATTGTCGGGAAGGAAGAAGCTCAAATCGGCCCGATTATCCTGCAGTGTGAGCCAGGCTTTAGAGTGTCATCACCTTGGGCTGCTGCTCGTGTTATCTGATAACTTGAGTCGGGGCAGCAGCAGTCTAAACTGAATCAAATGATTTATTTTGCTTTTAGCACACAGTACAGGGACCTACTCAAAACACCACCTTGTCTACTACTGAGGGAATGAAAACTTATTCAAAAGCATACATTTAAGGGAAAGGGGAAGTCCTTAACGCCTGCAAAATGATATTTCATTTATCACTTATCGTTCCTTCATATTTCTGAAGTTTAATCTTTGGATATGTTTGATTTCCACAGATCGGCTCTGGCTTCGGCTCACCAGGGTCAACCTTTACCCAAAACCCTCAGCGTGATGGAGAGCACGCCGCAGGTCCGAGGCATGCACACCATCATCAGGTCAGAACACACACACGCTCACACCTTTTCATATGTAAAGAGAAGAGGAGTCATCAGTGGTGCATAGAAAACGTGGAGGATTTTCAGTAAAAAAAAAAAAGTCAGCAGCAGAGGTTGAAATATTCTGACTCTGTGTGTCCGTGTAGGAACAAGGAGACGAACAGGGATGAGTTTATCTTCTACTCCAAGAGATTAATGAGGCTTCTGATCGAACACGCCCTCTCCTTCCTGCCTCTCAAGGTGAGTTTCACCTCTAGTTTGTGTGAAAGAGTCAACATTACATTAACCATCTGCTTCTATTGTAAGGCTGTTGACATAAACAGGTTTAAAAAAAATACCTTCAAATGACTTTTACAAACATCTGGGTGACTAACTTGTACTTCTTGTTTTTTTTATGTCTTAACATACAGTACACATATTTTATATTCAACATAAGGATGACAATATTTACATTTTTATAAGTGGTGTAGTGTCAAAAAGGTTGTGATGTGGAAATTCTAAAAAATAACACTTACAATACAGAAACATGTATTACAGTTTGTTTAAAACTCCATCAAGGTTTTCTTCCCTTTCTCTACGATATTTAACATCTTTAGGAGGGCAAACAAACAAATTAGTTATATAAAATGAAAGAATGAAATTAAATTAAAAGAAAGAAAGAGAGAAGAAGAGTCAAAGGAGAAAGAAGAGAGTAAAAAAAACTGTACTTCTTGTTTTGATTCCTCTCCGTCTTTTATTTTCCAGCCCGTGTCAGTGGAGACACCTCAGGGTGGCGTCTATGACGGGAAGAGGCTGAGCGGTAAACGAGTGAGTCTGATATAAATGTTTGTGTTTGTATTCATCTGAAGACCATGTTTCACTTTTCTGCCTCCTTCACAAACTTCACGTCTGAATCTTAAAAAAAAACAACAACAACTAAACAAGTTTTAAAACCCCAACTTCACATCTACGTTCTGCTCTTTGCAGTCTTATCATCGTTTTATTTTTCCTCTTCTGCAGATCACAGGTGTTTCCATCCTGAGAGCAGGAGAGACCATGGAGCAGGCTCTGATGGCGGTGTGCAAAGACATCAGGCTGGGAAAGATCCTCATTCAGACCAATCACGACACGGGAGAACCAGAGGTGTGTGGGACTAAAACGTTACAAACCTGTGAATCTGTTTGAACTGAGTGACAAAGTGAAGACATTCAGCTGAGGTTAAATCAGTGTTTTAATGGTTTTTTTGTGTGTGTCTCTGCAATATGAACTTATTCTCTGCTGTTGTTTTGTAAAAAAAATGATTCTTATTTTGCATTAGTTAAGTGATTTAAACTACAAACATACAGGTAATGAGACTGGTTCCGATGTTTTAGGATATTTTAGATGTTACAATCTGTCTTGTCTCCTCCCTCCAGCTTCATTACCTCCGTCTGCCCAAAGACATCAGCGAGGACTACGTCATCCTGATGGACAGCACCGTGTCCACCGGCGCTGCTGCTCTCATGGCCGTCAGAGTGCTGCTGGTACGTACGGGGATTGTTTAGGCTTTTGGAGAGAGAGAGAAAGAGAGAGAGAGCTGGATGAAAAATACACAAGCAAGTGTTGTAGCATAAAAAGTTCTCGCTCTTCTGTCCATTATAGAAATGTACAAAGAAAACAACTTGTAAATTTCAGTGATAATATCAGCAGGAGGAATTCATATCCTAATGTTTGATAGGTTGAACCATAATTTAAAGAAATAAACAGACTTCCCACGTCTCCTTTCTTCTCCCCTGAAGGACCACGATGTAGCGGAGGATAAGATCTTCCTGTTGTCCCTGCTCATGGCAGAGATGGGGTCCACTCGGTGGCCTACGCCTTCCCTAAAGTCCGCATCATCACCACCGCCGTGGACAAGGAGGTCAACGACCAGTTTCACATCATTCCAGGAATAGGTGAGGACTTTTTCCATCTTCAGGGATGCAAAAAGAAGCCGTTTAATTTCCATATTTAACATCTGAGAGAATTTAGTTTCACCTTTTTTAACAAGTGAAATCCTACATAGAGTTTTTAAATGTTTGTTGCTTCATAGCCAAATCTTCATAAAAACAAATAAGTGATAATTAAAGTACAGCAGAGGTCTTCATTATGTTAGAAACTGGAGGTAAGTGCTGCCTGAGGAGGAGTGTCTCCAGAATACAAAGACACAAGTCACCTCTGATTTTAAATCCAGGAACAAGTGAACGTCTCGACTCACCGACCTCGCAGAACTGCTCCGTTAGAGTCAGCCGCTGCACAACTTTATGAATTATCCTTAACCTTTATCCTCAGGCAGTGAAGGGCAATAAGAAAATGTGATGCATGGAGGTATTAGATGGTAAATCAAGACTGTATTACATCGAGCTGAAAGCTGCTGGACTCCTCTCTCTCTCTCTCTCTCTCACTCTTTTTCTGTCTCTCTCTCTCTCTCTCTCTCTCTCTCTCTCTCTCTCTCTCTCCCTCCCTCTCTCTCCCTCCCTCTCTCTCTCCCCCTATCTCTCTCTCTCCCCTCTCTCTCTCTCTCTCTCTCTCCTCTCCTCTCTCTCTCCCCCTATCTCTCTCTCTTTCTCTCTCTCTGTCTCTCTCTCTCTCCCTCTCTCTCTCCCTCTCTCTGTCTCTCTCTCCCTCCCTCTCTCCTCTCTCTCTCTCTCTCTCCCTCTCTCTCTCCCTCCCTCTCTCTCTCCCTCTCTCTCTCTCTCTCTCTCTCTCTCTCTCTCTCCCTCTCTCTCTCCCTCTCTTTCTCTCTCTCTCTCCCTCCCTCTCTCTCTCCCTCTCAAGAAATGAGCAAACATTTGGTGACTATGACTTCTATTTTTGTTGCCGTGGTATTACAATTAGATATTGAAATGAAAATCATATAGAGATTTAAAATTCTGAATTCAAATGTAGCTACAACACTTTCAATATCAAATCTACTCCTGTGCTCGCTTACAGATTTTGCAGCTTTATGCATGATGAATAAGAGATTAAACTCCCGATGATGTGCGCTGATTGAAGGGCAGGAAAAAGTTTAACCACAAAGTTAATTATTTGTCAGAGGATACAACCCTGTCTCCACTAACCCTCCTCCTGACCGGGGTTTCTTTCTTTCTCCACATTTTGGTTTTGCAGGTCCCAATCTTTGCGTTGTCACCTTAAGGAAAACGTCCCACCCTCCCTGTCTCTGTCTTTTTTTAAAAACTTATTCCATGTGTTTTCGTTTCTCGTTTCCAAAGGTAATTTCGGAGATCGTTACTTTGGCACCGACGCTCCGTCAGACTGGTGTGAGAGCGACGAGGGGATGGACTTCTGAAGTGTGAGGACGTGCTGCAGCGTTGTTACAAAAAACACTTAAGAGCTGTAAAAACTCCTCACAGCCTCACTGGACTTCCTCCTGACTGACGAGGTGACGCTGTACACACGAGAGGAGTAGTAATCATCCACTTTTATTCCAAATTCAAAGAAATCATGAACACAGCGCTTAGTGTTTGGATAATCAGAATCAGGCTCACTTCACATCAGTTTGCATTCAGCTTCTAAGAGACTTTGTGGAAAGTTAAGATCTGCTCCTCAGCTGACGTGTTTACCAAAGTTTGCGACACACGACCTCTTTCCTGTTAGCGCTCGGCTCTGTGCGATGTCGACAAACAAAGTGGAGGAATAAGAGAACTCGTGTCTGTGTGTGATTCTGAATCTTATGGGATCGTTCCTCTTCATGAGCCATGGAAACACCTTAGAAGAAATATCGTCTTTTCAGGGCACGGCGCCGAACCGTAGATGAGTTTGTGATCAGTGAGAGCAAATTTTGGATTTTAGTTTACACTTCAAATTAAAGGAGATGGACGGCTTCCTGTTCTGCAGGAGGCTCGTTGGTTCTTATCCATAGATGGAGAAACTAAAGCTCCTTTCAATTTCAGATTTCACTCTGGCATTAAAACAAATCTCTGCAGTCTTCAGATGAATTCAGATTTATTCAACATGAAATCAAATTCCTCAGTGTCAATATGAAGGCACAACATGTGAACAAACAGCACCAGCTTTGCACACATACACACAAACAAACACATGTTCTGCCCACTCTTAACGTCTACAGTGGTGCTGGATCACCTCTCTTTTGCCTTTAGCCTTTTTCCACAGTCTGTGTAAGACGGGGCGGCTATGCCTCAGCGCTAAGGTGTAATCGGGGGGCAAAGTCATTCCACCTCTGAGCCGGTGCTACCCATCGAGATGTGTTACCATGCCACTCTGTGCAGTACAGGGAGAATTATTTGTTCGGGGCTCTTCCTGTTTTTCCTCTAAAATCTTTTTTATTTTAGAGAATCAAAACATGCTTCTCGTTTCTTTACGGTGCAAATGCAGCGAGTACTGGTGTTTTAAAGTGATTCTGTACTGGGAGTATTATCATGATGGGATCATTGTCCATCAAGATACCTTTCCTCTGAAGCACCAAAACATCCTCCCCACACTCTGTTAATGCATACGGGGACACGGATAGCGTCTGCTCTCGTTTTGCTCTGTGGTAGCATTTTCCTTCAACAAGGCAACACATCTCAGAGCACTGACGGACTAACAGAGGCGTAAAAGAGGTGTAGAGGTTCCAAGCAGCGAGAGTGTCCAGAGCTGTGTACCGGTCGTGCCTCGTGTGCTTCCACATCACTTTAACACTATAATGTACAATCACACACTGGGATGCCAGTTTTGTGCTAATTTGAGGTTCAGTGTAAAAAAAAAGTATAAAGGTATCGTCGTTGTGGAGCTTCGTTACGGCGCTAAGGTGAAATCTCACGGTTCTGTTACTTCCTCTGACGTTGGCTCATGAGAGGAACGACTTCTCCGCACATTTCCTCCTCTGTGACATTCACAGTCCGGCCTTCAGCGGGCTGCATGGAGGAGGCAGAAGATACCTCATAATGCTGCTGCTGCTGCATGTTCTCATTATGCATCTGCATGTTGGAGACACACCAGCTTATAAACAAACACAGTTTTTATGAGAGAGGCCACCTTCACTATCTAATCATATTGTTTGTGAGAATTGAAGGTCGAAGCTAAATCTTTAGCTGAGTCATTCAGGTTCAGATCTAAACTGAAAGTTATCTCAAACTTTAAAAATTGGACATTTAAATCTGTTACGTTGTCTTCAAGCCGGCGTCTCTCTCACGACACTTTGTTTTGTTTACATTAAAGTGCGCAGGTGCTGCATGTCACATCACAAACAGGGTATAAAGGTTTCTATATCGCGGGGTTAACCCGATTTTTATTTCACTGCAATCTCAAAAACTTGATGCTGCGAATTTGTGCCAATTTAATCTATAATCTGAATGCTTGAATATAACGTAGATTGTGATGTCTGTGATGTGTTTCTGTCGCTGAAGCTGCAGAGAAAAGCATTGAATTCTTGTACTCTCGTTTCGGCCGGAAGATCTTTACAAATATTTCAGTAAAGTCTTGTTGCCTTCAGAGAACAGAAGTTGTAAATAATTAATCTTGAAAAAAAAAAAAAAAAAAATCCAGAGTTCCTACGACGATTCTCTGATGTATCCCTGTACTTCATAGTGTTCGATGTTCACCCGTGCCCACCGAGAGTTTCTATGACAACAGTCTCTATGACAACGGCCGCTGTATGACCGACACTGCTCCGGTACTTTTTACTGCATGTTTTATGTTTGAGATTTTTTTTTAATTTCCCGATCAGACACGGAGCAAAGAGGATGTGAGTACAAGACACGATCTGTAGGGAATATCATACATTTGGAAAAAGAGCGCCGGTTACGTCAACAGCGCCTTTCTGACAAGTTGTAATCATTTCCGGTGGCCGTTTTCTGCTGTGAACGCTCTCCTCCTTGAAAACAATTTTAAAACAGACTCTGGTGCTGAGAAAAAAAACATTAAGGACACGGCCTTATAACGGCGTAATCTTTAAAAATGTAATCGTTTGTTTTTGCCCAAAGACGTTACATGAAAGAAAAACAACGCCTTGTATTTAAAGACAGTTCTGTCTAAGTCTTTGAGGATGCAGGAGAAGGTTCCTTTAGTTTAATGTAATATATTAGTGATGCAGCGTGTCGTTTAATTTTCTGTTATAGCGTTAGAAAGGCTTTGCTCTGCTGGTGAAGCTTCAGAGGTCTGTACTGTACATTAATGAACAACTCAGGCAAAGTTCACTAAAAAAAACAACAAACAGCCCGAGGATTTATACTTGAACAAGAAGAGTGATGTTAAAGGGAAACAATCACGTGTTGTTTTATATTTTGTTGTTGTTTATTTTTTAAACCATTGCTGAATTTTGGATTTAAACTTAAAATTTAAGTTTTAACTTTATTCTGTCCGTTGTTAAAATCTTCCCGTGGAGCTTTCTCTGCACTAATGAGAAAAGTTAATACATTTTTCAAAAGGTAAAAACGTTTAACGTCATTGTTAAAGTTTGAAGCAATGTATCGCTCGGCTTTAGCTGCTAATTAGCATGAAACAGCTGTCTAGAAGGTTTCTTTCATTGACTTTAAGGTCACATATTATGCTAAATCCACTTCCCCATGTTTCTCTAACACTAATATCCAAGTCCATCGTCTTTTACCTGCTCCACTTTTCAGAAAATGAGTGCTCAAACAGGCCGTTTGGAGATTTTCCCTTCATGACATCACAAAGGGCAGTAGCCCCTCCCCCAGGTGGGTGACACTCCCACAGCTAGGTGTTTGTTCTGCCCTCTGAGTCTGCCTTCTCACCGTAAACAATAGGACATGGAGCGAGAAAGACCGAGTACACCCAAGTCCTTCCAGAGAGGGGGCGTGGTCAGACACAGCTCATTTACATATTTAAAGGTACAGACACAGAAACAGCCTGTTCTGAGCAGGGCTGAAATAGAGGGGTTTATAGACATGATCAAATACAGGATCAGAGTGGATTTAGAACAAGAAACTTCATAGACATGTTTTGAGGAGCTCTGAGACTTATTAAACTGGTTGAAGAGGAGGAGAATATGTCACCTTTAAGATTAAAGCAGCATTTCATTGTGAACTGATCATATTGTTGATACAGACGTTAACCCATATGGAGGCTTTTATTTGTTCTGTTAACATTTATTTTCTGGCTCTTTTTTTTTTTACATGTTTATCTTAATTTATTTCATGTTTTTACAGAATTTCTGACATCATAGTCCGTTACAGTGTTCAAATATGATGTCATTAAACTTCTGACAGATTCATTCCCCCGTTACCATCGGTCCATTTGAACAGGTTGATTTGAAGATGAAGCCTCGTTAACGGGACAGTTTTGACTTGACAAACAAACATCAACTAGAACCTTCTGTTAACAACATTCATACATTCATGTGATGTTCAAATCTGCAGGTACAACCACTCTGTATGTCTGGAGGCTTTACTTTGACTGTTACTGCTCGTTTGTGTGTCGGTTTCTGTCTGGACCTGCTCTGTATGTAAACTGTCATCAGATACGTTTTGATTTAATTTGCAGCTTGTTAAGTTTTATAAATTAAATAAAAACTGACCTGACGATAAAGTTTTAACCAGATTCTTCCTTTGCCTATTCTACAACTTTTTAAAATATAACACTGGTGAGTGGCAGTAGATCTGTCTGTAGGGACTTGGGTTGGGAACCGGAGGGTCGCTGGTTCAAGTCCCGATACGGATCAAGTCTGGAAGTTTGTCTGGTAGCTGGAGAGGTGCAAGGTCACTTCTTGAGGACTTAGTGCATGTTCATAGGATCCTGCTTGTACATGTGTGTGTGTTTCAGCCTGTGTGTGTAACATGTTCAACAACAAAGTGTAAAACTGAATTTATGAAAAATAGAAAAAAAGATAAAAAGACAAAAAGATCCAAAAAACGAGGGCCGGAAATCAAAACTACAAAAATATAAGTTGTAGCTGTAGCTCAGATTCTGTCCTGATGTTTAATTACCGGGATTGTCCATAAGGGGGCAGCAGACTTTTTGTTTATAGGGGAAGTGACGCACAATGCAGTTCTTACGCTGCCTTCAAGGGCTGTGGGAGATAATTGTTGTAACTTTGTCTATTGTACATGTAGGCAAAAACAGAAACAAAAATGACTTAGTAGAATCGAATTCTCTATAAACATTAAATAATTCAGAGATTTTATGAAAAAGTCTTACGAAGGTTTTGCATAATGAGATGCAGAAAAAGTCCACATAAATAAACTGAGAATTGATGTGTGAGGAAAGTAAAGATTAACCAAACAGAGAGTAAACCAGTGCAGTACATGAAGCATGAACTATGAACAAAAGGAGCACACAGTTATGAGTAGTGAGACGGCATCCACATGCTGCAGCCAGCAGGATGACACAGGTGAGCCTCTGTTTTCTCTACAGTAACGCCCACACAGGTGACAGAGTCAGGTAGAGGAGAGCCAGAGGAGCAGGTAACTGATGAAGGCTCACAAACTTAATCCAAAGCAGTGGCCCAAAATGCAATGACAGTAGGAGCCCCATCTGACGTCACTTGTTACCCCGCTAAGTGTTGCTGTGAAAACCAAAGTTTGTCAATGAAAGTCAACGAAGACTAATTAAGAGGAACTACCTGTAGGAGAGAGAAATGAAAAGGGAAAAAAGGAAGAGGAATATGCGTCGGGACACAGGCAACCACCATGAAGCTTTGCCAAAGGCCCCAACAGACCGAAGAGTCACCACTGCAGAGTGAATGGGGATTTTCTATTGTTATTATTATTTATTATATTATTCATTTATTATTATTATTATTATTTTAATGATTATTATTATTATTATTATTATTATTATTTATGATTATTATTTTTATTATTTTTATTATTTTTATTATTTTTATTATTATTATTATTATTATTCTATTGTCAGTTTTCAACCCAAAGCTTTCCTTTCATCTCGAATCTTGAAACGAAACTCTCCCCTTTAACTTACAGTACTGAATGAAGTGAACGCCAAATGTTTTATTTGTAAAACGCAAAATTCGGAGCTGATCCCTGACCGTGAAGGCACCACGAGCAGCTCGTTCAGTCAAAGCGCTTTCACTCTGCGTAACATGCACACTTAGTTTAAACATCTTGTAATAATATAAAGTAAGTATTAATACTCCTCAGTTTGAGATGTTGTTATTGATGTTTGTGTTTCAGGATGCAGCAGCTTCGTTGTCACATCGTTACAGGAACATGTGGTAACCAGTAAGGACTTGTTTTGTTACAGACTTTCAGTCGTTGGGAAGTAAAGTCGTTATTTTGTTACGTCAACGTCAATAACAAGTAAAACTGTAACGCTCGAACTACGTTACGCCAGTTAGCTAGAAAAGTTCCGCCGAACTACATTAAAAAACTTTGTGATTTTGTAGTTTTTATGTCTTTTTTGTACTTTTGAGTTTGTGTCACAACTGTAGAGAAGATTTAATTAAATTATTTGAACCAACTCTTCAATTCGGCTGTAACAGATTTCACAGATTCATTCAATTTAACATCTAAAATCGTAGTTTTTGTGACAGATTGTAGGCTATATTTGAATGCGTGTCAGGACAATCGTCCATGTTTCTATCAAGTATTTTTGACAACTGGTATGTCTGATTGTTTGTACATTTTTATCATTTGATAAAGTTTATCCAAAAAATATTTAAGGCAATTATTCACATCAAGTTTTAAAAGATTTCACAGTAAAAACAAAAATTGTATTCATTTTTAAAATTAAAATCTTTCATTATTGTGGATGTTGTATTAGTTGTCCAACAGCTGATACAGTAATAAACAGAGCTATCATTAAAACTTGCCTCAGTCAGACATGTCATCTCTTTTTAATTCAGGTTTTATTTACCAAATTGGCTTATCTCTGTTATAAAACAAACTATTTAAACAAACCACCTTTAGCTTAGCCTTAGAGAAACAGGCCAGCCTTAATAGATGGAGTAACAGGACTTATTAGCAGTGTAGCTTAATGTAAGTCACATTGCTTGGTGGTGGCGTGTTAGCGTGCAGACTTCATGAATGAAACCTTTTTGCAGACATCACTTTGAGATGTTTTTCTTTTCCCTCCAGGAGGCAGAATGGCAGCACTGTGGAGATCCTACCAGGCTCTGATGGGCAAATACCCCTGGACTGTGCAGATCGTGACCGCTGGTAGGTTTACCTCACATTTCACAGATCACAGGAGATGCAGAGGAAAGTTTCCCAACACTTTAGACACATTTCATTGTTTTCAAATGTAATCATTTCAATCAGAGAATTGAGAGTTTATTTCCCAGTTCAACTCCCTTGTTGGGGAAGATAAAGTGAGAACATGTGATGACAGACACAGGGGGCTTAACTTGACCTTTGCTCCAGCGTACCATCTTTAAATCAACAAAGAGGAAACAGGCCGTTGACCGAGTTACCTTGACTTATTTCGTTTTTTTTGCATTATGTGTAGTAGGGCTGCACGATAAATCTCAAGGCATCGTCACGGCAATAGGAGCATCGCAAAAGTCTGAATTTATCAAATTAAAAAACTCAGTATGTTCACATTTGATCTGTTTGATGGAGGTCAATGCATTCAGATGCAGCAGGAGCTAACTATTAGCTACCTTCAGATTAATTGATGCTAGTTTAATGATTAAAAAATAGACTTTTTTGGCCTTAGGAGGGACATCAGAATCAGTTTTATTAGCCAGGTATGCTCACACACACACACACACACACACACACACACACACACAGGAATTTGACTTTGTTGAACTGTGCTCTCTATGTACAAAAAGTCAAACATTAAATATGAACTATAAATGCAAAGTAAAAAAAAACTAATATGTAGAAGACTAATTGAGACAACAGTGCTGTGGTGAGTAGTGCTGAAATTTCATGTTTCATGAAATAAACATGAAAATAGAAAATGTAATTATGACATGTTGACAATTTGATGCTAACACAAATATTGTGTAAACATGAAGAAAAGAAGGTGGACAAAAAAACTGAGTTACAGCCAACATATACTTAACAAAGTACAAAGTAATCAAACAGTGTATGATTTTCTAACAGCATGCAGGCCTAATATGTACATAAAAAAACACAAGAACTAAAGCAACAAATGTTGGTCAGGCTGAGAGAGAGAGAGAGAGAGAGAGAGGCACAGGAAGCTGTTGTTTTATAGCTTTTAGAGCAATGGGCCCAGCAGGATATGATTTCTCCATGGCAGCTCACAGAAATAACATGCACATGAGCACAAACATACGTGCACACACAAATCAGGGGCCGTCACACATTCAGTGTAGTACACTTCAATCCCCACTAGATGGAGCCAATTATCAACATTAGTTTGATGACTCGATACAGATCAGGAACAAGAAGAAGATAAACTTTATTAATCCAGCGAGGGGAGATTCTGTTTTACTCTGTTGTTGAGACATGCACACACACATACGCTGAAACACACACACATGCACAAACCTGTGCAACATTTAATTAACGAGCGCTCCTGAGCTGGTGGTGGTGGGGGGGGGGGGTCGATGACTTGCTCAAGGGCACATTGGCAGTGCTCAGGAAGTGATCTTGCACCTCTCCAGCTACCAGACAAACTTCCAGACTTGGTCCACACCGAGACTTGAACCGCCGACCCTCCAGTTCCAAATCCAAGTCCCTACGAGCTGACTGACAGACAGTTATTTTTTTAGTACTGACTTATTATGTTCAAATAAATGTCAGGAATAAAACTTATACTAGAATGAAACTTAGAACAAATCAAAGCTACTTCCACTTCCCTTTTTTTTTCTCCATCAGATGAAGCTTTATACTTTTATTTCAGCAATTTATATGCTAATGTTTCATTTTCTCGGTAGACGACCTGCGTGGTCGGTTTCACAGAAACACAAATCAATCAGTCAGGATGATTCTGAGAAACCTTTCATGAAATAACATATTGCAAAACCCATTTTTTTCTTCTTTTTGTTATCCTGTAATTTGTGAGATGTGTTTAGGTTCTAACCGTTAAATTAGATTGACCTGAAAACTAAAACAAGAATATCAGCATTCATCCTGATAAGAAATCAGTAAAGCACAATTTACTCTTCAGAAGAGAGTCTACAAAAAAAATAATCCTTAAAGTTCTGGGAACACCTTGTTGAGTCATTCAGAAAAGAAATATGTAGGCCGATCAGCGTTCAGATTTCCTGATTTCCTGGAATGCATCAGAAGTGATCAATCTGACCTCCATTTAACCAACAAACATTCACAAACTTTTTCTCCTTCTCTTGAGGACTGACCTGACCAAACTTTTTGCTTTGTACGACTTTGCATCATGATGTCGTCATTTCAGCAAATTTTCAAGGCAATTAAATCACAAAAAAAAAGTTTTCTTGTTTTTCAGGTTGAAGTTAGTCAGAGTGAAACCTCCGTGTAACTTACTATTTACAGTTAAACTGAGACTCACCAGAAACAGATGAACAGGCGCTCGGTGGATGAACAAACAATGACAGTGTCGCCTCTCAACCGGAAGGTCGAGGGTTCGATCCCCAGCTGAGCAACGTGTCCTTGTTGTCCTTGGGCAAGACACTTAACCCTGAATTACTCCCGCTGCTTCGTGGCGGTGTATGAATGGGATTAGTTACCTCTGATGGATCGCTACTACATAGTGATCACTACCATCAGGGTGTGAATGGGTGTGAATGGGTGGTGTGACATGTGGTGTAAAAGCGCTTTGAGTAGTTGGAAGACTAGAAAAGCGTTATATAAGCTCAAGTCCATTTACCTTTTACTTCTGCTTAAAAATCTGAACACACGTTTGCTTCACAAGTTGCCAGTTGGACTTTAAATAATGCTTCTATATCGTCGTCGGATTAGACCTGATTGTTTGTGGCGTCGGGTTGTCGTGTGTGTCTGCGTTTGTGACGTTTGGCGTCGGACTTCAGGTTCTGTCATCGCTTTAACCATCGAGGTCTCTGAGTCAAAGTGAAGAGAGGAAATATTTGTATTTATTGCTTTTGAAAGTAAGGTGACGTTTCCTGTTCAGTGTTCTTGTGTGTGTGCTTATGTGTCAGACTTGTCGCCTTTACCACCTTTATTAGCTCTCCTTTGACATTATAAGTTAAAGGTCACCTCTTCAGATGGATCTATATTACCAACCTGAGCGGTCAGTTTTAAATGTTAACAGTGTGAGTTGACATCATGTTAGTGTTTCAGAGTTTTTAAGAGTCTCTTCATGAGTCAGGACGATAAAAACGACCTCCTTGAGCTCCTAAAGAAAGTGACGTTGACAGCTGTTGGTTTGTTTAGTGCTGTGTACTTTATCACCAACATTATTCTCATATTTTGACATAACATTATTGAGCTAATGAAGCGGCCAAAGAGCTGGAGTTGAGGTGTAAAAAAGTAGATATTGTACCTAAATTGATCAGGAGGTGAGAGGTTATGTTGCTTCTGGTCTGATTGATTTATAAATTGGATGTTTTTGTTAAATGTTCAGTGATCTCTTAGAGCGGTGTGACTGTCAGCTTGTTGCAGGATCATAAAAATCCATTCTTAAGGTCCTGAAACTGAAACTATTTCAATCATCCATCAACACGTCGAGATGCCTGAAGATGCTTTCCAAAATGTGCCGGTGTAGACCGAACTATTTGTTATATTATCTACAAAGACCCAACGGTAATCCATCATGAGCACTAAAGCAACATTTAGCAAAGATACATCGGCAGGAAAGAGACAGAAACCTCGAGCAGGACCAGACGCATGATGAAGAGCCGTCTGCTGAAACTGTGCCAGGCTTGGAAAGAGGGATAGAGAGAGACAGAGGGAAACAGAGCAACAACAACAGCAATGAGTGAAATAGATTTGTAATGCCTTTATGTATCTACATACAGAAGATGGGCCCAAAGTTCCTCTGCAGTCCTCCAGCTCATTTCTGTATCATTATGTGGATCAGATCACTTTTTAATAAAGTTGTCATCACAGCTTTGCAGCCATATCGATTCTGTAACATCTGCATCCATGCACGTATTTGCAAGGAGCACATAGCACATGTAGCCGTATCGATTTTTTGACCACAACCCTAGAGGTGCAGGTTCGAATCCACTCCCACCCACTCTCTCTCTCTCTCTCTCCCTGATTTCTGACTCTCTCTACTCTCTGATCTCTGCAATAAAGGACTCAAAAGTCCAAAAATAAATCCTACAAAAAAAAGAAAGAAAGAAAGCATCATGATCATCATCAATTAAAAACTACAACATCCCTGGTTGCAATGCATTGTGGGTAATTAAATCAGTCAGATCTGCCCCCTGTATAGACTTGTTGATGAGTTGTGGGTTAGGACATCCCTCAGCTCTCAACGTCTTCCCTGCACACTCTGACATTTTTGATTCATCCAGAACTCTTTCAGATATTTTTTTGTGAAACCTCACATCTCATGATCAACAGTTTTTTCTTCTCTTGGCTGCTTGTTGTTTTTTTTAATCTCTGTCTAAAACAATGTAAACATAAATGTCTCTTGCAGCTGCAGTAGAAATCTATCTCTGCCACACTTGTACAGTCATCCCCCACAGGAACAATCTCACCTGCATCACCGCGCTCTCAGTGTCTGTCTACTGTTGGTCCTTCAGGCTCTTTAGTGGGCGTCGGTGATGTCATCTCCCAGCAGCTGATCGAGAGGAGAGGATTGGCTCATCACAACGTGCGGCGGACAGCCAAGATGATGAGTATCGGCTTCTTCTTTGTGGTAAGAAGTGTCGTCTTGTCTTATGTATGCTACAGCTAAATATAAACGCTAAATGGACTTGAGCTTGTTTATTTCTTTTCTAGTCTTCTGACTACTCAAAGTGCTTTTCCACTGCAGGTCACACCTACACATTCACACACTGATGGTAGAGGCTGCTGTGTAAAGTGAGCATCAGTATTAACTCATCCCATTCATACACATTCATACGTCACTGATAAATCAGAGGGAGCAACTTGGGGTTAAGTGTCTCGCAAAAGGACACATCGACACGTAGCTGCAGGAGCTGGGGATCAAACCCGAACTCTCCGGTTGAGAGACGAGATGAGTTTTTCACTCTATAAAATGGTTCAAATTCCTGCTTAAGGGATTTATTAAGACCGTCGCTTTTATCCAATCAAAAGTCCCAAATGAAAAGTCACATTGTTCTTTCATAAATGACAAAGAAAAGGAAGAAAAGTCCGATTTAAAAAGGTGGAATCAGCAAATGTTTGACATTTTGATTGAAAAATGACTGAGACGATGACTCAAATAAGTTACTGATCGTTGCAGCTCCCGACTCCTGTCAAGAAAAAGAGACAGAAATAGGAGTGTGGCAAGTTTTGAGCTCATTTGATGAATTTTATTCCTAAAAGTTACCAACATGTAACATACTTACACAGAGAACAAGATGGAAAAAATAGGAAGAAAGATAACCGTTTTCACATCTGCACTCCTGAAAATGTTCAGGAGAACTGACCCTGAACTGGTCACACACGCACCTCACAGCAGGTGAATATCTCTGTCAGACGGGAGGGCCTGTTGAAGTGTTGGACAAAGAAACAGAGTCCGCTGTACGATGCTATAATGAAAATATTTACCTTCATATCAATGCTACGTGTAGCTACACTTTAGTGTTTAGTGACCATCTTGTTTTTGTTATACTGTTTATCTTTTCCACATGTTTGATGACTGCAATTGAGGGATAAATGCAATAAATGTGTTTATCTATCTATCTCTAAAGATCAAACATAGATCTAAGAAATATATCAGCCAATATATCTGTATCTCATTTTTTTTCTCTCCACAATATCTTTATCGGTATCTGCACTAAAAACCCCGTATCGGTCAGTCCTAGTTTGATTCAAATAAAAGTTTAATTCAAGCATCAAAAGCTTCATATTGTTAGTTAATGCATGATCCACTGATGTGATGCTGATGCTCCTCCATGTTGCATATTGTTCCTGTATGTGAAGTTGTGTGACAGCAGGATAAAGTGGCACATTTCTTTCGATGACGTCATCACCACGTCGATAAGAGTTTATTTATATTTTCCTTAATCGTCTTACGTCCATCCAATCGGCTGCCTAGTGGTTTTAGATCACAGAAGAAGATCTCTGCCAGTTTTTTATTTATAGACGCTCCTTTATGCAGGATTCATGTCACACAGAGACATGTTTGCTCATTCATGTAGAAAAACACGACTCATACATCATGTAGTGTTTGTCCTCTCATCAATTATAGACTCATAGATAATATGTTTATGTATAATTTAAGATGATCTGCTGTTAACATGCAGACAGAAACCTCTGCATCACAGTTTGACTTTTTTATGAAGCTGCATAAAGAATGGTGTTTACATGTTTGGATTTCCTCTTGTTTGTGTCATCAAAGGGTCCGGTTATCGGAAGCTGGTACAAAGTTTTGGACCGCCTCGTGGTCGGAGGGACTAAAAGTGCTGCCATGAAGAAAATGCTCGTTGACCAGGTGAGAGCAGCTCAGAAGAACCTGAAACAGTCTCCATCTCTTCTTCTCCTACCTTTTTAGTTGTTTTTATTTTTCGGGTGAAAGACAAGCCAAAGTTTTTTTTTTTAAGTTTAATACAAACAGCGTGTGGGTGTTTCCGTCCTCCACTCAGGCTCATTATTTGTGGCTAAAGGGCGGATGAGTCCCGACCACAAAGAGACAATTTGCTCACATCAGGGTGACGGACGGAAAAGATGTCACAGTTATTCAAGAGCTGAGATTTCAGGCTGTTTACTGTAACCCCCTCCTCTTTAACTGAGGGCACAAAAGACGCTCCAGAGGGGTAACCCTTCTTCTCTATGTGTGATTATTTCATCTGTTGCATGCTGATTTAGTTAACAGGAAACATGATCTAAAAGGAAGATAAGGGGACTTAAAATGTTAAAGACACAAACGACTCTGAAGCCAGAGTTTGCTTCATTAGCTGATAACTCCTGGGTCTGTGAAATGTCTAAAAATAAAGTCTTTGTTTGTGTCCGAGCGACAGACCAAACGGCAAAGCAAATTTGTGACGCTGTAAGCAGTGGATGTGTAACACTTCTGCTCAAGCGGCAACCTCCGGTGTTGAAAAAGCGTAAGCGCAAAATCCTGCAGTTCATCGAGTGTCCACTTGAGGCCGGCACACAGGACGTCACACACAACCTAATTCAAACTGGCCTGTTTTTACAGCAGACATTAACATGTTAACAGTCTGGTACAAAAAATTAAATTGTTCTGAATAGTTTTTGTCATCACCAAGATGATAGTTGACAACCCAGGAAAAAATGTGTTCATCCTAAACAAGGTGTTTTTGTAAACCAGTGGATTCAATGTCTTTTACAAAGGTGACTTTAAACTTGAAGTCATCAAAAGCTAAATTATTATTTTTTCACTTTGGCTTAATTCTCCATCAGAAAAAGTCAGATCCAGATAAAGCCGCAGTTTTCTCCCGGTCACGCCGCCCTCTGGTGTTTGATTGGATCAAACTCCTGCAGAGCAAGACGTCAAAAGCTTTCAGTCCTCTTACACTGAAATATTTATCGAAGCAAAGGGTCCACTCCTCCGCTTGAACGGCTCTGTGTCCACACTGCACGCTGCTCCGTCTGCCTCGCTGATAACCGAGGGGGCCATTTGGTGAATTGAAAGATGAAATGCTGCAGCAGCTTCTCACGACGTCAGACCTGAATAACAGAGGAAGTCGTTTATGTAAGTTTCATACGTGAGGAGAGGTTTCACTGTAAACAAATAAAACTGATATCAGGGTCTCTTGAAGGGATGAACTGTATGTGCAGTGTTTATAAAGAAGCTTACAGAAAGTCATATGTCCACTTAATATGCATCAAATATGATCTTTAGAGAGTTGCTTAACATCATGTTTATCTTCCAAATGCTTTTTTTCCCCATGCTCAAATCAGACATTTATTGCACGGTGTACATAACCACGCTGCAAGGTCACAATCATTGGCAGAGAGTTAAGACATCAGAAAAAAGAAACCTCTTAAAATAACTTTTTCAAGTGAAGCTTCACTGATACCGACAGCTCCTCCAGCCTCATAGTCAAATCAGTGAGATCCTTAAAGACTCTTAATATTGTCCTGACATCATGTAGACTTATATAGACCATTGACTGACTTGAACATATTCCACAGAAGCTATAAGACCACAGACTGTGAATAAACATTTGAAGTCTGCGTGACGTCACCAGTGGTGTAGTGCAGGGTAAACGCAGGTATGTGGAGCGTACCCACCTATTTCTGAGTCTCCTCTAAATCACACCAGTAATTGACTGACAATATTCAGTAGGATGCTGCAATATTTTTCCTAGGATGGTGAAGGGATCAACCTCCCTACTCTGTATCTATTTGACTAGTACACACTGAGTATGTCACTGTTTATAACAGAGACAGGGACACTTAAAAATACAAAGGCAGGAAAAAATGAAGAGAACAGTATACCCACTTCTTTACACACCACTAAACCACTGGACGTCACCCATTGGTTACTGAAGGGGGCTTTGGAAGCACATTGTGAAAAGACTGACTCAACCTAACTTTCAGTCGACCTAACAAAAGGGACGAGCCGCAGCAGAGGCGGGCCTTAAGCCTCCTGACAAACAGCTTCAAAACGTCAGCCCATTCGTCGATAACGCTCATCCTTCATAAAATCCAATTGGAGGAGTTCAAGATCACTCCCCGAACAGTGTGTGCCGATCGAGACATGAGCTAATTTGACCAATACTGTTTTTTGAACAGGGCTGTAAACATGGTCAATTCTGCTGTAAAAACAAACTTGTTGTGTCTGATTCTCCCGGTGCTTCAGCAGCCAGCCTCAAGCGGACGCTCCACAAAATGCAGGATTTTGCACTTCCGCATCGGCTTCATCTTTCAACACTGGAGGTTCCTGCTTGTATAAGAAACAAACATTGCATGAGGCTTTATTCTCTAGCAAAGGCTGCTAGAGACATGTGTTGATGTCGACTGTTTGGCGAGCCAGCCAGGACACCATCTCAGTGTAGCCTCAATGTGAGATTAAGCTTCTGAAACAAAATGACTTTAGATTTTATAATATTTATTATTCACCACTTACAACCCCTCTCAAAGGTTCATATCACAATCTGAGCAGTGATTTCAGTCACCATCTGCGATGAGGGTTTACCGTACAAAGTGGGATTAAAGCAAATTAGCGAAGATTTAGCTATCATAAATGTTGTGTATGTGTTTTAAAATGTATTTTATTTATATCTCTACTTTCATAAAAACAACTTTCACGTATGAAATAAATGTTCCCCTCTGTGTTTGTAGTTGTTTTTCGCTCCGTGTTTCCTGGGAGCTTTTCTCGGGCTCTCCGGCGCTCTGAACGGACTGACGGTGGAGGACAACGTCAGCAAACTCAAGCGGGTGAGTCAGCTTTATTTCTATTCCACCTCACTTTGGACGTTTTCACACACGCTCTCCTGAAGATTTATCAAGTTGCCTGCACACCAACCCTCAGTGGGAACAACTTCCTGTTGGACTGAAAGGGAGGGGGGGTCTCAGGAGGGCCAGACAGGAAAAAGATGCTGGAGGAATCCAAGATGGCGGATAAAGTCAGTTTGACAGTTTATTCCTTTGTGTGAATGCTACCTTTAAGTGGACATATTCATAGTATCAACAAACAAGTGGAAAAGAACTATAAAAGCAGAAAAGAGAATGAAGCTGATTTATTAGATGCACAAACATCAAAGCAGTGGAAGCATATAAACATCATCACCCCTGTGCGCTCGCCCACAAGGAATATTCCTGAAATGTTCTCACCGTGTCGACACCCCGATTTCATGCTCAGCTGACTAGAAAAAGTCCAGGTAAAGTCAGGGTGAAAATGTGTCTGTTTTTTGTTCACACATGCAGCTCAAAACAGAAATGACGGATTTTTTTTAGCTGTTTTGTGCATGTGTGAAAACAGCATTTGTACAGTATATTTTTAGCTTTTTATACTCTCAGCCAGGTTTTATGTGGGATCTTTCTTTCTCAGATCCAGTTTACTGTCACTTGGGATTGAAATGCTGTCTCCTCAAATTAAGCAGACCCAAGAAAACAGCGATACGTACGTACATGAAAAGAGAAGAAGATCCATGACAGGGTCTAAATGCAGGACGCTCACTTGTCGAGTACGTTTGTCAGTGTGTGATGATAGTACTTTCTGCCTTAGTTAAGGATCTAAATATGTCTTCCACATCTGCAAATAGTCCGGGTGCCGTCGGTCAGTTGAGCCAGAAAAACTCTCTTAAACTCGGTGTTAAATTTGTCCCCACTTGAAGTAAAGATGAAGTGTTTGACCTCATCTGCCCTCGGCTCATTTTTCATTCATGAAAGTAAGAAGACGGAGAGGAGGATTATGTTCTGCTACAGCCGGACGGATATGAGTTTGAGGAGTGAAATAAGATATATTACACTTGAACTAAGACCGGTAACTTTAAAAAACATTATGATGTGCTGTATTTGATATGTGAAAGATGGAGGGGTCCCTTTGTGCATTTTGCAGTTTTCAGAAGAAGTAAGTACAAAGCGTGTGATTTCTTCAGCATCAGTGTGACTTTCTTAGGCTTGAAAAACAATTCTGAGTCATTTTAGATATGAAGTTTGTCCAGGACTCTTCTGACCTCTGATTGGTCGTGACTTGTGATTGATATTTACACTGCAGATTCCATACAAACTGGCAACAGATCAGGGTTTTTTTCTTTTCCTGAATGAACACACTGAGGTAAACGAGAGGAAGTTTGTTTTCATGTAGGTACAGTATCTGACCTCCAACAGTCACCTCTCGTATTATTAGAAACTATTTCCTGTGATGGAGGAAGAGACGAGAGAGGAGAGGGGGGGAGGGGCTGTGGAAATAGCTGGAGTGACTCATACCTTCATATATAGGCGTGTGTGTGTTTGTGTGTGTGTTTGTGTGTGTGTATGTGTGTGTATTTGTATGCCCAGTCTGAGCTGTCATCTTGTGCCAGCTGCTCAAACGTCGGTCGCCGCCTTGCTTACCCAACGTGCCGCTGGTCACCATCAATTATTTACAAACGGCGCCGCGCAGAGCTGAAAGGCCAACCTGGTAAATGTCAGAAAGGACAGAAAATAAATGACAAATGTGCTCATTACAACGAGGCCTGGCACCCGGGAAATGTGAGAGGAAAATTAATCGAGCTGCACGCCGGTCCAATCAAGACTTTGCCCTTCTTGTTCGGCTGTTACTCACCTGTCTGCTGTTTTTACCTGTGGAGCAACAAAAACCTCAACTATGCCTGAAAACACTCGTAATAATCATTTTAATTTTAACATGTCAGCACACATGAGTCATTAGCTTAAATATATATTAAGGGCTCCATTTGTTCAAATCAGATTGGACTAAATCCTGAAAATGGGTTTGATCCAACCCCATCAAATCAGAGAAAAAAAACAATGAAAATTGTGTTAAAAAAAGGATCCAAAATCCAGTCTTCTTTTTTTTCTTCTTTTTTTTTCTTAAATTCCAAAGTTTCCAGTTTGTTTTGCTTCTTGATAATGATTTTGATTATTTGATCCTGATAGTGGTTGACCAGTTAATCAAGTTTCACTTTCAATTTTTTCATCCAGATTAAACCTTTTGAACTAGTGGGTCATGGTGTCCAATGGTGGCAGCAGTAGCTCAGTCTGTTGAGACTTGAGTTGGGAACCCAAGAGTCACTGGTTCAAGTTGGATCCAGTATGGATATTGGGGCTGGTTGCTCTCCAGGTGCACTTGAGCAAGGCACTGAACCCCCAGCTGCTCAGAGTGCCCACCTTTGTGCAGCCCCTCACTCTGACTTGTTTCCATTAGTGCATGTCTGTGTTTCCGGTCTGAAGCTGATTCTCCTCTCAGGGATTTATATAGTATGTCTTCATCGTAGACCGTTAAAGAAAAGTCGTACAGTGATGTCAGCGTCCTGCTTAAGTCCCATAAAGTAAATGAAGAATTTTTAAACATTTGTAGATTGTGGTGAGATAGCCATTCAAAAATATCTAAAACTTTATCAAACTAAACTTTTTCTTTGTTGGGGCACCGCTGGCCTAGAAGGTAGTTTGCATGCCCCATGTACGGAGGCTGTAGTCCTAAAAGCGGGCGTTCTAATCGGGCCTACAGCTCCTTACCTGTCTCTTAAATTAAGGCATTAAGCCCAAAAAAAGCCCTTTTGTTGAGTTTAAATATCAATTATTCAGAATCATTCAGTTGTCATAACTTGGGTCATTAGCTGTTAGCATGAGAGGCATGAAGCTGAAGATAAACTGTTAAAAGAAGGCTGTGGGAGCAGAGACTGGGCCTTCAGAGTGTGGGAGGAAATATTTTCCCGTGTTTCTGACACAGCGTCAGCGCTCGGCGTAATTTCACCTCAGGTGGCGAAGAAGCTTGTTTGGCCTTAATTAGAAAACCGTTTCACCTTAAAAAAAAAAAGGTTCTAACTGGAACATTGGCTTGTTTTTTTTATATGTCGGGACATGTTGAGGTGACCTTTAAGTGGATGTCAAAGGGAAGTTTTTGTGTGGTCAGATTGTGTTTGAAAGAGCAATAAGACACACACACATTTTGTATTTACTGAGGAGTCATAAAGTCTGTATCTACCAACCTCTTCTTTCTTTTTAAGGAAAAGCTCAGATACTTTGTTATTTCAAAGGCGTGTTGATTGAAAGTCAACAAGTGAAAGGACATTCACTGAACAGGGAAATACCCCCCCACCCCCCCCCTAAAAAGAACCATTATTCAAGTCACAAAACATTCAAACATTAAACAAGACACACACAACACACAACCACAGCTGCTCTCAAAAGGTATGCTCTGAATAAAGGGGAAGGTTAACATTAAATAAAAACAGATAAAAACAGCCCTTCCTCATGACTAAACAAGTAAGCCGAGTTTCATCAAAGAAGTAGGTTAATGGGGCACCGGTGTCCTAGTGGTTAGTTTTCAGGCCCCATCAACAGAGGCTGTAGTCCTCAGAGTGTGCCGCCGGGGTTCAAATCCGACTATATTTATCCCCTGTCCTGTCTCCGGATGTACAGAGACTGTTCTGCTAAAGGGTTACTGTTGGGAAAGTCATAGGATAGAAGGGCAGCACCCAAAAGGGGCGGTCAAAGAGACTGAAGGGCTAGCATGGACCTCCATTGTTACCAAGGCTGTTACCAAAGATGAAAATGCATCATACAGCAAATATTAGCTCCCTAGTAATAGTCCAGGAAATTAGGCAGAGCCATGCTACCAGCCTGCTTAGGTGGTTGAAGAAAAGCTTTATGTAATTGAGGATGCTTGCCAAACCAAAAGTAGGAAGAATGATTAAAGAATTACTTTCTAAAAGACTTTGGGATTAGAATTAGGAGACAGTGGAAAAGATACAGGAATTTTCTAAGAAGTGTCTTTTTAATTTAATTTATTCAACCAATGAGAGACAGGGATAGAGGGGGCCATTTGGACAAAGCCTGTGTAGCCTGATCAAATAGACTCAGGAGATTGTATTTTAACAGATGTCTCAAATCTCTTGTGACACGAATTCAAAGATAGTAGAAATGGTCTGTCACGATCTTAAATGGTAGATTGGTGTAGTTGAGTCTAAGGGCTTCCTTGTTAATTGGAAAGAGTTCACTTTTATTAAGTTAATTTTATATCCTGAAAACTGCCTGAAAAGTGTAAATAAGGTGAGGGCTTCTGGTAGGGACTATGCTGATTTGGAAACATAAAGGAGTTACTCGTCTGCATAAAGAGATACCTCATGCTAATCTCCTCTTCTGTGTATTTCCCCGCTTATCGCAAGTGGCTCTATGGCAACAGCAAAAAGATGTGGGCTCAGAGGGCAATCCTCAGGTTAGGCGTCCAAGTTAACAAAGATGACTTGAAGTCCAGGGCTAGTGCTGCTCACTGCTTTTGAAGCAGGTCTGATGTACGAGCTGCTGTTCAGATAGCGTCACTTTTATCACTAGCCGCAGATTATGGGAAGTCCTTAAATACCAGATAGAAGTTAAATCACCTGAAGCTAGATTATGCTTAAGGATGCTTTTAATGTGTTTCACTGAACTCATTTTTTTATTCACTAATAACTTCTTGTTATAAATATTCAGCACTACAGAAATACACATGCAAACTTCCCTTGTCTTTCTCCAAAGTGACTGGAAAATCTTGTATCTCCAGGGGGTTGATAGAGGTGTCCGTCATTACTGATTACTCAACTATTATTTGGCCAGCCGCAGATATTTTTGGCTTTAAAACTTCCCTCCATCCTGCATTGTTTTGGAAAGAAACTCTCCACCAACTGGAGTTTGAACACATCATCATTTCTCACTTCATCTCCCACTGGGAGTTCAAACTGTTACGTGGTGGGAAATGTTGGTGGGATGAACCTGATACCTGAGTAGGAAGTCCAAAAAAACTGAAAGTTTGAAACTAACTTGTGCCCAAAAATGTTTTTATAGTTCTAAAAAAAAGGTAATTTCAGTCTCTATTCAGAGACAGGTTGTGTTCCTTTTATCCTCCAAGGCACCATAAATCACAGCGTTCCCAATTTAACGGTTTACTTTCAACTTGATGTGCCACAAACAGATTTCTTACAGCTTAGACGTACAGTTATTCAACCCTCAGAAGAGAACCATTTGTAGCTTCAGCTTCACACTAGGGTTGTCATGATTGCAGAATTTTAAACTTTGACACAATAATAGTATAAATCAAACTCTTTTTGTTACCAACAACAAATATAGAAGTTTTAGGCACCGAATATTAAGTTATTTCTTGTTTTTTATTACCAAAACATACAAACAAACCCCTGCAAACTGTCTCAATTGTTTGAATTTATTGACATCTGTAGTGTTTTTAAAGCTTTGCCACTTTTTGATAATATCGATTATTGAAGTAAGAAATGGTTAGGGTTGGGTTGGGGCTTTTTGTGCCTTTTATTGGAGAGACAACAAGAGAGAGAGAGAATCAGGAAAGTCATGCGGGAAAGGAGCCACAGACAAAGGACTCGATGGGTTTATTTCACATTTTGTGGGTCGGTAGACACTTACTGAAAACAACTGAAAAACAAAAGCTGGCGCTCAGAAACAACCACTAGGTGGATACGAGGCCTTTCTGAAGTTTCTCTGGAGAAAGTTCTCCTCCTCATCTCGGTGTTCATGTGATCTGAATCCAGTGGATCTTTGTGACTGTTCACACTTCATCGTCTTCTTCACTTCCAGTCCTCCAAGACACATTTAAAAAGCAGCTGTAAACAGAGTCACAACAAAGTAGATCTTATATTCATTAAACTACTTCACCTGAAATAACTTTTTGAATCTTTGTTCACAGGACTACACAGATGCACTGATCTCCAATTACTATGTAAGTTTGTCCTGTATGCTTTACCATTTTCTCAACAAGTTCTTACATATTGTTGCTTTTAACCACTAAATGATGACCCAGTGTGATATTATCTGTCACCACTTGATGTACTCTTATATTAATGTTAATTATTGTTTGTTATACTCAGTCTATGAGCCTGTGATTCATATGTTATATGATGTTAATTGGCTGTAAAACAACGTTTCCCCTTGGGGACAATAAAACTGAAGTTAAAGTTTAAGCTGTTTTTGTTTCAGTTATGGCCGCCCGTCCAGATCGCAAATTTCTACTTCATTCCCCTGCACCACAGGTAATCCTTTTTTACAGACAGATAATCATCAGCTTTGATCACATGTAAAGGTTTCGTAAAGTGGACTTAAAGATAATCTGGAGGACTTGTAGCCTAGTGGTTATGTCATGTGCCCCTATGTAAAGAGGCTGAAGTCCTCGTCACAGCGGCCATGGGTTTGAATCCGACCTCGGCCCTTTGCTGCATGTCATCCCCCGCTCTCTCTTCCCAACATTTCCTGTCTCACTTCAGCTGTCCTCTCTAATAAGGCAAAAAAGTCCAGAAAATATCTTTAAGAAAAGACAGAATCTGTAAATCTGTATTTTTATATCTGTTAAAATCTTTAAAAAAAAGATTTTGGGGACAGACATGTGGGGAGGGGGAGCGGGGGTTAAAGTGCATGCTTGATTTTAAGGCAGACTTGCACAAAAGAAAAAAAAACAGTGCAATTTTCTTTTCTTTGTAAATGTCATAAGAGTCATGATTGTAAAAAAGAACCTGTCAGACACTGTTCAGGACACACTCCCTCCCCCTGCAGGCTGGCCGTGGTCCAGGTTGTTGCTGTTGGTTGGAACTCCTACCTGACCTGGAAGGCCAATAAGATGTGAGGGACGCTCACAGGTCCAGCCTGTGCCGATGATGATGATGATGATGATGATTTTACACTCATTTGAAGTGAGTGTTGGGCATGGGCCGCTCTAGTCTAACTCACTTTAGGCTACTAAGTCTCTTGATATTTCAAACGTGTAAAACTGTGACTGAGTCACTCGTAAAGGTCGGGAGAAAGTGCTTGTCTACGCCGAGTGACAAATTCACACTTGAAAGTCAAACTTGCATTTGCAGAAAATGTCTGTGACAGTTTGTTATTTATGGAAATGGGATTTAGAGACAGAGTCCCGCTGTAGCCACACAGACGCAAAAACACACGCTCATATGTGAACACCTCCATGTTGTAATCCATGTTGTGTAAAGTGTAATATTTGTGTTATAGGAGGTCATTGTAAGAATGAAGGACACATTTACCTCAGCTTCTATATATGTTGTAATCATTTATGTTAACCTCTTTTTGTTCATTCCTCTTTACCTGCACAGTTATCTTACTATTTTCATTTTCTAACAACCCTCAGGAAAGATTTGTAGAGTTATATATTTACACAAAGGGAGACATAAGAGAGCCATAATCCTTCATCAAGCATTACCAGGCATTATAGGTTAAAGGACGCAATGCATTCTGGTCTATCGAGGCTAATGCACGGCTAGGGAAAGATTTGCTTGACGACTTTGAAAGGGTGACAAGAAAATATGGGAATCGTTTCTTTTTGGAAAAACATTTGTTAAAGAGTTCACAGGTCAAATATTAAGCTAAAGCCAGCGGGTGATTTGCTTAGCTTAGCTTAGTTTAGTTTAGCATAAAGAATGGAAACAAGTCTAATCAGCTCGCATGCCTCCATCTGAAGGGAAGAAAATCCCTCCTAAGTTTAATCTTTAGTGTAGTTTTTCTTGGTTATTATTCATGTAATCTCCTCGGTGACAAAAGGACAGCTTGAGGATTTAATGGGAGTTATGGGTTGGAATATTTTAGCCTGTTAGCCAATCTGACTTCCTGCAACAGCACCATATCGTATTTCACATTTGTACTTACTCTTACGCATCTGCAACTGGTCTAATACTGGTGTCCCAGTGTGGGAGTCGTCATTTCACAGCGTATCTCTCGGACGTTAAAACATCAGCACGTCTTCCCAACATTTAGCATCTGATATAACCCCTGATGGTAGATCAGGGGCGGAAAGCCTCGATGTGTTACACATCGTACTTGAGACGTAACAGAGGCACAAGTATCCTGCCTTGAACATTATGATGTAAAAAAGGTGCCTGGACTTCTTTGGATCTAAGGTAGTGATGCATACAGACGGCTGTTTCCATTTGTTTCTGGTCTTTGTCTTGAGCTAAACAAAGTGGCCCATTGTGGTATCACCTAATTCTCAACAACCAATCAATGGCATTTTCCAAAGTGTTGAATTACGCCCTTTAAGCGGTCAGTGTCCTTTAATCAGTTCCTTTAAAAAATGTGTTGTAGTCTCTGGAAATTCACCCCTGAACAAAATAAAAGTAAAATAAATATTTTGCTGCATGGACAATCATGATAAAAATGTTTCATTTTCCTTTATTTTTCAATGTAATACTCAAATGTGAATCTTTTTGTATTAACAACAGCTGTCTCTGGTGTGTAAGTGAATAAAGTTTCACACCAGGTGATGTCAGTGGTGTGTTTGACCTCAAACTTTTGTGTCCTGCTCGTTCTCTCTGGCCGGGTGGGGGGGGGGGGTTTGTTTGGAGGGAGATGTGGAGGCTGCTGAGCTGGGATGTCAACCAAATAACTGCACACATTTGTTTCCCACACAAACACACTTGGCTGATGTGAGAGAAAAGCAAGCGGAAACGGTCTGATGCAACTACTGAAAATCTTCCAAATAGCCTCTTTACCCCCCGAGGGAAACGAGCCTCTCCCCGGAAAAAAAAAACTGGAATGATCTCAAACCTGGGAAATTAAAACGATGATACATCACACAGGCTTGTTAACTCTCCGACCTGAACATGAGGCTCACATCTCTTTTAAAACTGATTCATAAGGGTTATATTGTTTTACTAACACCAGAAATGTGTTTGATTAGAAATTGCAAATATGAAAGCTAATGATTTACAAATTGAGCCATTTGAAACAAGCTTTGAATTTGTAAATCCAAGCATGAAGGAACATAAACAAAAGTCTTCAAAACTTCATTAATGCCCTGATAAGATTAGATGAGATATTCTTTTTGTCCCCGAGGCAATAGTGCAAAATAAAGTCACCAATTAAAATTTGGTGTGTCATGAAAACCACTAACTATATCAATATGGACAACACATTTACGTCTCCTTTCACTGGGCAAAAATGAAGCCAAAATACCCGGATGACAGGCACTGAGGTAACACATTTTTTTGTTGCTTTGAAGGTTTTAGCTAGTTAGTTAGTTGATACTGAATCCTATATATGACCTACAAAAGGAAACGAGACCATTATTGACAAGGTTGATTATTTCTATAAATTTGTTTTTAAATACCTGCTGCCGCCGTGTAAGTGTCAGACAAAGTGAATTAAAAAACAAACTGCTGAAACTGAGTGATTCATTTAATGGTAAAAAAGAAAGCAGGAGAAAGAAAAATGTTTTACACATGTACAGGATAAGAGCAGCTGATACCACTTTGTCCACAGGGGGGCGCCAGAATCACCACAAATGGAAAGTGCATCACAAGAGCTTTAAGGAGCACCATGCCTCTCTAGAAAATGTGACCCACATGAAGTGGTTACCAGTATTAAGTTGATATATAAAGATGTTAAAGGTATAAGCTAAATAGTTAAAGTCATTATATGTGGATTTGGTTTTGACGCTGCAACATTTAAGTTTAGATTTAGACGGGACACTTGTGTTTGAAACCATTTTTTGGCCGCCATGACTGTCTGATATTTTTCTTTGTTTTTGTTCTTGGAGCCACACGTCAGGTAGGTTCACTACAGGTCACCTACAGTTTGTTGATTTAAGTAAAGTTTTTACCCCAGTGAAAAATGATTTAAACCCTGAACTGTGTGAAAACATTTCAGCACCACGGACAGCTCCAAGACTCCATTACTCCTACTTTAATCTGTCACTGTTTTGTGTTTGAGAAAGTGATTTTTTTTTTTGGATGATTGCAAGACAATGATCATGTCAGACATTTTTTTTTACAGATCAGCAGACAAAACATAATGTGTTAAATGAATTAATTCTAGATCAAAGGTAAATGATCGATTGCATTTTTTTCATATTTGTGCATCCTTCTCTTTTTTATGATTTAAGGCACTAACTTGAATCTCTAATATTCATCTTTAATTATGTTAAATTAATGAAAATAGTCCTATTAGTGCCATTCTTTATCCATTATCCAGATTTAAAGTAAGGCCAATTAAACTTAAATGATTGGACCCTCAGGGAGAAACTTGATGCAGGTAAGTTTTCAAACACAAATAAAAAAGATAAAGTCAAGATAGAGAGACTACAAGGTATAGATGCCAATAAGAAGAGATATTAAGTCTTCAAATCATGTTATTGATGATCCCTTCAAACCTGAAAAACCCTTTGAACTTTCTAAAGGAATCCCTAAGACCCCCTCTGTATCCCCTTCAATGCCCCCTGTGTCCTCCTCCCTGTAAGGTCTCTTACTCATCCTTACAGTAAATAAAGATGGAGGGGGAGAAAAAGACACTCCGTCCTTTCATTTTGTGTCGATCACAGCGTCCCCAGCTGTCCCTCAGGACTATATTGCCTTGTTGTCTCAACAGTTGTCCAGTTTCCAAACAGATCTGTGTTGTTGCATTGACGTCAAAGCTGCAGGCTGGATGTATAAAACCCTCCGTCCTCTCCAGTCACCGCGCTCACTGGGACACTTCCAGACTCTGCTCCGACCTGAGATCCACAAAGTTCAGCTGCAGCATCTGCAGAGAACAAAGTGAGTATCCCAGATTTCCTACAGCTGACTTTTCTTTATTCTTAAAAGCGTTAAGTTTGGTTACATTTGTGCAGACAGATTATCGACATTTCATCTCCTTTTAGATCGTCTATTTTGTATTTATCTCGTTCTCTTGTGCACCTCTTTATCACTTAATATAGATGACACATTTTGTCATTATTGTGCATTTTAATCGAGTTCATTCTCCTTCCTTAAACTTGCCGGTTTTTCTTTTTGTGCATGCATGTGATCTCAATTCATTTTGACTTTGTGGTTTGCAAAATATGCGTAAAACAGCTTCATACAGTTTAAACAATCAGAATAAAGAGATGTGTACTAAAGGCCTGCGTCGTATTTACAAGAATAGTCGACTTAGTGTTGTGTTTAAGGCAACATAAAGTGACATAGAATTCAAAACTATGACTTTTCTGTACTCTCTCTCTTGGCTTTAAACCTATTAAGTTTATTTTAGATCAATTGTGCATGACAAATCAATTTTAATTACCCATCAGATGGAGAAAAACTGCAAAATGATCAAACAAAAATAGTGTTGAATACGAGTTTGATTGATGACCACTCTTTCTAAGTGATTTGGTGGTCTCATTTTGTCTTTTTAAATCCCTGTGTTTGCAGGACATGAAGCCAGTCCCCCTGCTCCTGCTCCTCTCCTCGGTCCTCCTCTCATCGCACCTCCGCCCTGCAGCCGGCAGACCGCGCACCCTCCCCGGCTGGCTGGATGGCAGCGGCCGCCTCCAGACGCAGCAACTGGAAGAAATGCTCATCAGAGCGGCCGCCTCCGGGGACAGCACCGCCTCAGAGCTGCTCAGCGAAAACCTCCTGAAGTTACTCCAGAACCGGAGCCGGGACCCTCTGAGCCTGCTCAACCCGGAGGAGGAGGAGACCGAGGACGACGCGGTGAGGGCGGCGGCGGCGCAGCTGCTGAAGCGCAGCGACGATCCTCCGCTGTCCATAGACCTGACCTTCCACCTGATGAGGAATATGATCGAGATGGCCAAGATGGAGAGGCAGAGGGAGCAGGCTCTGCTCAACCGCAAAGTCCTCGACGAGGTCGGGAAGTAAAGCTATGATTTCTTTTTAAAAGCAGCCTCATTAAAGCAGCCTCACCGCTGTCTCAAGTATTCAAGACCTCTGACATTAGTTGTTGTTTGTGCGCCTGCCTTCCTCTCCGCATCGTTTTACGCACAGATGGTGCCAAATTACGCATCACAGCATAATTTATAGGTTTTATTTAAAGACTTTGGAAACGGACTTCCCATCACCACTTCACCTCTCTTACTTTTCTTCACACACACACACACACACACACACACACACACACACACACACACACACACACACACACATCTCGGCTCTGGATTCTGGACAGTTTTGTATCCCCCACTGGATTCCATACTTTTACATTTGGACAAGTTAGAGCAGTGCTGTTCTTTGTCATGTGTCTTTCTTCTTAAATATCATTAATGCTTGAAGGGGAATGTACGGATGAATAGTTTCTAAATTGAATCAGAGAGTTTGACCTAAATATTTAAAAGTCTACACTCTTTAGCTAAATGAATCTCAAGCTTTGTCATGTACAAATAAATTGGGCGACCTCAGTGACAATAAGCTCTCTGTGATCAATCAAATGTAAGGTTTCTTGGTGACAACACAAATGTTTTGAATATAGTAACTCTGGATATGATTGACTGTGTATATGTAAGTTCAGTCTGATTACTGTAAGCCAATAATGAATCACTTCACAGGTTAATGAGGTTAAAAGATTGAAACTCCGATCATTCTTTCTTTTTCTGAATCTATTCTGATGGATCAAACGTTACACGATGGGATTGTTGTGAAACACACCTTATGTCGATTAAATATTCCACCTACACCTGTACGCGCTAACCCTCCTCATACCTTCTGTTCTGTCCCTTTTTGTTTTCGAGCGGGAGCACTATCACCTGTACTGTATCTACTGTAGCATGCTGATCTACAAAACAAAAAAAGGAAGAAAAACAGCTTTATTTTACTGTAAACATTCACGTCTGACATCGATTGAATTGTCTTTGTTTTAGCAAAAGAAAGAAAAAAAGCTTTTTTGGCCATTTATATTTTGTAATAAAAAAGAATGAAGTTAAAAAAAATCACTGCTTTTGAATGTTTTATTTTGGTGAACATCAGTAAATCATTTCATTATGAAATACAACTTTTTGTTTCTGCTTTATGGTGTTTTTCATTTTCCCTTATTCCAAACACTGAAAGAGGAAACACTGGTAGTAGTGAATTTGCTTATAAGAGAATTGTTTGTCCGGTTTGAGATGGGTTCAAAGGTCAAACTATTGTTTGAATCTTTTCAGAGCAACATTTCAAAACCTACAAGCTAGATTAAATTTAAAAGGAAGTTAGGGTATTCATCAACCTCCAGAAGATGATCCCTAGTCATCAGCGGTAAGTAAACTCACAGGATACACGAGGAGTAGAGAATGAGCAGGGAGACAGGGAGGCGTGTGATTGGTTCATCAGATTGGTACCTCGTGGCAGACATTGGTTGAAGTTTTTACATTCTTACAAACTGATACAGATGATGGATTTTCTTTGTTCCTTTTTCAGAGAACATGAGTTATTGATTTCTGTCAGGACCTAAAGACAATTTCAACCAAAAGTCAATCTGGAGGAAATGACCAACCCTGCCTTTAAATGTAAAAGTTTGACACAATACTCAAACCATCATCCCAAAAATACAGCTGTAGAGAGTTTCTCTGTAATTAGCAAAGAACAAACCATGTAAACATATTTTTTTTAGAACGAGACCTCTGCTGGTAGAATTAATTATGACATCAGTAAAGGAGAAAGTCAGATGACACGGTACAAAGAGAAAGATAGTCCTCGTTGGATGAAGAAGAGAGGGATGCTCTGGTGAAATACAAAAATAAAAGCTAGAAAACCTGAATTTTTTTAATGTCCCTTTTGTAAACCAAAAGTAAAAAGTTATGATCCTGTCTTGAACATAACCAAGAACTGTATCAGTGGTATTGTTTATGTGTGTTGTTGTACTGTGAGTATGAATGTCATGGATGTGTTCTAATCTTATCTAACTAATTAAATATTGTAAATGGAGATACAGAGAACCCAGGAAGAGTAGCTACTGTTTAAATGACGGACAAAATTGTCCTTTGCTCGAGCTGTTAGCATGCTAATGTTAGCACAGTTATCTTGTAGCTTCACATTGCACGTAAATTGACACAGAATGTCCAAATAATCAGTGAGTATGTTCTTCTTCTTCTCTCTAGTTCTTGACTAAAACAGCTTTTATACACAAGGGGAGGAGCCGGCCGTCCCGTCCATGTAAACACGGCTCTGACAACAACACAGCCAGCGGGACTCGAGCTTCTCCCTCATTGTAGACAGTCATGACTCAGAGACACATTTACACAGGAGAGACTTGGTTTAAGATATATTTAGGTGTAACATGTCGCACATTGTTCCTTTAAAGAAAGATGAATCAGTACTGAGTCACATTATAGACCTAACTCAGACAGTTTGAAAAATAACACTAAATAATAAAAAATATCTGTCAAATTAATATGTGCAACTTGTCTTTACTTTTAACAGTATAAATTCTTTCTTCTTCTTTTTTTTAACAAAAAAACATTTTTGAACATAGTTTGAGAAAAGTTCCAGATGTGATGGTGGCTTGTTTAATCTTCTCAAGTTTGTAGAAATAGATAAAAGAAAGGAAGAAGAAACAAACACAGAAGTCCAAATGGCCTCTGTGCTCTTTGTTTTTATGACTCAGTCCAAACTGTGGGTGTTGTGGTGATTCTTCTGCCTTAACACCTTCTGTTTGTTTGTGCTATTCTCTCTGTGTGTGTGTGTGTGTGTGTGTGTGTGTGTGTGTGTATGGTAAATTCAGTCTTATTACAAACATGTGAGTCTTTCTTTGAACTCAAAAACAAATTATTCTCGGTGCAAAATCAAAATAATGGACCGTAGAAACATTTTAGACAAGATGTGTTTTTTTCTAAAACACAGCGACACTGTTGTTGTTTGAAAATCTGTAAAATCACATTTTCTTTCATCAAGACTAATATTTTATTTACATATGGATAATCTGCAGTTTTTTTAAAAGGTATATGTTACCTTTTTCTAGATTTTTTTTTTTAGATTTACAAATCTCACAGACTAGTACATGATGTAATGACCATAAAACCAGAAGAGATTTGACTCAAATGTACGACACAGTCTCAGAGTTAAGTAAACAGTCTTTACTTAAAAAAGCAAAAACAAAATCACAGGCAGACAAATTCAAAAAGAGACCAGGAACCAGGAACAGCATAGATAAACAACCATTAAGTCTAAAAATGGGAATCTAAGGCTGGAACTCTTGACACTGGTTACAGAGACAAACTGGCACAGAAGGAAGAGGAGACACATACTAAAGTGAGGGGAAGACAAAGACACACAGCTGGAGACACATGAGGACAGGAAGTGGAGGATCTGAAACGAGAGAAGAGGTGAGTAACAGAAAAATAAAACAGGTAATAACTAATGAAACGGAAATAAAAAACGGAAACATAACCTAAAGGTCCTGACACACCAAGGAGATCATCAACCGTCGGTCCTTGTTGGACCTCTCTGATTGGCTGTTGGGAGGTTTCATTTCTCTCCAGCTCTCTCAGGTTCAGTAAAGCCCTTGAGCATGTCTCTGTAGTATCCATGCTTTCACCCATTAGTGCCGTTTCTCCTTATTTGTCTCCTCCTCCTCTTCTTTTCTTTCCACTAAAAGACCAAGAGCTGACAACGCCAGCGCCATTTTCAACATTTTATCAGACATTATTCTCCATTAGTAGACGACCTATAATACGAGTGGTGAGCGACAGCGGTGTGAAAATGGTCTACCTCCACCTCCTGGCATGGAGAGTTATTTCCTCTCACGCATGCGCAGGATGTACGTCGGCTGTAGTCTTTGCGGTGTGTTCGAGTGCAACTTTTTGGCCAAGACAAAAGGTGACACCACAGTCGGCCTTCGACGCCACTATTTCTTTGCCGTCTGCTTGGTGTGTCAGGGCCTTAAGAGGCAGAGCTGGAAATGATACATAAAGCAGTCACACTACATTTTCAGCATTTAAGAAAAACGTTTTAAAGAATGAAGAAATTCAATAAGTGGGAATAATTGTTAAAAGAAAAAATACAAGAAATTTCATTAGAATCAAATGCTTATTGTGTCATAGTTTTTTTTCTGTTTTTTTTTGGGGGGAGGGGGTGTTGGCAAAAAAGATGAAAAGCAGGACAACAATCTAAATTTTGTCCAAATCTAAAGGAACTGAAAATAAAACAGTGGCGATTCAGAAATGTGCATATGGACAGCTTATTCTCTTGATCATACATGCACAAATCCAAAACGCCTCTGGCAGTATTAAGAGTAACCCTCCCCAAAAAAAGCAAATCACATGCATTACTACAATAATAAGCTTATCTTCCCACTGGTTCAGTTTTACATCATGCCTACTGGCATTGTCATTCTGCTGCATTTATGTATTTAAAAAAGAAAAAGGAGCTGTTCTTGGATTTGAAGTATTTGCGTCTAGTTTGCTAAACAAAATGATTTAACTGAGGGTTTGATGCTACAAACATACAATGTTATAAAAGAAACCATTTCTATTTTATTGGCTTTAATCCTCACACTCTGTTATTTTAATTTACATAACATCACCCCCGTTTAACTTTAAAACTGACAGACTGCAAAAAGAAAAAAGTTGTCTTTGCTGAATGCCTGTAAGAGATCTATCTAAGGGCTTTAAATCCAGAAGAAAAGAAAAGACAAACTGGGATAAATCCACTGTTTACATTTCCTGTGAGCCATACATTTAGAGACATATTTACACACAACGCATTTGGCTTTTTTACCGAAAAACGGCTAAAATCTGACTGAGTTTGTTTTGCTGCTGTAGGAGGAAACAAAAGGTGGAAAATGTATGGAGAGGTTTTTGTTTGTGTTTTTTTCTACCATGTTTTCATTGTTGTTTCACGTCCATAGCGGGTGAATTCACTCGAACAACAGTGTGTGGATTACTTCCGGAGGATTATGGAAAAAACCTCTATTTCCAGTGCCTGTTTTTACATTTCCTCAGGACTGCAGCGAGGACCTCGAGTAAAAGAACAAAAGACGAAATATCATGAGATCAGTGTCATCATCCCACGCCCCAAACAATCACCAGTGACTCTCAAGCTGCTCGGTCTAATGTCCCCGCTTCAACACAGATACATAACAGCATGGAGGAGGAGGACGTTGTTGTCTTTGACTGAGTCAGCATGAATACTCTGCTGCCATCCCCTTCCTGAGTGGGTGAGGGGAATCCTTCGCTTTCTGCAGCTTGCTCTTTATGTAAGTGGTCTTGTTAGAAGATTTTTTTTTTTTTACACATGTCATCTCTACATGAGCTGCTGCTGCTGACTTAAGACTGTGCACATTTTCAAATATGACAGTTAATCAGCAGAGCAACAAGAACATCTATAAACAGGCTGTGACACATTTTGCATGACTTCAGCTCCAGAGCTGTTGTTACAGCGCTTTGTTTTGCATTTTTAAGGAACATTTGTGTCTGCAGGATTTTAAATACGTAGCATTTTAAGAGTGAAGTCATAATGCACTATTAACTCACTTTGCTGGAAGTATGGAAAACTTTCAGGGACAAAAGCCCCCTCCCTGAAAAGGTCTGGAGAAAGTTGTGGACAACAGTATGCACATGACAGTTACATCCTACCTCCAGCTCTTGCTAAAGAATAGATAATCCATGTCATCCAAGTCTCCCCAGCCATTTCTTCACCTAAACTCTTGTTTAATGTTTTTTTTTTTTAAGTATTGTAATCGCACATTTAATTGCAGGCTTTTTGCACATTTACCACTGTCGTCAATGTTTTTGCAAACTTACATCTCTTACCTCCAGCAAGTATTTTTACATTCAGTTGACAAGCCTGAATAAATGTTGTATTTAATTTTTCTTTTAAACCAGTAGGAAAGTTAAGTTAAATCCTTGACGTATAAATCTCTTCTTATTCTTATGTTTTATATTCTACGTGCTTATTTATGTATCTATTCTTATATTGTTTTATTTGCTCTGATAACCTGCTGCTGTAACACCACAATTTACCAGTTTGGGATCAATAAAGTAATTCTATTCTATTCTATTCTATCTAGGCTCCATTGTTTACATGAGGTCAAGAGAGGTGCGTTCCTCTGCCTTAATAAAATACTTTCTTTTGTGATGTGCCATGATTTGTATATCTTGCAGTGTGTGCATTCTTGAGATTATGAAGATTATCTGTTAAGTTTCTCTTGAAGTTTTTCTCTTTATGTTTGTGATTTTAACACTCCTGTGTGTGAGCCAGTCTTTACATGAACCCTAATTTGTTGTTTGATATCAAGTCACATCTACCTTGATTTGGAACTTAATATCTCAAGTCAAGTTCTGACTCCTCTTCCCCTTCTTCAAGATCCTCTTCTTCATCATCTCCTACACCTCAAGATAAAACACAGAGAGAGAGAGAGAGAAGAGAGAGAGACAGACAGACAGACAGAGAGAGAGCGAGAGAGAGAAAGAGAGAGAGAGAGGGTAACTTAACTATCTTCATTTACCATAGTACCATAATACCATGCAGGGACCTTAGTTCCCCAAAATTGGTTATGCGTTCCCATAATGTCCTTAACACCTGTACTCACACACTCACACACGTGCACACACACACACACACAGCAAACATAGGAGCAATAGGAGTGCATAAACTAGATTTTAGAGAGATAACGGTATTAACCTTTTATCTTGTGGGGACCTTATCGCCTCAATTGGACATGTGTCCCCACAATGTTGTTAATACCAGTACATATACACACACACACACACACACACACACACACACACACACACACACACACACACACACACACACACACACTCCTGGTTGTCTTGTTTAGCGTTTGTTTTGTGTAATAATACACTTTGTTAATAATGCTGACTAACATGGACACACTCATTTTGTAGCAATTTAAAAATAATTATGCATTTGTGCAGAAAAAAGGTCTTCCAATTTTAAGAAAACACTTTTTGTCTTACCGGAGGAGAAGTCAATGTTCATCAGCATGACGGCGAGGTCGTCGGTGTCGATAGAGAAGTGGCTCATGCTCTCAAAGCCAAGCTCAGGACGCTCAATGTCAGAGGCTCGGGCTGTCTCTGTCATTCTGTCAACACACAAAATGTCTCAAAATAAATTTACATTTCTCAAAATGTTTTTTTTTTTTAAAAGCCAGTTCAAATGAAATCTTAGAAATTGGACTTTGTCACAACCTTAGTGCCTTAACCTTGGCATTAAATCTGAGGAAAGCTCTATGTTTGATTAAAAAAAACTGCTCGAAGAAAAGACAAAGATTGCAAACAAAGTCCAGAATAAACTTTTGTCTGAGCATTAAGTAAATAAACATTTGACATCTATAAAAGTCTTACTTGATGAAGAGACTGCCTTTTAATTTCACACATCATCTAATCTATTTAAGATCAGAGATTACAAAAGCTCAATTTGAAGAAAAAATATCAAAGCATATGATCAACCACTTATTTTATACAAGCAAGGCTTTAAATAAAGAACTTTATGCAATATAACACATACAGTTCTACAAACTGGGCTTACTTGTGGTTTTTAAGGATCTCTTGCGTTGTATTGATTTCAAGAAACAGTAAATATTTTATCAGGAAATCCTCCAGTTGAAAGGTTATTGATTACTTTTAAAAAACAGCCAATATTGCAAAACCAAACACACAGGGATCAGGGATCTCCAGCTTGTCCTCATGTGGCCTGGCAATGACGGCAGCATTCAGAGCAGGTTTGTATGGATTATTGACTTCTGTGCAACAGGTTCACCCGCTGCTACATAATGTATGAAAAACTGACTAAATGCCACAGAGCTCTCAGCGCAAGGCAACACGATACACAAGTCTAAGTGTTTTTGAAACTAAACTTAAATCATGTGGTCACTGATTTAAACCTTTGAATAATCCACCTTTAACTGAATGTAATGTAGTTTTTCTCATTTTTACATGATATATGTTTTTTGGTGTTTTTCTTAATAGATGTTTATTGATTTGAATTGTTTGTATTGTAATGTTTGAATTTTTAAATCTTCTGCCCAATGACCACAGATTGAAATGAGCTTAACGCCCGACTGTTGTGTTGTGCATAGCCCCAGCCAAAATACAATAAACTAACCTGTATACTACACACTCTCCAACCCATTGGATAGCAGCTGTTTTTAAATGACTAACATTGGGCAATGGGCAATTATTTAACCAGTGAAACGTTGGGATCTAAAATATCTTCCTCAGGCCCCCGTTTTGTCTTTACTCTTTTATTAACCATTAATAAAACCATTAGTAAACTATTGACAATTTGACGGTATAGTATGTAGAATTGTATTACAATGTTGACATCCAAATATCTAAATTAATAAAAAGTTGACTAACCTATGTTTTATATTTTTTACCTCAAATATTTCCAACAGTTATCAAAGCAAAAGAAATCCGTAATTTTACAGTTGTAACGGGACGTGTCTTGTCGCGGCAGCCGTCATGACAAACACGAAATGTTTATTGTTGCCATGGAAACATGGGATGTTACGTCAAAGACCGCTGCATAAGGAAGCGGTAACTGCTACTGAAAGCTGGCGAACTAGATACAACATATCGTCTTTCTCAGGTCGGTTTCACCCGTTCTTACTGACCAAGGTCAACACAGAGTTTGTTTTTATCGGTGGGGGAGGGGTGGAGCAGCAGAGAGAATCACTCCCATGATTCCCCACTAGCCTCGACGTCATCTTTTGTTATCGTTTTGATTGAGAGCCCCCTGGTGGTGGATTAAGATACTGTGCGTTTAAACTATACCCCTTAAACATCACTAATAAAATCATTTATACAGGGACTAACATCCTGCACTATACGCACCTTTATATTTGACACTTCAAGTATATTTTGTTAACAAACGTTCACACTCATGAACATGTTAAGACACTCTTTAGAAATGTTTGCGGTTTTTAATCTGTCCACATCACTACATGCAGAATCAGAGCTTCACCACAAACAAAGCTGGACTTACTTCTCCAGAATGACTTTGGCATTCTTTCAGTGTAACGGCGAGCAGACAGAAAGGAGGAAAGAGACAAAATTAATCACATTGTGCTTCACTTCTCCATACCAGAGACATCTGTCTGGACTATTTGTCAGACATTTCAGGGTGTGAAATAAAAACATGGTGTTATGAAATACTGCCAGCTGCCAGAAGGGCCTCATGGTGTCAACTATCTATGCTTACTCTAACTCTATCTTCTGTAACACCTGTTCTGACAGAGAATATGACTTTAATATTAAACAGCAGGACCTGAGGCTCATACACACACATATACACACACAGCAAACACACAACCTGCTCAGGGAAGACGCAGTGACGCAGACACGTTGCATCAGCAATATGGAGGCTGAATTTAGTTTCAACCAGCTGGTTTGTTAAGGATGAGTGGGACAGAAATAAGCTGGACCCTTAAACCATCTTTCTTAAAGTTTAGCCTATAAAATTGAATTTTTCCATGTTGAGATGTCTCAAAGTGAAAGAACAAATGTGTACAAAATGTGTTGATTTCAGTGTTAAAGGTCACATATTATGTTAAATGAACTTTACAATGTTTCTCTAACACTAATATGTGTCTCTAGTCCGTCTACAAACCCCCCAACGATGAGAAAAGTCCATCCTCTCCGTCTTTTCCCTGCTCCACTTTTCAGAAAATGTGTGCTCAAACAGGCCGTTTGGAGATTTTCCCTTCATGACATCACAAAGGGCAGTAGCCCCTCCCCCAGGTGGGTGACACTCCCACAGCTAGGTGTTTGTTCTGCCCTCTGAGTCTGCCTTCTCACCATAAACAATAGGGCATGGAGCGAGAAAGCACTGAGTACACCCAAGCCCTTCCAGAGAGGGGGCGTGGTCAGATACAGCTCATTTACATATTTAAAGATACAGACACAGAAACAGCCTGTTCTGAGCAGGGCTGAAATAGAGGGGTTTATAGACATGATCAAATACAGGATCAGAGTGGATTTAGAACAAGAAACTTCACACACATGTTTGAGGAGCTCTGAGACTTATTTAAACTGGTTGAAGAGGAGGAGAATATGTGACCTTTAAAGAATATACTAGATGTTTTTAAAAAAGGAAGACAGCCAACTGCTTACTTAAGTTAACGTAACATGATATTTTTAAGAATCCTCTGTGCTCTGAAATTAAAAATGAGTGCAGCGTCAAAACTAAATTTTCCATTATTATATTTTTTCCAAAAGATGCTAGGAGTTAGCATGCAGTAAAAAGAGCAAACAAAGCATCTTAAAATGTCTACTTTTGTCAGACCAACAGCCCAGAATTGAATATTTTACATTTTAACTGATGTAAAAATGACAAAAAAAACGAATCTAACATTTAAGAAAATGTTGTTTGCATCTCACCTTGTTCATTATTTTTTTTAAATGACAGCCTTTTTGTCAGCAAAAAATATAAAGTTAGGTTTAAATAAAATTAGAGGCACGATGAAAAGTTTGTCAGGGGGTTTATAATGCCCTTAGTCAATCTATTTTCTGATGACAAGGCTTGCTAGGTGACACACGATGTTGGCAGATACGGTTCAAATGAGTTGGAAAGTTCAAAGATGCTTTTAGGAATCTTGAATTTTGCTCAAAAATAGTTTGATTCCAACTTTTGTGATGCAACCCCCGGTGTTTGTGTCTCTCATTCTGTGGGCGTAAATCTAGTGAAGAAAACCAAAATTAGTTTCCAGGATGTGAAATGTGATGTAATTTTAAAATTAAGTGCAGCGCCAAACTTGAAGGATGAGTCAGGCAGATGTCAGTCGAGCACGACGTGCATACTCCCTGTACTGAGGTCTCAAGCCCTGCACTTCAAATCACACTCACACTCTGTCTTTAAATGTTGTAGCTGCCCTGATAAAGTACGTCCTTTGTCTGTAGTCGTGCATTCAAGCTATGCTCCATCATCACATTGTATATTGATGTCTGACACTCTTGTTTAAGTGTATGTTGTAGCCTGTAGCGCAATTTTATTAAAATCTTGTTTAAGAAATTGTTCCCTTGGAATTAGAAAATGCCATTTGCAGAGTTTATGATTGATTTGAGGATTTTTTTTGTTGTTGTTCTGCAGAGGATTGGGGGTCAACGTGCTGATAATACATGTTGACTAGCTACTGAAGAATACAACAAGATGTAGAGGGACACACTGGTTTGTTTGTTTGTTTGTTTGACATATAAGTGATTTGGGACAAAAAGAGCTCTGGAAAAAAATCAGGAGCAGACTGAAAAAAAACATGTTTCACATGTCACAATGAGGGTTTAACTAAAGAAAGAGGACCTAATTGAAGACCCCAAAAATGTATTTGATAAAACAAAAGATAAAAAGGCAAAAATGAAATCTAAGTTCAATGAAAAATCCACACTAGAAGCTGGCGGTGACAGGAGTAACGTTTGACATGACGAACGGGGGAGAAACACAGACTAGGTAATCACAACCTGGTGTGACAGATAAGACACAGGTGAAGGTGTTGTGGGCGATCAAACTGGAGGGGAAAACACAAAGGGTGCGTTCGAATTGTCATTTTTGCTTATAAGGTTCCTAACTGAGTGAAATGACCGGAAGCATTTAAGTGGCGGCCATGATAAGAGCCGTTCGAATTCTCTAAAAGCTAAGGAAAGGTGGGTCAATGCTTCCTTTATAACCTCCTTTAGCATAGGATACACTGGAACATCCTTTACCAAAGGAGATGAGATATGCCGCCCCACAATTCCTTGCGGCCGCAACATTTAAAGCAAGTCGCGCATCCGATGATCGTAAAGTGACACAGATCATGTAAGAGATAAAAGATAAGAGAAATTTTATTCAACATATTTCATTCACTTAAGAATGTTTTGTGCTGCTGTACATTTGTATGCTTAAAACATTTTGTGTAGGTTATATCTTACATAAATGTAACAATTAATTTCATACAACCATATTTATGTTGATATTGTTGGTTTCACTTTACTTACTTGTAGCCTGGTAGTCTATATTACGTTTTGTCTATATTAAGTTTTTTAGATGCGCTTTTAGTAGTCCATTTTCTGAACATTGTAGTTTCAACACGGCAGACCCACGTCATTAAAGACGTCATATTATACCCTTTTTGGGGTTCGTATATTTAATCTATGTACCTACTAAAGTATGTTCACAATCGCAAAAGTTATAAAAAAGTGTCTGTTTTCATGAACTGCCGCTCCATGCACCGGCTCACTTCTGACTCTCTCTCTAAGGCTCTGAAGTGCCCACGTTCAGAGTCCCTTGGGGCCCTTTAACCTCCGCCGGCCCGTCGCATTTAATGACGTCGCCTAGTGGAAAATGCGGTCGGACTGTCAGAGCAACGAGATCGCCTTTCCCTAAATCCTTTATGAATTCTCCAAACATCTTTCCTTAACCTCATGACCTTTTCCCCGGGGTTAAGGTAAAGTGGATAGTGAAAGGAGATAGGAGGGACAATTCGAACGCACCCAAGGGCAGAGAACTCCGAAACTTAACAGGAAATACGAAAAGACTAGACAAAGGCAAAGGTGAAAATGTGAAATGACAAAATCAAAAAGGAAATCTAAAACCAAGACAAGACAATTTAAAAGTTTGTGTGTGAATAAATGTGTGTTATACAACATTTCTCCCAACTTCCAAACAAAATATCCTCCTGCAAAAAAAATGAAAACATGCTGAGTTAAGATTCAGTATTTTCCAGATCATGAATAAAGGAATAAAAATACAAGCTTCTTTCCATTTGTAAACTTTAGAAGAGTACTAATGTATTAACGTTCATTTGATGGCAGCTTTCCTTCCTCTCGCCATGTTCTTTCCATCAGGCTGTGACATGCCCGTCAAAAATCCATGAAGGTCGGATTGCTTGTTGACTTCTAAGGTGATTACTAAATCGGTACCTCATTAAGTAGACTGGTGAACGCGAGTGTTGAAACTCAGAATGTCTTCCATGCATGTAGAAAACCAGAGAAAACCATATTTCTTCCATTGGTCTTTTTTTTTGGCTTTTATTTTCCGGGAGCTGTATTTTGTAGTTTAAAAAAATATTTCCGTGCCTTTATTGGACAGACAGGACAGTGGACACAATCGGAAATTGGGAGAGAGTGAGGAATTATATACATGCAGGACAGGAGCCATGCCGCCCGCTGGTAGGACTACATCTTCTGTACAGGTGGCGCGTGAACTAACAACTCGTCCACCGGCTCCCCTTCCATGAGATTTTTGAAGTCAATGACTGGAATGTGTGTGTGCATGCTTATGTCCATCCAAAAATGTTTGTACCTGCACGTGATCGACTGGTTGATCAATAGAGCACACAGGAGAGGCTGAACTGCTCCCCAGCTGTATGAATTAATCATGTGTGTTCGTGTGTGTGTTGATGCTGTCTCTGTTTTAAAGGACACAGCTGTCCTCTGGAGAGTTTGTGGAAGCAGAGAGGCTGACACGGAGGCATCGTGCTGGGCTTATAGTTCCTGTTCATCTCGTCTCCCTGGAGCTCAGTACATAAAGCCTGTGATCAGCTATCACTGGATAAGGCCTTTGGAAATGTACTGAACATAGATCCTTGTTGAAGTGGATGTTTGGTTGATAAATAGAGTAGTTTCTATTGGTTGAACAGTTTGATACTTGATGTGATTGGGAGATTATTAATGTGACAATGAAGCAGAAGAAAAACAATTATTGCCGACTTTGCTTGAATGTTTTTTCTTCAGAGGAAGAATGTGTGACTGTTTGGTCCATTATTATGATATTTGTGGCCAATCAGACCCTTTTAAAATCAGAGCAGGTGTCATCATAAACCTGCAGCGGCCTCCTGATCTGAAGTGTTACCTGAATAAACAGCGGCATGTGAGGCTCCTCCATCAGCTGAATGGCCGACTCCACCAGCGTCACGGCGCCCTCCAGGTCGTCGTGGTGCTGACGTATGAGACAGCGGACGTGTTTGAGTTTGTCGTCCTGTTGTTTGGCGATGAGCCCCACCAGCTCCTGTTTACGCTCCTCCAAGATGGCCACCAGAATGTCGAAACTGTCGGCCAGCTTTTCTCCGGTTCGTTTGCCGTTCTCCTGAGGGGGAGAGAAGATTCTTTAACTGATCATAGATGCAAAAATTTGATAAACAGATTTTATTTTTACTCATTTATTCAGAATCATGTACTGCTCTGATCCCTCCTTCTTCCTAGTTAGAATTATTAACAAACAATATTTTTACCTTTATTTTGGTGTACATCTCAATATGTGTCTTACTCCTGTGCAGACACTACACCTACATAAATGTTTTATTTACTTGCTTGTTAATTAGCTGCTAATATGTCACATTATATGAATTCATTTCTACTTCCTGTCTTGCAATAACTCTTTGCATTTCAGTTTTTACACTTTATTATTATTACTCCCAAGACTACCAGATCATTTTATCTGATTTAGTTTTTAACTATATTAAAAATGGCTGCCTTATTAGATGCTGTTTTTGTTCCATTTCTAATTCTTTCATTTGCCATCGTCTGCCTCATCAACCGTTGTTACCATCACATTAAAATAACTTTTACAAAACTTTTCCTTTAATTAAAACACTACAAAGACATGTGTTTTTAAATAAGCCTGCTCAGTCTGCAGGTTGCATATTTGGCTATTCATTTAAACTAAGGCTGTCAATTGATTGAATTCTAAATTTCAGTAGTTTATCCTGTTAATCACATTTTTAGCCACTTGTTTGAAAATCCATTGTTTTGCATTTAAAAATAAAAGTAGTTAGGCTTTTATTTAGAATTTTTTACTATCTTAAACTGAGAATACTCTTCTCGCTGTTTGAATTCAACCCTGCTTTTATTTTGAAATAAAGTCAGGACCTTCTGGTAGATCAAAGGTTACGACATTAACCTACAAAAATATCAAACAGCACCAACATCTGAAAAGTTGAGTACTGAGTGCTGGATAATAAAACATCCAAAGACAGAGAAAGATTAAGTCTGCACCGCAGAAAGCTCCAATTCAATGGGAATTATCACCACCACTGGCACAAGTAACTCATAAGGGAGAACAATAACCTGAAAAAACCCAAACACTGTTCCTGTTTAGGTGTGTGTGTTTGTTGGTCTAACCTCGATAGAGCGGCAGCTTTCCTCCATCTGAGAGATCACCGCCTGGATGTGGTCGTTAGTGGCAACCAAGGTTGCGATGCCGTCGCTCAGCTCAGTCTGCAAACATTCACAACATCACATTAATGACATTCATTAAAAACAGGGACCAAATTTACACTCAGAATTGCACTCGGAGATTGTAATGTTTACAGAAAACATGTGTATATCAACTCACCTACAGATGGCGCTACAGCATTTAGAGGTCAGAAGTTTGATTATGTTTTTGTTATTCCTGCTTGAATAATGACTAAATATTACAACAGATTTCATTTAACCATGGTGCCAAAATGTGCACTGTACACTGTACTTTTTCAATACATTTGATAAAGAAATAAATCAAAGAAGGGGGTGCCGGTAGCCTAGCGGTTGGTGCACATGCCCCATGTACAGAGGCTATGGTCCTCCAAGCGGTCATGTCATTCCCCGCTCTTTCTCTCTCTCTCTCTCTCTCTTTGATTTCTGACTCTATCCACTGTCCTGTCTCTTAATAAAGGAATAAAAAGCCAAAAAAATAAACCTTTACAAAAAAAATCTAAGAAAAACAAAGTAAAATACTGAGCTTATTTTGGCTTTATCCACAAATCTGACCGCCTTCAAGCAATGCTCTCTGAGTACTGTCTAATAGTGAGTAATCTTTTCATCAAGAACAAAAACATGATTCACCGGCATGCATCTTTTCAGACGATCGTATGACATCATTCACATTCATTATGGTTTGTCACGGCTGCGGTGCAGTTGTGTTGTCACTTCAGGTGTTATTTGTGTAACAAACACTCTCGTCTCGGCCGTAAACAGACCCCAAAAATAAAACTTCTCTTCAGGTTAACCTTTGCACAAAAGATGGAGGATCAACATCTTTTCCTGGCCCTCATCTAAATTTCAGATGAGTGAATCAGAGACGGAGTGAGAGATGGAGAGGCCGGTGCTGAAATGTCAACAAAGCCAACTGCTCAATAACAAGCCCGACGCCGACGCCGCCGCTGCTGCTGCCACCAGCATGACAAAACTGCTGCACTTTGTCTTTGTGTGACTTTGTGTGTCCCAAATGAGGTCGTACACGTTTTTCATGTGATATTGATGATGTTAAGTTTTGATTCTGCATTAAAAACAAAACCTGAAATACAGATGCTTGACCCTCTTATAGAAGGATTACCTGCTCCAGAACTGGAAGATATTACAATTTTAGCAACTTTACAGTCAAGGGGACAGCGGACAGAGAGTCAGACACAGAGAGGAGAGAGTGGGGGATGACATGCGGGGCACGATCGAACCCGGGCTGTTCATCCTAAGGACTACAGCTTCCACACATGCGGCATGCAACACAACCCCCACACCATCGTCATGACTCATTACCTCGTAGTAGAAGCTTTTAAAAACCAAATATTTACAATAAATTGTTCTTAGAAGCCCATCTGTAAAAAATTAAAATTAAAAAAGATCTAGGTAACACCTAGTGTTTAAAATGAGTACTGCAGTCCAAATTGTAAACATTGTAGAGAGCCGTCTCCCCCCCCTCCTAGAGTGGATGCTCACACAGGTCACCATGTGGTGGACTCTGAAGCTTCAGTGTTTATCCAGCTCTGCATGGGTCTGTAAACCTTTCTGTGTTCTAACCTCTCTCCATTTTTCAAAAGCATCTCCAATATTGATCCTAGTTTGAGCACGTTTCTGCTCGTGGAGCTTATTAGAACAGGTGTTCCATCACTGCAACACCTGTTGACCTGATAACTGCTCTCATATCTGAGAAACCGAGGGGTGTCCAAAACGGCCGTGTGGGGATGCCTTAAAAAATGACCCGTCTGTGGTCCAAACAGATTGTTGAGGTCTGACAAACAAACAGAAACAGCAACATCATAGGCCAGAAGAAGTCCTATGCTGCGACAGCTGGATTCCGTACCAAGACCCGGCAATTGTTTCTGACATTCAGTGAGGAAAATGTCAGTACAAGTCCAATAGGCAGGTTATAGTGAATTTAAATATGATGTACCTTCTGTCTGATGTAGACGCTGCTCAGTGGAGCCACATCACAGTCTTTGTGTTTGCCGAACACTTTGCACATGGAGCAGGTCGGCGTCTGACAGGACAGGCAGTAGATGTTGATCTTTTCTTCGTCGTGGTCGTCACACATCAGATGCTGCTGCTGCTGCGGCTCGGGCTTCATGTCTACAAGCCTGGAAGACAGAGAAAATAAGATATATCGTCTATTCAGGCTCAGCGATGTACAGTACACGTTAGCTGGCTTTTGACTTTGAAGGTGATATTTAGCACAGATTAAAACTATTGGTCCTTTTTTTAAAATATTGCACAACTTTTCTCCTCGAACTTGCTTCCATCTTTATGTCATCCAGAGCAAGAATAAGAGAAAGAGATCCACCTCGTGCTGACATCTCAAGATACTCAAGAGCTCACAGGTCAAGCTTTTAAAAACAGCGCCTGGCTTTCTCAGACTCAGACGAGACCACAACCTATTCAATTCTAAAGTTTTTGTTTTGGGATACCTCACTTCTTTCAACATTAAATATTGTGCGACTAGTAGGGGCAGAGAAATACAATAAAGCATCACGGAAAAGCAGACAAGGACACCAAACTCGTGCTTATAAGTTCCTAAAGCAAAGCAGCATTTCCATCTGCAAGGACAACTAAATGTTTTACACACAAAATATGATATTAAGGTATTAAACTGACACAAAATTAGTACATGAAGTTCAGAAAGTTTGGTACAATCAATCATTGTAATGCATTTTTGATATGCTTAAAATGCCATCGAGGGGAAGACTTGATTAAAATTCGATTTGAGTTCCAGGCACCAGCCGGACGCGAGACTTGGCAACATCGTCTGCATTGTTAAAAAGGGTTCAGTCTACTTCTGCTAACGATGACGAACTGTGACGTCAATGGATGATGGAAGAAGTACGCTAAGACTTTGGCTGTGATCATTGTTGTTGTTGTTTTTTTGCCACTTGGCATTTAAAGAAGGTGTCATGAATCAGAGTATCTCAGCCAGTATACATCCAAAGTCAATTAATTTCTTGATTTTTTACGTGTTTTTACCGTATTTCTGACTTGATTTGTCGCTGCAAACATTATTCTCCTTTTTATGCAAACAATTAGACATGATGAAGCTAGAAATAATCAGCAGGATTAACACACTGCTGCCCACCACGCTCGCCTTGAAGGACCTCACATGGGAGTCACAGTGGTGCATGTAGGCAGTTTGGACAGGGGGGGAGATAAATCCTGAAAAGCAACGTTTAATAACATTTATGCAATAGACGCTCCTTTTGTCCTTTGTCCTCTGACGTAGGAGTCTCTGATGATTAAGTAATAAGAAATCCTCACATGTCTGAAAAAAGAAAAAAAAATACAAGTTTTTTTCTGCCTTTAGCCCACACAGATAGTGAGGGGAGTCCTGTGTCCTTCTGTCTCTAACCAATGCCAACAATCGCCATTCTTTACACGTGACTCACTCAGCTTCTATTTCGGAGTGAAAAGTGACAAATCTTCAGTGAGGGAGACGGACATAAGAGGTAGTAAGTGTGTAAAACTTACAAAACAGAGGCAGATGGACGGAAGAGGCTTCCCACGTTTCTAAACATGTAACAATAGACTTCAGGCAACAGTAACAAAAACGAGAAGGTCATCGATTGATTATGATATTCATTATGAAACATTCAGAAAGAAGGTAAAATTGCAACTACTTTGAATCCCTGAAGGACCTTGCAAAAAAAAAAAAAGTAATATAAATATAAAGAAAGAAAGACAGCAGCCCTGTGATTGACTGGTATGTGTCTACCAGTGATCAGTCCAGTTCTGAGGTCTTTACATTGTCTCCCAGTCTGTCAGAGAATAGATTTTAAAATCCTGCTGCTGGTTTATAAAGCGCTTAATGGTTTAGGGCCAAAATACATGAGTGACCTCCTACAATTCTACAATTCACTTAGCAGACGCTTTTATCCAAAGCACGTACATCAGAGAGTAAGAACAACACAAACAAGGATCTAGAAAAAAGGGAACAATGTCAGTAAGAGCAAACGATCAGCTTTGAGTCTGATTGGACACACAGGTGCTGACAGGAAGTGACCAGAGGCAAAGCACAACATTGAGGGCAGTTCTTGAGAGCTCTAATCAGTATAGAAACCATCTTATAAGTCGTCATTATCAAACAGAAACCATCGTCATTACCATCATCATCATCAATAATATGGAGACCATCATCATTAAGTTAGTAGGTATTCATGAAAGAGCTGGGTCTTTAGCTTTTTCTTAAAGGTGCAGAGGGACTCTGCAGATTGAATGGGTTTGGAAGTTCATTCCACCACCGGGGGGCGACAGAGGAGAAAAGTCTAGTCAGCGTCTTAGGACCCTGTTGTGAAGGTTGGATCAGACGCCTTTCATTGGCAGAGCGTAGTGGGCGGGGGGAGTGTAGACCTCCTGATTAATTACGAACCATCCAGACTGTTCAGGTCGTCTGGGACAGGTCTGCTCTCTGTCCCCAGAGTCAGAACCAAACACGGAGAAGCAGCGTTCAGTTTCTATGCTCCTTATATCTGGAACAAACTCCCAGAAACCTGCAGGTCTGCTGAAACTCTCAGCTCTTTTAAATCCAGGTTGAAGACTCACCTGTTTACAGCTGCCTTTCATTAAACAGCTTTAATAAGATTTTAAACTTTAACTCTGCACTGTAACTTTTAACTATTTTTTATATTTTTACTTTATTTATTTCCATTAGTTTCATTTCTTTTTTTTTTTATTTGAACATATTTTCAGATTGAATAATTTCAGTGATTTTTAAATGTTCTATTTTAATGTTTCTTTTCGTTGCTCTGTCATGATGCTTTTTTTTAAAAATACTTTATTGCAGGCTGTTTTACTACATTACAAGTTGTCATATTTCATCACATATTTTGTTCATCCTGGCACATTTATATATTTTTTTTAAACATACAAGAATACATACAACATGAAATAAAATAAAAATCCAAAGAAAAGGTACGAAGAGAAAAAAGATAATTAAATTAAGAAAAAAAATAATACTAATAATAATGTCATGATGCTTTTGATGTCATGTGTAAAGCACTTTTAATTGTCTTGTTGTTGAAATGTGCTACATAAATAAACTTGCCTACCTGGCCTCACAATGACAAATGGGATCTGCTCCAGACCCCCTGCAACCCCCACTGGGACAAGCAGTATGGATAATGGATGGATAGATGGAAGGATGGATGGACTATGGACTTTACTTTTAAAATGTTTACATTAAATGACACTGACCCCCCCCCCCACACACACACTTTTTCTTCAGCTTTGGGGTTTTTGTGTTTTCTTGATATATGTTGAAGTGATGTTTGGGGCTTATTTACCTGTTTATTTAATGTATTTACTTGTTTTATTATTTGTGAATTTCTGTATTTGTTTTTACTATTTCTTGCTTTTTTAAATTGTAAAGCACTTTGTAACTTTCTTTTGAAAAAGAGTTGTATAAATAAAGGTATAATTATAAGTAATTAAAATTCAAATGTTATTTATACTTGTCCTTCTTCAGTTCTTTAACATCCCTGTCTTTTCTAGTATGTTTGCAGAGCATAAAATTCACAATATAAATAAACACAAAATCACCAGAATGTATGTCTCCAGGTAGAATTTGATGCATACAGTTTTGATGTATTTGATGATGTAGAAATAGATTTATTTTTTATAACAACTGGAAATCAAATAAAAAAATCAAGCAAACTGGGAAGACAGTTTACCGCGCACTCTTATCACCTAAAAGCCATCCACAGTGAATTCAAAATCTAGTCAGAAAATAAAGCATTCTTGTTTTCTTAAAAATTAAAACATCTGAATAAATCACTAAAACAGTCAACACTTTGTAAAGACTTGATGATTTTCAGTCTGCAGTAAAATGTTAAACTATCGTCTTCAAGAAAAAGAATTGAAGGCCAATGAAAGACTGCAGACTGGTATCAATGTGTAACAATATTGCTCTCTAGTGCTAGTCAACCACAACTACAAGAACATGCATAAAGTCTGACTTCGGATTCTATAAAAATAATTTCTCAGCTGAGCCAGTTTGGAAAATGTGACGTATTATGTGCTTCCAACTGCTTTGTCATCTATCAAAATAAATGACAAAGCATTCATTTAAAGGAGCAGTATGTAAGAAATGTATTGTATAAAATAATAAAGTGACCTTACTATCATCAGACATTAAAGAAACATGCTATGTTGAAGTGCTGGCTTCTCTCACAACAATGCAGCTGCCAGTATGTCCTCCTGTTGCCTGTTAAGTTTAGATACTGGTCCTGAATTGTTTGTACTGAATATGATTTGACCGGAAAAATAAGCGGTTTCTAGGAATCCCCACATGATCGTTTTGGATGCCCCTCAGTTTGCCTAGTAAGCAGGCAACAGATGTTGCAGCAATGGAAGCGGGCAAGAGAAGTGGTTCAGATAGAAGTGATTGTACCCGACCTAAAAAGCCTCTGCATGTTTCTAATAAGCTCCACGAGCAGAAACGTGCTCAAACTAGGATCAATATTGGAGATGCTTTTGAAAAATGGAGAGAGGTTAGAACACAGAAAGGTTTACAGACCCATGCAGAGCTGGATAAACACTGAAGCTTCAGAGTCCATGATATGGCAACTTGCAAGCTCATCAACTCTCGGGAGGAGGGGGGAGACAGCTCTCTCTAATGTTTTCAATTTCAGCTGCAGTACCCATTTTAAACACAAGGTGTCAGAGTTACATATTGCTCCTTTAATGTTTGAAGTGTATGGACTGTGCAGGGAAGAAAAAAAAACATATTTTAGACCTACACTCACCTGGTTGATTCATGCTGTCTGTACAGGTCTAAGATGTTCTCCACCAGCAGGTTCCTCTGCAGACCGTAGACTCCATGGCGGTCGAGCACCACCTCGTGGCGGCAAGACGGACAGCGAAAGCGACCGCCACTCGCAGTGATGCTGGAGGAGCCGCGGGACTGCCACTGAGGGTTAGCTGACTGGAGAAGGAAAAACACTAAATGTAGTCTGTGCAAGTTTAATAACTTTTGCGGAGGAAGCGCTCTTTATTCTTCAACATCTACCAAACTATTCCAGACAGATAACAGATTGGGGTTGTCATGGAAATGTTTGCTGATGTTTTTAATGTGTTGAACAACATGTAATGCCTGGATCAGAACACTGTATCTGGTATTTTTGAGAGTGTGTCACATTACATAAACACAGAGACATGGTTCTATAAAAGAAAGAGATACTACACATTTGTCCCCGACTATTTTTAGGTTATCTCTAATCACAGAGCTCTCACAAGTCAAGATGGAGACCATGCTGTTTAATTTGATCCAACATTGTTATCCTCACCAAATAGTTATTGCATGGGTGGTTCTAGGCAGGGGCCAACAGGGGCCAGTGCCCCTGTAACACTGAGACTGGTCCCCCCTGTGGCCACCCCTCCAAAAGAAAGAGCCCCCTAACACATACACAGTATTTGACTCAACAACCGGACTCCGATCTAGTATTAAATACTGTTACTGAAAGAAATATAAATCATGGTATTTTATGTTGTGGTATTTAATGATGGGTGCTATTATTTGCCATAATATATTTTTTAAATCAATCATCTTTGCCTATTTTTATCTATATTTAATGTTCCCCTCTGACAAAACAACTGGCCCCAATTTGGCCTCCTCAGTAAAAGTGGTCTAGAACCGCCACTGGGTTATTGGTTGTATTTGTTTGTCAGTTTGTCAGCAGGATTATGTGGAAACCACTGGCCTGGTTTTTTTATCAAACTTGGGGAAAGGATGAAGCACTGGCCACTTTTGTATCTCTATTTTATTTCTTTTGTTAAATGAATAACTTTACCTTACTTACAACCACTTGTTCTTAATGTTACTTTCATTTTCCCCCACAAACCTGGATTATCATGCTTACTACAAGCCAACCATCATCAACCAAATTAGCACTTTGCCAACCATTCAGGGGGTAAGTTGTTAATGTTTAATAGTTATAGCTTTGATTGGACATTTAAATTCATAACAGGTGTTTGACATTTTTTAGCATTGAAGTTGTCAGATTAACAATCCTGTTATCCTATGAAATGGACAATATCTCCAGTCGATCTGCAGAGTCCCTCTGCACCTTTAAGAAAAAGCTAAAGACCCAGCTCTTTCATGAATACCTACTAACTTAATGATGATGGTCTCCATATTATTGATGATGATGATGGTAATGATGATGGTTTTTGTTTGATAACGACGACTTATAAGATGGTTTCTATACTGATTAGAGCTCTCAAGAACTGCCCTCAATGTTGTGCTTTGCCTCTGGTCACTTCCTGTCAGCACCTGTGTGTCCAATCAGACTCAAAGCTGATCGTTTGCTCTTACTGACATTGTTCCCTTTTTTCTAGATCCTTGCTTGTGTTGTTCTTACTCTCTGATGTACGTCGCTTTGGATAAAAGCGTCTGCTAGGTGAATTGTAGAATTGTAGAATATCTCACCTGGAAGATGTCGTTGGCACACTTGCGGCAGAGATTGTGCTGGCAGGGCAGGATGACCACGGGTTTGGAGAAGATTTCGAGGCAGACCGGGCAGATTAGCTGCTTCTCAAGGTTCTCCATGGTGGCTCCTCTTCCAGCACCGGGCCCCGAGCTGCCTGCTGATGGAGGCTTGAAGCCGAGAGCAAAGTTCATCACCTTCGGGACCGATTTGAAGAGAGTCAAAGATGACGGAGGAGGGTCGCAAGCAGAGAAACACAAGATGGGGGAATCTTCTGGCGCTTTCTTCTTGAATTAAATATCCCAGAATGGTCTGTTTTCATCAGTCTTGACTTTTAAACCATTCCTCCCTCCATTGATGCTGTTACTGTTGTCTTTAGTCGTATTTTCTCTCTGTCCCTCTTCTCTGTGTAACGTCAGTGTCCCCAGCTGTCCATCCCTTTAGCCCATGCCAGCTTGTCTAACCCCCATGTAAAGACCCTCCCATGCCCCCCTGTCTCAATCCCACAGCAGCCGGACTGTTGACTGTTGATATTTTTAGCTCCTCAGTTTGTTCTGGCTTGGGTTACTGTTTAAACCGCGTTCCACAACCACGCCGTTAGAAAGTCATGGTGGGGCAGAGTATCAGAACAGTGCCAGGGTTCAAATGATAATGTGAATGCAGCCTGATACCAAAGAGGGGAGGCTGGTGAGTTAATACAACCTCTGACCGCCATGTTTGAGGTCATTAGCACTTTGACATAAACAGCTAGCTCTGTTTCTCATGTTGAACTTCAGTTTATTGATGGGGAACTAATACAACCAGCATTGTTTAGCTAGCTAGGGTCTAAGGATGGGGTGACCATATTGGTCCCAATTTCGTTACCTTTAACCAATAGAAAAACACAACTAATGCACCTTAATACACACTGCAAGTGAACATTTTCAGTCGCCCACGGTGGAAATGTAAGCATACAAAGCCACATTAAAACAAACAAACGGTGTGTACAGGCTGGAAGTAGTGCTGTGACTGTACCATAGGTGTATTCAATGAGGCGAACAGCGCTGACAACCAACTAAAACAGGCTGCTCAGGAGGTCACCTTTACCGACCAGCTTGTGTGATCAGTGAGAGGTCACTGATTCCTAGATTGTAGGTTTGCTGTAAAATTGAAGTATCCCAATTCTGTGGTTTGAAAATATGTTCACCTTAACTAAGATGCATCTTTAGGCCTACCTAAGCCTTTTAATATGTTAAATCAACACCATAGTGCCTACAGCTCCTATATCCTAATAATATTGGTTGTTTTGGTTGGTTTCAAACGTCGAAAATCATTTGTTGTTAGCTAAAGAGTTAGCTAGCAGTTTAGCATTTACTTTAACAAATAATTTTCAGATTCTTTTTTTTTTACAACTTTTCTAAAGGGTTTTAAGTATTAAAGGCAGGGTTGGTCATTTTTTAAAAACTAGCATGATTTTGAAAGTAGCATTCCCTCTGTGCTCCGTCTGCACCCCCTCCCCTCTGTGCTCCCTCAAAGCCACGCCCCCTCACTTACATACACGAGCGCCGTTGCTCCAGAAGCGGACCTCAGCTCATCGCTTGCATTTTGTAGAAACTACGTCGTCTCATGTCTCATTCAGCGGTAAGTTAACACTAAACTTTATCGTAATACATGATAATAAAACGTGACTATTTTACTACTCACAACAGTCAACGACAAACTCACGGTATAAACTCCGTCATCGGTGACGCTCTTTGAGTGTGTTCTAGTGCACGCAAGGGGTAGAGAGCGAGCAGGGAGACAGGGAGGCGTGATTGGTTCATCAGATTGGTGGTACCTTGTTAATTAATCTATCAAGACCTATGATTTATGTAACACCTTAACGTTCTTCATTTTCTGTATCAGAAGGAAAACATGAAATTTATGTGATTCATGAAATATATACTTTCCTTTAGACTTTTTTTTGTTAATATGTACCAACTGAATAATTAAAATGCTTTTATGATTGAGTCATCATGCAAGAAGAAGCCTTATAAAAAATAAAACTGAGAGAACCTGTAAGTAACTGGATCCTAATATGAAGCTGTTGCTTCAATACAGCTCACAGGAAACATTCAACTATAACATGATACTGGGAATTTATATTTAAGGCAAGTACGCCACCTGCTGTTTCATTCACAGTTTCAAGAATCTTCCTTTTTTCATGGGAACAGGAGAGAGTTTGAATTCACTGACTGAGTGTTTGTGTGTATGTGTTCAGTTCTTTTGGAGGGAATTTAAGGGGGTTACATTTTCCTGTTTGTCTGATACATGATTTGTTTTTGGGCTCTTATGCCTTTATTTAATAGGCTGTGGATGGAGAAAGAAATCAAAGAGAGAGTGGAGAATAACATGAAGCCGGGCCCCGTCTGCTTGTTGGACTATAGCCTCCATACATGAGGCACAACCGAACCTAAACTTTTCTAATGTGACAAATATGAACCTGAGAACATTCAAATATTTGAAAGGCTTTATATTATATCTTACAGAGTGTTGGGTTGCATGAAAGTATGGATTTAAAGGGTCACACGATCAAAACCATTGTTGAGTATCTGAGAAATCACTTACCTCTACAAAGGCTGAATCCTGTGAAGGAGGATTAATAATTAAGTATTTCATGTCAGGAAGAATAAGTGAGAAGATTCAGTTTGAATCATATCAGATACACACAGGGAAGAACATCATGGGAGACATGCGGCAATTATTTTCACTAAGAAAGTTAATTATACATAAAAAAAAACACAAAAATATGAATGCTTATATTTCTAAAGCAACACCAGAATTAATATGTAAATAAAACTTAACTTACATTTTAGGAACTAATTTCCTTAAAGTCAGCTCTTGCTCTAAAAACGCAAAAATAATTGAAGCAAAAAGTTGATTAATTCATTCCAATTGTGAATATGGGCTAAAATACAAATAAGTTATACAATGTTATGTTACCAAAACATCCCACTTTATTCAAGACAATTTGTGGTCAAATATTGTCGTTAAACTTTGACAAGTGACAAGTTACACATTAAACTGTTTGTAATTACAATGAAGAGTAAGACCAGAGAAAACCAGATGTTCAAACAAACACTCTCTTACACCTCATCTGCTCGGTGATATGACACAGACTCACTCTCTCCTCCTGTCCCTGCCCTTTGACCTGTCTCAGCCTCGGGATAAGCGAGTAGACAGCAGTGAGGTCGGTCCCCGGTGAGTAAACACGCAAGCTATTTGCTAATCAACGGAATGGAGCCCACTAAGTAGACTAAGCTATTAATGGGATTACCAGGCTATTTATAGATCCAGGGGAGGGAGGGAGGGAGGGCTGCTGCAGAGGAAACTAAACATACAACACACAGCTACATGCATGCATCGCCCACTGCAGCTCCATGTTATGGTGTCAGGTCATCACTGTGGCCTGAAAACACAACATTGTTTAGTAAGGCCCTTATAAGGTCATTCAGGAAGCAAAGCATCATAATTCATTTTTAACAGCATCCTAACTATCAATAAACTAATGAGGAGGTATTGATGGTAAACTCATAGTTAATGACCGATTAGCTGTCATGTAGAATAAGGTACTAATAAGCACTTAATAATGACTAATTAGCAGTCAGTATGCTAATAATTAGCATGCTAATAAGCAACTAGTAAGTGGTGAATATTGTGATCTTAGTGTTACCCAGAGAACAAATACTTTTTATAAGCGTGAGCAGAAACTTCAAAACTGCAACGAAAGATTAAAAATATCAGACAACAAAGTTATAAAATCCCCCTTTTTTATTTGGTTGTATTTCATTTTACTCATTTACATTTCGTCAACAGGGAAGCACAACAGTGAGTGACGCTGACACGCCTCCCTGCCCACCTCCCAAAAAAACCTCTGCTTCATCGACTTCAATAAGATGAGCATTTGTCTTTGACAGATTCACACTTCCTGATCCATTCTGGTAAATCCTCCCACTGTTCAAATTGAGTAAAAACTGAGTAAAATAAGAGCAAAGATGTAGAAAAACAAATCAGTCTTTAGCTATTAGCATGGAGTTTGCTATGCTAACAGGTTAGCATGGACACATGAATGTCTTAAGAGCTGGGGGCTAAACGTTTAACTTCCAAAAGACAGTTTAGAAAAATTCAAATTAATTTACTTCTACGTATCAAATTAAAAGAATATTAATGAACACTGTTAAAACACACACGTGGAGGCTATAACACACGCCCATGAAACAGTCTGTTAAGTCTGTTATTTAGCTGTAAATAAGTATTTACGATTTAAAAAATAAATAAATAACATGTCTTATGACATGGCCGGATCACCTTAACACTGAAGTGGTTTAAGTTGAAAAGATATGAGAGAGCGAGAGAGACAAGAAAATCAGACTTGTTTCAAAAATGTTGTGAAACACTTGAAATGACATGTGGGGGTTTTGTTGCCTAGGAAACGGAGGCAAAACGATGACCTTCAAAGTTTTTTTTAGACGAGTCCTCAATGCAAAAACTCAAAGACGAAATGAAGTGATGAAGATATTTGTCGGAGTTGGTTTTATAAACATTATCCATCCGTCCATTATCCAGAGCCTACCTCTTTTCCCATTCGGGGTCGCAGGGGACTGGGCGAGAGGTGGACTGTCCACCAGCCAATCACAGGGCTGACATACAGAGACAGACAACCAGGCAATTAGGAGTCACCGATTAACCCCGTCAGGGTAAATGTACACTATATTGAAAACATTCACAGCTTTGTTTCATACAGCCTCACTTCAAAAAATAATTACTGAAGGCTGAACCACCTGAAATCCTGATAAGAGGAGTCACAACCTTTAAGGAGCATTAATAGATGACTGACACGTCTTTGCATTTTGGACTGTTTGTTGCAGTTTAACAAAAGTGACACTGATCAATTGGAAACTGTGACGGGTGTTTTTGTCCCATTGTTTTCAGAGTGATCATGTAAATAACTGCAAACCTAACACAGACCCTTTAAATAAAAACAATGCTTTGTACGGTGAATGCTCCTCAACTTGACCAAGATCCAAAACTAAACAGAAACCTCGAGTCAACATGCACTGTGAAAAGAAAGTTGGACCTAAATAAAGCAAACGTGTGTATTTTGTTTAAGACCAAAGTGTGTGAATCAACTTAGAAAATATCCCCAGTGATGAAGCTGAAACACCAAAACCCTGATCCAGATTCAACGAGGGAACCACGCTAATATTTAAAACATGTACTCTAAGCCTCTGTTCACCAGTCGTGGTCATGTACCTGCAACTACAGGATACCCTCACACGTGTTCTTAGAGACTTTAAATAGTTATTGGTTACTGCTGCAGTCGTTTTTGTTTTTTAAAGGCACATCACTGTCACCATCAAGTCAAGAAGCAGGGGCGAGGGGTGGGGGGGGGTATCTCTATTAAAACTAGAGACAGAAAAAGAGATGCATGATGAGAAGATTCAGACTTTATGTCTGGTGTCTTCTGTCTACTGTGAAGCATTTCTAGTGTAGTTGTACGGATGTGTAATGACAATAAATGAGTCGGTGATTAGTGCCTGAAATCTGCTTCCTGGGCTCTCCCTGCACGCTTCCACTTCATTAGCATGCTCGCGTTGAGGGTCCTCCACAGTGAGTGCAGAGTAAGAGTGGGTTTTTGAACCCCCCTCCCCTACATCCAGTCGCTTGCTGCTGTATTTAACCCCTCCACATGAACAAAGGGAACACGCTGCAGGAGTCTGGAGGGAGCAGGATGAGATAAAAACACACACAGGTAACTGATACGCAGCAAAACCAGAACGTTGTAGTGAATCTAAACCTGAGTTCAGAGATTATCAAAGAACTGTAAAGGTAGCGGTTTGTGTAGTCGAGGAAGAAAGTGTGAGGTAAAAATAAACGACCTGAAGTGAGGGAGGTTTCTTAAAAAGGTGCATAGAGGGCGAGTACAGTGCTGCAGGTTTGTGTCCTTATACCTCTGTACATGTTTGCATGTCCACACCTCTTTCATACCATGTTGAATATAACAAATTAAATACACACTTCATGAGCTTAAAGGTGCCGGAGGCTGTCTGTGACATTAACATCAACACATTAGCAGTTTTACATTTTATGCTTGAAAAAAAAACAACAACATAAAAGTGGTGTGTATTTGTAAAGATTATTTTGTTTAATCAGTTGTATGAGAATCATTTACTTCCTGTTTTATTCTAACTACAATTCTAATTGGCTTTTTAACAATAGAACCAGGGGGATGTTAACTTCTAGGTTAGCCAGTTAAAATACAGTATTCCTTAAGTCTCTCTCTCTCTCTAATCATTTAATACAAACAAATGTAACAAACTAAAATGTGGCTTTCAGGTGTAGCAAATGGCTTTTTACAGAGACTGTCCACCTCAGGGATCGTGTGTTGGCTGGCTACATGAAGCTGTTGCCTTTGGTCTACCAAACAGCCTGACTGCAACAGAAAGAAAGATAATCGCAAATAAAGCAGACGAACAAAATCTCTTTAAATAAAAAACATCTTCTAGTAAACACTTAACACGCTTCTGTCACTCACATTATCCCGGGGCTCGTATTTCTTTAGCAAAGGGTGGCACATGACATAAGGGCTGGTATCATTTGTCTGTATTAAGTGTGTGTGTGTGTGTGTGTGTGTGTGTAACCAGAGTCTGCTTGCCCTTTAAGGTCAGGCCAGGCAGGTTTTTTTCACATGTTTTTGGTGTGAGGGTTTTGAAGTGTAATTCCAGTGCTGTACAGTAGGGGGCATGCATTCTTGGAGAAATAAAAGCATGCGTGGTGGGGAAGGGGGTTAGCCTCGACTTTGCAGCTCCGGGGTTTTTTGGCTCAGACATCAAACATCACAGTCAGGATTTTTTTTTTTTTGTGTGAGTCTGTGAGGTTCTCTCTTCTCTCCTGTTCCGCTTCACATCAGTGTGTCCTTAGTGTAGCTGCAGTCTGTCCTCCTTTGGAAGATGATCTCTCAGACGTTTGTCACCACATCACTCGGCAGCAGGAGCTCGTTTGAGGGTCGACGTTTAGCAGAATGTTTTTATTTTTTTAAACAGGACAAGAGAAGAACAAAAAAGATCCACAACACCCAGAAAGTCGTGCTGCTGGCGTCTGATGAAGAGTACGCGTAACAAGCTGTAATCCAAGTCCACTCTTCAGTAACAAAAAACACTTGTTAGTTTTTTTTCTCCTAAACAGGTGAGGGAGAAATGTAAAAAAAAAAAAAAAAAAAGTGCTCCTGTTGATGACCAGATGAGAGAAAAAAGAAATGATTCCAGTCCTGATCTGGATAGCCGACAACTAGAGGACAACCTTTCCAAGTGTCACATCCTCACTGTTTGTAATGGGATGACAGGAACAGATTAGAGAGGTCAGTTCGGGCATGTTGCCATACTAGCTCTGGAAGGGCATGAAACGGCTAGCAAGATCACATCCAGCCCGGGGCTAGGCTAAAAGTAGAGGAGACAGGACTCGATGGAGGGACGGCTAAAAAAGAAACAGCTAGTGTTCTCATCTTTAATCATTCTCCTCCATTCATCGAGTTCCTTGGAGGGAGACCCAAGAGCCTCTTAAGTGCCCACCTTTCAGGGCGTTGTCCAGTGGGTGGATCAGGTTAATGATGAGGGGTCAGGACTGAAGGTGTTGGCCCGGGCTGGCTGGTGGCGGCTGTGGGCTGGTTGTTTTCTCTGTGTCGCTGGCAGCAGTCGAATGTGGCTGGATCATAACAGGAGCGCGACGGACTGAGGAGGAAGAGAGAGGTCAGGATGAGATTAATAGACAGTTTGAACTCTAAGAATGAGCGGAGTTACACATGATATCATGAGACTTTTGAGCCTGTGTCCACCCAAGCTTTATTTACAGGTACAAAAGCACTGGCTGTGTGCTCAGGAGCGCTTGGATGATTGCTTTTTTAATATTTTCCACTTTATCCTTCCCTACGAGCATCAAACGGAGGATGCTTGATTTTAACTTCTATTTTTATTTTTAATAAGTATATTCCCGTCCCCTGTTTTCTGGAGCTGTAATGCACAAATTTCCCCCACGGGGGATCAATAAAGTTTATCTTTATGCTTGCCCTCCTACTTTAACTGGATGATGAGCTTAATAATACTGACGACCCCACGATCACAGCTCTGATCAGACCAGGAGCAAGCAGAGAAGAGCAAGTGTGGGTACAGGACACGATATGAAGGAGAGAAGAATGCGCAGAAGCAATCATAGCGACCGCACAATAAAGGTGAAGAGCTCGAGAATGCTCGGCTTTTTCTCTCCGAGTGGCCACCTGCTGCTGTAAACGCTCTCTCCTCAGTGGGAACGATTGAAAAAAACAGACGCTGGCACTCAGAAGAAAAGAAAAGCCAGTTGGACACAGGCCGTTATCCTCCATATGGACACCAATAAAAGGGGAGAGTACAAACCTGCTTCTGTTAGTTGAGCCTCATCCACGCCATCACCTTCCTGTGGGAGGACACAATAGAGATATTACCTCTATGTCATGTTATTTTCAAAACTCAGTTCATGTGGACAAAATAACGCACATCAAGGACACACATTTCTAAAGGGTTAGAATTTAAAATGCTGTTAGAAATCAAAACAAAATGAGTGAAGTCATGAAAAAGGTTTAAAAAACAAACAAATAATGAATTTCATTATCAAAACAAACAGAACATTTGGAAAGGGTTATTTTCACCATTGATTTCTTCCTTTTGCATGTTTTTGTATTTTTTGCGTTAGTGGTTTTCTGAAATATTATCCATGTGGACAAAGAAGAAACCTAAAACTGCATCACCATGACAACAGCTGCATTTTAATGGATACTTTCACCTTTGATTCAAACTCACAGGTATAACAAAAGCTACAAACATTTTCTTTTCAGTTACTGTAGTGTTATTCAGACTGCTGTTTCAAGGTGCGTGACATTCAGAGTCAATATGAATGTCACTGAGGCGTAATGAGGGCAGGAAGTGATCCGCCTTCTGTCTCGCTTAAGGAGGTAGTAACCGAGGCGTTACAGGGGCGAGAGGGGATCGGACGTAGCCATTCTGGGTAGGACAGCGCTGTGTGTGTGTGTGTGTGCGTGTGTGTGTGCGCGTGCGTGCGTGCGTGCGTGCGTGCGTGTGTAGCTCCCGCTGTGCTGTGCTCTCTCAGCTTTCAGGTTCTGATTCATCAACTAGAGTGAAAATAACTTCTTCTGGATTCTAGTTAAACACTCAAGTTAATAATGAATACCTGAAAAATGTAATATTGATAAAATCATTACAACGCTGATTAACTTATCCAAACCAATTCTTCAGTTTTATGAAAAGCTGACCCCAAAAAACGTATTTCTTGTATTGCTGCAGCTTCGCTATTTACTGATACACATTTTCAGATTTATTTTAGTAAAGAAACAGTCCAAATTCTTAGATTTAAACTACTGAAATCTTAACATGTCTTCATAAATGTATGATTTTAATCAATTTGATGCAACAGCAAACACAACAGCAACAACATCAGAGATGGAAGCCTAAAGACTGGTCATTCAGTCGGCCATCTTTTCTGACAGGATTTCAAGTAAACAGTGGATTCATGTTAAAATGGCAAGAAGCATAAATAAAAACAAACATGCAGATAGAGGACAATATGAATGACATGTAGTTAATATGAATGACAGCGGTGGTAAGACGGCACAGACGGTTTGTTATGGATGAAAAGAGAAGCAGTGATGAAGCATTAACAGCCAGCTGACACGGAGATGAGGACAACTTCTCATTCAAGACAAAAACGAGCGGATGATGTGACACAGAAAAAGGAGACCGGGCGGCTTCTTACGAGTCATTTCGACTCCGGTAAAGTCTCCCCGGGGTTCTCTTCCCCCGCTGCATTGGCTGAGGTCGGCGACTGAGGCTCAGGTGGAGGCATAGGCATGGGCAGGGGGATGGGCTGACTCTGTCCCTTTGGGCTTTCTGGATCTGGATTAGACGTAGGCTGGCCTATGATTACTGTGAAACCTGTAGGATTGGAGTATGAACACATGAACGCTGCAGTGTGAGAGTGTGTTCAATTCTCTGGTTAACTAAAAGCACACAGACGGTTACAGTTTTATTAACAACTCTAACAACAGGTCTGTTTATATTGATGTTGAACCGATGTATGGAGGCTGTGGAAAGATTGGGAATCCCTCAAACTCCAGCAGTGAGATGGTTTAGCAGTTGAAGTATTTTTTTCAAAAGAATGCTAAAATGGCTTGAACTCAAGACAGTTAAAATTAGATTTAAAGGTCACATGTTTATAAAATATGCTTAATAATGTTTTTCTAACAATTATATGTGTCTCTAGTCCGTCTTCAAACCCCCCCAATGATGAGAAAAGTCCATCCTCTCCGTCTTTTCCCTGCTCCACTTTTCAGAAAAGTGGAGCAGGGAAAAGACGGTGCTCAAACAGGCCGTTTGGAGATTTTCCATTCATGACATCACAAAGGGCAGTAGCCCCTTCCCCAGGTGGGTGACACTCCCACAGCTAGGTGTTTGTTCTGCCCTCTGAGTCTGCCTTGTCACCGTAAACAATAGGACATGGAGCGAGAAAGCACTGAGTACACCCAAGCACCTTTGAGAGAGGGGGCGTGGTCAGACACAGCTCATTTACATATTTAAAGGTACAGACACAGAAACAGCCTGTTCTGAGCAGGGCTGAAATAGAGGGGTTTATAGACATGATCAAATACAGGATCAGAGTGGATTTAGAACAAGAAACTTCACACACATGTTTTGAGGAGCTCTGAGACTTATTTAAACTGGTTGAAGACGAGGAGAATATGAGACCTTTAACTAACATTCCCCCAATAAAACCGAAAGACTAGAAATATAACATCAGTTAAAACATCATTTATCAGCAGTGGATTTATTAACACAGCAGCTTTAAACATCGTCTCACCTCCGTCCTGCTCTGCTTTGATTTGGGCCTCCAGGTCTTCAGGGTCCACATACTGGTAGTTTTCATCATCGTCTGGTGGTTTACATTTCCCACAGCAAAAACAACAGCAGCAGCAACAGCAGCAGCAGGTGAACAGCGTGCAGCACAGAACCATGCCCTGTGGGAATAAACACAAAAACAACACAGATCTTTTTTTTACCTGCAGCCAAAAGACAGAAAACAACAGAACCGTCTTTTATCTTTACATCATGAACTGCTCCTTTAATGCTAATTTAGGAACAGTTTAATATCCCGGCGCAAGGAGGAGCCATGCATCTGTTCTAGCTACAAAAGATAGTTTATTTTTCACAACAAAAATAAAAGCTTGTGACTCGGGATAAGAGTGAGAATATACTGCACCTATTCAAAAGCAGAAACCAGAGTCTGATACAGTTACTGTCAGAAAATGACAACTAGAGGTGGGAAAAAATGATTTATGTAAAAATGAGATTCTTGTATTGTGATATTTTAAATAGATTCATAACTTCCAAAAATGGATTTCCTTGGGCTCATCAGTCACTCCCTGCTAAGTGCTAATGCTAGCTCTTTAACTCAGTAGAATGACAAATGGAGCAGCAAGAAATTCAGCCAGTCTCACAGACGACTGGAGGAGATCCTGAAGTACGAATTTAAAAAAAAGAAAGACTTTGACTCATATGAATAGATTCTCAATCGAATCGTGACCCCAAGAATTGAATTGAATCGTGAGACATCCAAAGATTCCCAGCCCTAAACAGAACGGTCCTTTTTTTTGTAAGAGGTTAACACAAAGACATCCATAATACAGTGAATCACCCAACACTAAAATCTATCACTCAATGTTGCTTCAAGACAAATTATAAGTTAATGAGTGGCAACATATAAAAGAGATTATTATACACAGTGTAAACCACTTGAACGTGCCGTATGAAAACATTAAAATATCCCCACATGTAAAGACGATAGCTATGGAAATGAATCATCGTATCTCTTCCCTGAATAATGGAGGACTTGAGAAGATTTGTTTCTCATAGAGACGAGAGAATTTGTGTTTTTCCTCTTCCTCTTTTTAGACCCACCATGCAGCTCTTCTGTTATGTATGGCTGTATTTAAGGGTTGAATGGGAGTTTGTGATCAGACTTAATCATTCATTTGTGTCAATATTTATCTGTATGGGATGCAACGGTTAGTCTTTGTTGTAAAGACTGTCCCGCCCTGCTTCGCCGTGATTGGACAGCTAGGTCAAGCCTGATAGTTATGAGTGCAATGATTCTATATACATATATGGATTAAAAAAAAAGCACTTCCATTACAGATACCAAAATAACTCGTCTCATGGAAACAGCTTACTTTTGACTTGTTGACATTTTTGATGAACCACATGGATGTTAGAAAACGGAGGCTTTACAACATATTGCAGCAGTCAACTCGCTTATAACGTTAAGAGAGAGGAGCGAGGCAACAACAGGCAAAGTGACTTTTTACAGAAACGAGCCCCGATAGGTAAATTAAATACACATGTTCTCCTAATGCAAGCTTCTACTCCGAGAAAAAAAAGCACCCACCTTGAACCACCATTTGGACATGAGGAAGTAGTATTTGACGCTCTCCTCTCCGAACTGCTCGGACACGTAGAGGCCCATGGAGCCATACTCGTCGTAGATCTTCCTCTTGGTCTCATCGTTCAGAATGGAGTTGGCGTTGTTGATCTCCTTGAACTTCTCCGCTGCCTCGGGGTTTTCGGGGTTCTTATCTGGGTGATACTTCAATGCTAGTTTCCTGACAGGAGAGATGAGCACACAGACATCACGATAATTAATATAGAAAAAGGAGATTAAGATGAGTTCAGGCCAAGAAGGGGCGGGATCAGGTTGGGGTTTTAGATTTTTGATTTTAAGATAACTACGCAGTGGGTCTATTTATGACAAGAGCCCGTTGCAAGCAGGCGTCAATCTCAACAGAGCAGATCGACACCCGGACAGGAAATCAGACAAGGGAATGCGCAGAGCATCCGATTGGATTTCAAAATAAAACACAATATAATGACTCCCCAATCGCATATATCCCAAAACATCAACCACATTATGTCACAACAGCAAATGAACCTCAGAAAGACAAAGCAACACGTGTGCACGTTCTTCTCTTTAATCCTGCGTGATCTTGTAGTTCTGGGATCTTGTTAACTTGTGAGTATTAGCTGCTTGTGGCTGCGCCTACGCTCCAGAAACCCCCCCACAGTGGGGTAGGGAGCTTGCTGTTTGACAGACAGAAAACTACGGCGGAGATGGAACGCATGCACACGGATCCTGAGGAAACCGCTTTGAAATATTTAATGAACTTCTTAAAGTGAGACTTTGATGGATTATTTAAAAATATGAATTAGACAATGAAACAAATGACACAACACGTGTTGTTTTATTAGCTTGTGTTCTCTTTCACAGACTCAAAAAAAGTCCCTTTTTGGTAGCATGACTAACGGAGGGATCCGGAGGAAATAGCACTTTGAGTAATCTGTCATTAAAGGGAATTTATCAACATAATTAAGGACGGGATTACAGACATTTTTGCAATGGATTTAAAAAATACCCAAAAGTAATAATTACAATGTGTTCAGCCTGCCCACTGTGGAGAAACTAATCCTTTTCTTAAGAGACAGCTGAGACGGATTAATTGGGGGGTAATAATTCAGATTAATGAATGTGCAGACTGCTCACCGGTACGCTTTCTTGATGTCCTCAGCTGTGGCTCCTTTCTCCAGCCCTAGCACCTTGTACACACTCTCCCCAGCTGTGGACATCTTCCTCTGGGGACGGGAGGGGTTCGGTTCAGCCATGGCTCACCTCTGATGTGAAAAAGAAAAGCACATCACTTTGTCATATAAAAGAAATTACAGAGACAGAAACAAACGTTGAAGGAGATTTTTAAAATCTCTTATTTTGAGTCATTTCAGTCAGAAACAGACATAACACTCAGGGATTTCTCGACAATGGAAACTATGAAAAGGCTGCGGTGGATTATACTTCATGTTCAGGATGTGTACCCGACCGGTGCTTGTCCTCGTGCATGAACTGTGCTGAACACACCTCTACCAAGCGTGCCAGGGCCAAATAAGGTTAGGATCAAGACCCTCACACTAGTACTTGGGCACGGTACAGATGGCCTAGTGTACATTGACCCTGAGTTGCAGTGTGTTTTAAGTTGCAGTGTGTTGATTCCTTTGGGCCAGAAAAATACTCGACACAAGATCCATTTGAGGATCTTTATGATGTTTGATCTTAACATCAGTCAAAAATTAGACATAATAAAAGAATACATATTTTATCTTGATTTTGCAAATACTTTGCCTTTAAATAATTTTAAAAATATGTGGCCCAACTATCATGGAAAGTTTATCGTTTGTATTTCTATTGCTTTTGAATTTCTATTAATGTAACTCTACATACAGTTCAAGTCATCCTGCACAGCTTAGCCTTGATATGTAAGCTAATAGAGGATTGCTCCAGAGGGCTAGGTGCATCGACCCCACCTATTATCTACGACCAACAGAAGGGAGGTGTAGGAGCTGGACATCTTGGGTTTAGGCGTTCAAATAACTGTATCCATAGTCCACGTCATTTCATAACTGGAGGTATTGTGTCACAGTAATAACCTGGTGTTAGTGCAGTTACAAAATACAAAAGGGATTTCTACTCCAGAACAAACTCACAGACACACTGTTACTCAGCCGCACAAATAAAGCTGTGAGGGTCATTGATGAAAGAAGATTACATTCTGCTGATCTCAGAGATTACCCGCCCGTGACCATATCAGAGGAGGTCAGTGTGCTGGTCAGACTGGCTGAACTGCCCCACACACACACACACACACACACACACACACACAAACACATCACACTATACTAAAACCTGAGTCCACAGATTTTTACTGCTGTGGCTAAAAAGCAGACTCATCGAAGACAGAACTTTACAAGACCCTTGAACAGGCCCAAAACGCTCTCATTAAGCACGGCGAGGGATGAGCTGCTTAATCCATAAAAGACTACTACTCAAATAATAATATAGAAAGTTATTTAAAGATGAATTGATAAAAACAACAGCAGCTATAACAGTGAGATTTATGCCTGACTTCAGTCCTTTCAATTGCCTTTGGACTGTTTAATCCTGAGATATTGCATTAGAGGCAAAACAGAATAAAAATGCAGTCAGGGTCTTGATTAGATTAAAGCTTGAAAAGGCAAAATCGAAAGAGGCCATTCTTCCTTCTCAATGATGGAAACACTGCAGGCCCAGATGGCACCCGCGATCAAGCCAAGAAACCTGATGTAAACACTCCAAGAGTCTCCAAATGTGCTGCGCAAACCCAGAGTGCAGTCTGGCAGGAGACAGCAGCTTCATACAGGAGCCTGCAGCCGGCTCGTTTCTCTCTTTACATAAACCTTCAAGACCACCAGTTTGCTGCAGAACAAAAAGGTCTGCACTGATCAAACTGAACCCCCCTGCAGCAGCACACACTGGAGCCATCGATCGGGTATTTAACAAGCAGGATCTATTAGGTAAATTAACTGCAGTCGTTTGTGATGCAGACTTAAAAAGCTGGCTGTAAAAGATGTGTGCAAATACTGTTCGTTTTATCACGCTAACATCAATGGCTTTAGGAAAACGAAGCCTCCGAGCAGTCACTTAAACTTCAAACAGACAAACACACAGATGAGTCTTTTGTCTCTCTTTCCAAACACTACTCTGTGACTCCTTTGTGCTCCGAGTTTTATCAAGTGCGGATCTAAGTTTAGCGACTGCTCAGCAGGATTTTGTAGCTGAAAGGTTGTCAGCCGAGAGACGGGAGCAGAAAGCGAGGGAGGAGAAGTGCCTCGATTCGGGGGATTTTAAGGTTGGATTGGAAAATTGTGACGATTCTAGCCGTTTATCAAACGATTTCGACAGGTTTGCAGCTGGAAAATAAGATTTTGATGAATTATTAAATTGCAGATTCTTAGTAAATCCTGAGTCTGATGGATTCATTTTAGATGCTCACATAGTGGAGGTACAAGGACAGGTTTGCTTTATTGCACATAACCCAATAGAGGTAAAGAGAAACGTCTCAAAATGCTGAAAAACTGAAACACTAAAGCAGGAACAGCGGTCCCATATAGTCTACAAAATACTGAAAGACACTTAAGATACCTGAACGCAACTCCATTCATTCTGAGAAATGGCAAAACAACCAAGAAAACGACTTAGAATAAGAAAGCTCTTTAAAAAAAAAAAAAGGTACAATATGTAGAATTTTATTACAATGATAACATTAAAATAAATAAAAACTTACATAACCTATGTTGTTGTTGTTTTCTGTTAAGTACTTACATGAAGTCAAATATTTCCAACAGTTATCAAAGAATTTATCATCTTGTCGTGGCAGCCGCCATGACAGACACCACAAGTTTATCGTTGCCGTGGAAACACTGGATGTAACATTAAAGACATATGGAAGAAGGAACTGCTACTGGAAGCTGCCGTACTGTCGCTGAATGAGCTGCTGTGATAAAAAACATCATGAAAATTATACTCAGACACGTTTTCACTGATGTGTGTTGGGGGGTCGCAGAGAGAACTCCCATGATTCCCCACCAGCCCTGATGTATCGTTTGTTAATGTATTGAACGAGCGCCTCCTGGTGGCGGGATCGACATACTGTTCCTTTAAGGGACCCAATTTAAAGATTCTCATTAGTAATTGTTTGGTTAATATTTTTTTAGGGCTTATTCAAGCCAATATAAACCAAATCAATTCTGTAAAAACCAAAAACAACACGGGGCCTTTGAAGCACGGAAATTAACATTTTTGTGAGGCTATTATTAGAGCAGAGCGCCGAATAAAACCGTTTGTGCCGCTACAACAAGCTCTTCATTGCTTTAGACAAGAGGGTGCTTGACAGAATCCACACTACAACACGGCTCATCCTAAAATATATCTCCTTCATGGTTAAAAATAACAACAGCTCACCAAGGTGGGTGACATGCCATCACAACAGAGAAGTACCCCCAAAGGTCTCTTTAAGACAGCTTTAGTACTCAAATCTGAGACTGAAATGTAGCTCAACTAAATCTCATTAAAGCTGTCACATGCGACAGTTTAGCTTGTCATTATGAGAATTAGATTGGAGACCTTTAACATAGCGCAGTCTTAAGAAGCTGAAAAGTCAAAGCTAACAGGCGAGCATGTTTGTTCTAAAAAAATAACTGTTTTTTACATAAGAGGGTTTCAACTTTCTCTCTGTGGGAGAAGATTCAGGGTCCCTCAGACCAGGCTGAACCGCGATAAACAATCATTTGTGCCGATGACCATAAATATTCTGAATAAGAGGTAATGTAGGAAGTGCCAAGCTGCCGTGCAATATGTCAATATGTTTTAATTCTCTTGTTACTGCAGGACCGAGTCCAAGACAACTTTCCATTCGGGGACAATGATGTATTTCTTATCTTATCTATATACAGATTGAGACCCCGACTTGTGCTCCGGCGCGACCCCTAGTGTCCTCGCCTGAAGCAGTGGAGCCGGAACGTTAGTACTGCAGTGGTTCCCTCTACAAGAGTTTAAAGGGATTTTCTCTGGATTTGTATTAGTGAAAATAAATATGAGAATAAGATTTCTGTCTTATAAAAGGAGATGATACTTCCACATTTTTAAATCATCTCGAATACCACTTTTTATGATTTTGAAATAAACACGAGGTATTTGTGCCCTAATGAAAGGATAAGCGCTCAGTGGAGACATCCGTCATCCTAATTCTGTCTCTACGCCCGACTGACTCAGTTACATAACCTACCCTATGGCCCTTACTCGCCACCGCGACCAAAACAGCATTTCCCATTCAACAGACCGAGGCTGTGGGGATGTGAGCTACATGTAGCGACGACGCAGATACTACCCTACCCTACCACATCATGGCTCTTCTGGCCCCCCACAACTCAACTGAGTACTAGGCTCACTGTCAGCAAGAGCCATGACATCATTGGGGTTGTCAAGAGTCCAGTATGTCCCAAGACACCCTGGGAAGGCCAGGCAGCTAGCTCCAGCGTCCCAGAGTCACCCCCCTCCCTGACCCAGGCTCTGTTGATGCGAGCTCCAGGTAGTGACAACGCTGATACTACCTTCCCTACCACATGGTCCCGTTTGTTAAAGCATGAATAAATGCAATAACAGGAAGAAAAAAATCATGTTAGGCTACACCATGCTCACAAATATTATTTCCAGAAGTAATCTATTATTTTAAAAGAAAAAGAAAAAGAGGAGAGACTGCAGTTCCACTATTTGATTTCCTCAACATGTCTTAGTTGGTGTATTACTAATCATCAAAACTAATTGATGATGATGTCTGATTTAAAAAGTAGCACGGGCAAATTATTCTGCAGCTCATTTCAAAATGCATTCGCCCTTCAAATTCTACATCTCTGTTTAGAACAATACGTGTAGACGAGGATGTGTTTCGTTACATAACAACAAACATGAAAAATAATGAAGGCTGTGCTATAATTAGCGAGTGCAAGGTGCCGAGCGCTCAGCTGTGACCGTGAGGTCTGCTTGAATTCAGGGCACGGAGCGACCGAGGTGGCAGGTTCAACTGAGGTGGCAGCAATGATGATGAATGTTTATTAGACCAATAATCAAACTGTGAGATTGAATGTGACTGTCCAATTCTATTATTATTATATATTTTATTCAGTTGTGTCCTGAGTCGAGGCTTGCAGGCAGACTTTACTCTCCGTGTAAAAAACCTGCCGACTTCACTAAAGGCAGACTGCAACCTTTGTGTCAACAATCAACTGCAACGGGACAAAAACAAGTCAAATTTCTTGTACAGGTGTATAAACACATTTTAAATTAATGTTATATCATGTCAGTTAGTTCTATGCCTTACATACCAGGACCATTAAAAACCTGAAATATTACCTGGCTGGCTGAACTTGTTGGAGGCCTCACCTGGGAGCCTCAGTTCAGGGCTAAATGGTCGACAATTTAGGTCATTAGATTTGGATGATAACATATTAACCTGCAAGAGAGGAGCTTGATTTAGACCAATGAGGTGTTGGCCAATCCAGAAAACTTTTGGACCAAGTTTCAACAGCTTAGAAGCGACATTACGCTGAAACCTCAACAGACAGCAGGTGACGTTATGAAGTTTAGATTTGCTCTAAATTATAAAGTACGGAAGAGAATTATGGCCAAACATGAGAGATTTTTTTTCCATTATGCACAGCGAGAATAAAGCCGAAATTTCAACTTTTTTTTTACATTAATTGTGACATTGAGAGTTTTCTGGACATTTCCAAAATAGTATTTAAATATTACTCCCGACATTTTTGTGCATGATATTCTGACTTTTTTCCCCTTTAATATTTAAACTTTTTGAGCCGCTGGTGGCGCGGTGGATGGCGCGCGCCCCATGTGTGGAGGCTGTCGTCTCAGGCGGGCGGGCGGGCGGGCGTCCCGGGTTCGTGTCCCACCTGTGGCTTCTTTCCCACGTGTCGTTCCCCGCTCTCTCTCCCTGATTTCCGACTCTGTCCACTGTCCTATCTATCCACTGAGGGCACAAAAAAGCCCCAAAAATAAAGAAATCTTTAATGAATAAATAAAATAAAATAAATATTTCAATTTATTTCTCGACATTTCACATTTTTTCCTCGATATGTCGACTTTATTATTGACTGTTATCAAGTGCTTCTAAGTGCAGCTGAAAGGCAGTCAGCTGAGAGAGAGAGAAGTGCCCAGATTTGTTTTTTAAGGTTGAATTGGAAAATGATTTTCGCCAATTATCAAAAAATAACTGGACAGGTTTGCAGCTCTTTCTGGACTTTATTATTGACTGTTTCTTCTTTTTTCCTCTATATTTTGACTGCATCCTTTTTTTTTCTTTCTTGAAGTGAGTATTAAAGCCAAATCTTCCTCCTCTCTCATTATTTATTTCTCGTGTTTGGCCCTAATCCTCTTCCGTAATAAGGTGCCGGTGTTTTGGGGGGATAACGGGTCCGGTAATGCTGAAGGAGGAGTGACGCGTGATCATCGTCTGTTTGTCCTTGTGGACCTCTAATCCTTCTGCTAATCTCCCGGCACATGGAGTAACACTTTCTATTCAACAGTCTCTCATTCATAACTACAATGTCTAGAGTGAAATAAATCTAATTGAACCAACTCGCTTTCCGTCATGTTTGATTTTAAGTGATTTCTGCAGCTTTCTTAGTCTGTCACGATGGTGTTACGTAGATTACAGCTGACCTTTCAGTTTTAAGACCCATGTTACACAGAGCCACTAAAAAGGATGTATTTAAACCCGAGACAACATGTTAAATCAGTATAAACACATCAGAGACATCAGGACTTTAAAGCTGATCAGATGTGGCCTGAAAACCTTTTGCAGCGTGAACACAAACATCAACCAAAATGCGTTTAAAAATTCAATAAATCTTCTGAATCTTAAACATACATGTGCATACACAAACCAAAATTATAGTCATGATTCCCCCGTACCTAAACTATAATTCGGCATACAAAAAAACACAAAAAACATGAAGCCTACATGTCAGCAGCATCACATGTGCACATTATTTTGCTCACAGCTCGTCGCCACCGCCCTTAAATTTTCTTTGTGTTTCACCAAAAGAAACCTCCTATTTATGATATCCTCACACATCTCAATTTAAAGTGCATTCTCGCGTCTTCTTGGCTGTTTTTTAATAGTTATATTGTTTCTGGTTACGGTGGTTTACGCTGCCTTTGTTGGGGGGGGAAAGTGAAGCTTAAATTGAGAGTTTATTGAATGGAGTTCGGCGAGCGTTGCCATGACAGCTACTTACGGTTAGCTAACCTGAAGCTAGCTGATTAAGAGCATCGAAATGGCTTTTACTTACCGTGTGTAAACTGAGCAGTGTGTATATCGCTGTGAGGTTAGTTGGATCATAGAGGCATCCGGTTTAACGCCTTAAATCTCAGGTTAAAGTCTTGTCCCAGCCCCGGTGAAGAGGCAGCCTGTTGTAGCCGCCGGGTCGCTTCTTCTTCTTCTTCTTCTTCTTCTTCGGGTAACGGTTCGCTCCTCCAGAGGACATGCGCTGTGATTGGCTGGTTTCCTCCTTCCAGGAAATGAAGACTGAAAGGATGATGCTTTCAAGGTTTCGTCCAAAATCCGCCTTTCAAGCACTTCAGCTAATAATAAGAAGTCACTTTAATTTTTTTAATTTTTTTTTTTTTTTTTAAAGAATCAGTCACCGCAGTATGGAAGAAGTTTATGGCCGGGCATGAGAAATAAATAATTATTGAAGGAAGTTTTTTTAAATTATTATTAAATGGAAACATCAGGAATACAATTGAAATTATTGAAATTATAAGTCAAAATGAAGCGGTATATTTGAGACCAACAGAAATGGATATGTGCTAAAAGCTGAGACGTTTAAAAATATGAAGTTTTCAGAATTGTGAGAATAGTTTAATGTTTTGTGTATTAAGTAAAAACTGTAATTGATGATCCACATGTGGGGACACAAATGACAATTTGAACTGCAAAAGGAAAACTGTTTTTATTATTTATTTCTCCACATTATAGAAAGTAACTCACCAACATTTAAATGACAAAAAAAAAAAAGTCTGATTCTTAACGGCAACAGTAGTACAAAGAAATCACCGACAGTAACAGTTGTGCGTGTTCACTCTGAGTTAATGCTACATGTTAAAAAAACGTTACAGAATAGGGTTTATTTCTCACAGTAGATGAAACAATTACTCTCATATAAAGCTGAGTGTTGATTTTTCCTTTTAGTATCCCAAATGGTCCCTTTAAATGTACCTGCAGCTGGGTAGATGAGGAGACTCTGCACAGACTGAGTGCACACTGGCTACACACGTCATCCCAAAGATTTCATGAATTACACATTAAAGTACCGTCAGTGCCATCATCTCGATGATATCATCTTAATACCCATCTCCCTTTTCTCATTCACCCATTGGCTCACACTGACAGGTTTGTTTCCCATCACAGACGAGCTTAAAATCTCACACATCATCGTAAACCAGGTTAATACAGTGTTTCTAGAAACTGTTCATAGACTCTTAAATCTCTTTGATAGGACATACATGTGAAACAACAAGGATCGGTGAGTTAGCATGAGGAGAAGCAGCATCATGATATAACTTTATGACTCAGTTATATTCTCCCAACTTTACTAACATCCCTTTTTTTTTTAAAGGAGAGGAAAAAGGAAATCCACTGATTCCAGGAAGGTAAAATGCTGGTATCTAACATTTATTACTCCAAAGGTGTGTTTATATTTGAGCGACCAACCCACAGCACACAGATCTATCTGCCCAGTACGGTGGCCAGCAGGGCCATTCGGATGTACATGCCGTTCTCTGCCTGACGGAAATATGCAGCCCGGGGGTCGGTGTCCACCTCCGCACTGAAAGAGAGAACGGGAAATATATTAGTTTGAGTTTGTGCAACTTGTGCTGTAGTAGCAGAGAGAACTCCCATGATTCCCCGCAAGCCTCGATGTCCTCTTTTGTTATTGTACTATGATTGGAGCCCCCTGGTGGCGGACTCTACATATTGTATCTTTAATTACGGTATTACATTTTTTATGTTACATTTTTGGGCAACATTTGCCTTTATTGGATAGGACAGCTGAAAAGACAGGAAACGCTGGGAGGAGAGAGCGAGGGATGACATGCAGCAAAGGGTAATTGGCTGGATTTGACAGCCGTTGTACATTGGGTGCGCGACTGTGCGTCATAACCATTAGGCTATTCAGCGCCCACTTTAATATGTTTTAATAGCATCGGTCTTGAAAAGTAGGATAGGGGAGATGGGAAAGAGAAGGATAGGGACAAACAGAGGGTGGGGTGGGGGGTGGGTCTCCATAGCAGCAGGCTGAAGAAGACCGTGTGATGAAAGATGATGTGAAAGCTCCAAGAAAAACTGTGTAAAAAACATTTTTAATACGTTTCATCGGCTTCAGTTTCTGAGCTCAAGAATGAACTTCAGAAGTCTTGTGGCGCGCTTATATTTCAGACGATGCAGAATCGTGTCCGATGTTTGGTCCTGTGTTGCACGTCATGCATCGATCTCGTTCTTTGGATGACAATAAACGCATTACGGCTGCATTCAAGAACTCATCGAGGGAGGACAAACACTTGAACGCATCCACAAATGTTTGAGAAGAATTTTGCCTCCCAACTTTTTCCAAGGAAGGACTCTTTAGCGAAGGTGAAAGCACGGGGAGAACCTGTTGATCAGGTGAGTACAAACTACAGCGCTGGTTGTTCTTTACCTGATTTCATTGACTCTGGGCAGCGGATGCATCACCACCATCTTCTTTTTGGCCACAGTCATGATGTGAGGGGTGAGGATGAACTGGCCGAAACACTAAAGAGGAGACACAGAGATGACTTCAGTCAAACAGTCACAGATGCAAAAGAGTCGATCATTCAGAGAGCGCTGAACTTTCTAATTCCATGTTACAAAATTAATAATTTAAACGTCTTGTTTTTATGACTTATTTTTGATTTGTAAGTGTGCTGTATTCGCCTGAACACACCACTTCCATAAAAGTATCACACTGAGATGAACCCAGACACACAAGACTACATCTCTGTGGACTACTGAGCAGAGGATGAAATAAAACAAAGAGTTAACTCACAGCATCGTACTCCTCCTCAGAGGCAAACCTCTCCTTCTGGATCCTCGTCATGTAGAGGACGTCCGTCTCAGGCAGAGCTTCCTCGATGCTGTCAAACTCCTCCTGCTTGATGCCCTTTGAGGCCACGTAGCTGATGATCTCTGCCGGCATGTGGAGGTTCTTGGGAGCCACGTAGCGCAGTGTGATGCGGTACTGAGTCAGCAGTTTTGCGAGGGAATGAACCGTGCGGCCGTGCTTCAGATCCCCGACCATAGTTATCTAAAAGTGAGAGAGATTTATAGAGGTGTTTTGTCAGAGCAGACCTGCTGATACTGAGGTGTAGAATAAAGCAGAGAAGGTAAGATTATGAAATAAGAACGAGTTGACATATAAACAAACTGTCTTCTCTTTCACTCACCGTCATGCCGTTGACCGTCCCCAGCTCCTCCCTGATGGTGAAGACGTCCAGCAGAGCCTGGGTCGGATGCTCCCCCACGCCGTCTCCAGCGTTAATCACCGGTTTACGGCAGTGACGAGATGCACTCTGAGGGACAGAGGGAGAGAGAGGCCGGTTAAAAAAAGAGCAGTAGTAAAAGTCAAAGGTCACACATTCTGAAAAATCCAATTCACCATGTGTTTCAAACACTAATATGTGTCTCCAGTCTGTCTACAAACCCCCCAATCATAAGAAAAGTCCATCCTCTCCGTCTTTTCCCTGCTCTACTTTTCAGAAAATGTGTGCTCAAACAGGCCGTTTGGAGATTTTCCCTTCATGACATCACAAAGGGCAGTAGCCCCTCCCCCAGGTGGGTGACACCCCACAGCTAGGTGTTTGTTCTGCCCTCTGAGTCTGCCTTCTCACCGTAGCGAGAAAGACCGAGTATACCCAAACCCTGCCAGAGAGGGGGCGTGGTCAGACACAGCTCATCTACATATTTAAAGGTACAGACACAGAAACAGCCTGTTCTGAGCAGGGCTGAAATAGAGGGGTTTATAGACATGATCAAATACAGGATCAGAGTGGATTTAGAACAAGACACTTCACACACATGTTTTGAGGAGCTCTGAGACTTATTTAAACTGGTTGAAAAGGAGGAATATGTGACCTTTAAGACAAACATACATGTAACATTACACACGAACCACACATGTTTTATTCAACATCACCACCAGGGGGCAGCAGAGGTTTAAAAAAAAATCCACAATAGGTTTAAACTGAACAAATTTAAAATTCTGCAACAATAGAAATATTTAAGAACTTTTCTTCTTAAGATCAGAAAGAAACTTGACTTAAGGTCACTTTTTTTTAAAAGAAGCTTTAGAGTAGAGCTGGTAGTTCAGTTCAGGTCAAATCTCTGAAGCATGTCAATGATTTAACAAATGCCACTACATGAAATGATTTTCTAAAGAGTGACAAGATATCCAAACATGCTGGAGGTCAGCAGCAGAATTTATAAACAGCTGTTTTGTACAGCTACGCAACCTTTGCCTTAGAAAATGAAGCAACCTGAGCCTCGTGCTGTCACACTTCTGCTGCATCCAACAACAATTCAATGTCAGATTATTAATTTAAAATAAAACAGCAGGAAGTGACAAAGAGGGTTGCAGTGTGATTTTAACAGTAACTTATTCTGTTTTACGTGTGATTTGATTGTGATGTGAGGATTTCTGAGCCTGTAATGCAGGCAGATTTCCATCACAATAAAGGGTAGTCTTATCTTAAGTAGGTGATGGACAAAATAACCATACATCAATATATCATCGCCTTGACTGGTGTGATGCTATAATCAAACCACAGCACTAACAGATTTCCCTGCCTTGATGCGTTGCTACTCCACAGGCCAGAGCCCAACATTTCAATATGTTGAGGGTAAAGTTGGCACTCGTGTAGTCAATATTATTCCTCGTTGACCTCGTTCACAACTGTTTGTCTATTTGCTCTTTCCTGCACGTCGTCCCCCTCTCTCTCCTCCCTACATTTTCTGTCTCTCTTCGGCTGTCCTCTCCAACTGAGGCAAAAGTAGCCAATAAGAAATATCTACAAAAGGCGCTCGATCTTACAAAACAGTTCAGAATAAACTCACCTCCACGGCTCCAGGAGTTGGATGTCGGAGGACGAGGACGTCGGCGTAGCAGCTCATGGTCTGGACGGAGTCGGCCAGAGACTCTCCTTTCTGTGTGGACGAGGTGGACTCGCTGAAGTGGACGACGGAGCCGCCCAGACGCTGCATGGCCGCCACGAAGGAGCTGCTGGTGCGCGTGCTGACCTCGTAGAACATGGACGCCATGATTTTACCCTGGAGGGTCAGAAGTAAGAGATCAGTTTTTTTATTTTTTATTCAGCTTGATCTAAAAATACTTTTCAGGGGAAGGAAACCCACCTTCAGGATGTCCAGGCTTCGCTCCTTCTGAACCATCAGACGTAGAGTGTGGGCGACGTTGAAAAGGTGAGACATCTGAAACAAACACAAACTGAATCATTGAAAAAAACTGTTTATGTGTAGCCTGCTTTGTTCATGGGAGTGTTTGTTGGGTGTACCTGTTCTTTGCTGAACTGTCTGACCGACAGGATGTGCTGTCCCACCAGAAGGTGCAGCAGAGGCGAGGTCTGAAAGTGGGACGCCTGTCCGGCAGGAGTCTGCCCTGGTCCAGCCTGAGGGGAGAGCAGCCTGGACAGAGGAGGAGGGTGGCTGTAACCTTCACCTGCACCAGACGGTGGGAACATAACCATCTCTGCACGGAGACAAAATGAATGACTTAAATACTAAAAATCTGTTTGAAAAAAGTCCCACAAAACAACATTTACAAATCTGCAGAGAGGTTTTCGTCTGAGCCTGTTGTGCACTGAAGAGTGGCATTATGGGAGTTGTAGTACCTGGGGGTAGGCCCGGGTCAGAGGAGCGGTGGATGCGAGGGGGCAGCAGGTAGCAGCTCTCTCTTGCTGATCGTCGGGGGCTGGGTGCTCGTGTCCGGACCGGGCCTTCCCGTGGAGGAGTGGGACGTGGGTGCTCTGGAGTCTTAACAAAAAAAAAAAAGGGACACAAACTTAAAATCACCCAGATGTGACACAGCACCATCTTTCATTTTCTTCTTTAAATCTGCACACAGACGGGCGTTAGCTGTATTTTTTTAATTAAATTCTTCCGTTTACATTTCTGTTATTTTCTGTTGGATTATTATTTTTTAATACCACTGGACATTCTTTCACCGCTTCAGCAGGATGGACCGAAGCTGTGGGCCAAGTTTTCACGTCTTCACCGTAACCTGGAGGTACCAACACCTGAGAGAGAGAGAGAGACAGAGAGAGAGAGAGAGAGAGAGAGAGAGAGAGAGAGAGAGAGAGACAGAGAGAGACAGAGAGAGAGAGAGGAAGAAAAAAAAAGATAAATGATAAAGAAGTAAACTCTCACCATGAGACATAAACCAAAAGACTTCTACAGCCATGTTGTCCATGAGCAGAGGGACACTTCAACAAATGAATCGTGTGTGTGCGTGTGTGTGTGTGTCTGTGTGTGTCTGTGTGTCTGTGTGTGTGTGTGTGTGTGTGTGTGTGTGTGATTGCTGACCTGGCCGTCGATGTAAGCCACCTCTCCTCGCAGGACCACACGGCGGACTTTACCCTTCACCTTCAGACCCTGGAAAGGAGTCCACTTGGACTTAGTGAACTGCATCGCCTGAGGAATCACCCACTCCTGCTCGAGGTCAACCTGAAGGACGAATAAAAAAAGTGATTTGAAAGTTAAAAAACCTGTGAGAGCTTTTTCAAATCCCCCAAAAAAAATCAATTTGAAGACGGTTCATCGGGAGAGTGTTTGCACGCCTGTACCTCCACATAGGTGTTGTCCTGGGCGGGCAGGTTAAAGATCCTGCGTGGGTTGTCATAGAGACGTCTGATGATGTCATCCAGAGTTAGGCGCCCGTCGCTGACGGCGGTCAGCAGCAGCGGCAGCATCGTCTCCAGGCCGGGGTAACCAGGAGGAGGACGCTCGCTGTTCTTCTCCTCGACGGAGTGAGGAGCTGAAAAAACACAAAAACACTTCATGTGACCCTCGATTCAGCGGACAGATTCATCCTCAGGTTTCTTTTCTCAAAGAGACGCACATTCTTCCTTTAATGTCAATTTCTGGTCTTATTTTATTATCTCATGCTAAGGTGCACCCCAGATGTGTTTTTTTTTTGTTCTCTTTGTGCGTCTCCTCTTGTCCTTTATAAAACTAGAAAACTAAATAAATACGTTTTTAAAAGGCTCAGAGCGTGTGGTTACTGACCGTGATCTGTGGCAAAGCAGTCGATGATGTCCAGGTTTTCCCACAGAGCCTCCATGTCCTCGCGTGCTCCCAGCATGGGTCGGACCTGCGCTCGTCCATCGCCGATATCGGGCACGTTGTCCTCACAGAGGAAGAGGTGATGAGGCGCCACCTCACATGTGACCTGGATGCCCTTCTGCTTCGCCGCCCGAATAATCAGGATCTAAAAAAAAAAAGAAGAGTTAAGTTAAGAAAAACTCAAGATGACATTCATGCATCCAAGGTTTAAGGTATTGAAAAAGCATCTTGCAGCATTATTCTTCTTTTTATTTGTAGTGTAGAGCTGAAAATCTGTGTATCATTTAAATTCAACAAAAGTTATGAAATCTTGTAGATCAAATAAAAACTGTTTTACCTCCTCCTTCTTGGCCACGTGGCAGATGTGGACCGGCCGCTGGTAGAGCTGAGCCACCATCAGGATCGCTGCGACCGTCTGCTTCTCAGCGTGAGCGACGATCGGCATCTGTTTGGGCCACTTCTCAAAGTGCTTCATACAGAAACAAGAGCATGTTAGCTTAGTGTGGACAGAGATTTATTCTTTGCACTCGTCATCTGCAAAACAAATTATGAGAACAGCTATGAAGGGAAGCAATATGTAACTCTGACACCTAGTGTTTAAAATGGGTACTGTAGTCCAAATCCAAAACATTAGAGAGAGCTGTCTCCCCTCTGCCTCCTCCTCTCTAAAGTGGAGGTGCGCACAAGTTGCCACTTTTGGGACGCTGAAGCTTCAGTGTTTAGCCAGCCGGAAAAATTGACTCCTTCTTATTCTTCCGATTTTGAGGTGATTTATTATCACTACAGTTCTAGAAAACCAGTTTTTAGACAAATTCAGCTCTGGGTTTAAGTCGCAATGGTTTCTCACTTTAGTCTCGATTATCATTTTATATGATGAATGTTAGAGTGAGCCAACAACCACTTCACTCGATGTGATGGCCGTATGACACATGAAGGACTTAAACTACAAAAAAAAAAAAACATCCAACTGGTTTGGTACAGAAGTAAGAATAAGTTGTGAGTGATCCTACCTCCATCCAGAGGGAGACGTTGTCCATCTTCAGGGTGGAGTACGTGTCGTTCAGGTACATCTTCAGACCAGCAGCCTGGTTAGCGATGGACGGCAGGATGGCGGCGTTGTCTGAAGCTGCACCCACATACAGGGCGTAGTCGCACCGGCAGCCTTCTTTGGCCAGCTGTGGATTAAACAAGACAAAGGATTAAACCCCGCCGGAGCCTGAGTTTCAACAACTCAGTGGAAAAATTTGTTTTGGTTTTACAAACTTGATGGAACATCAAAGAAAACCCGGGTCTACCTTCTGTACAAGAGCCAGGGTGCTGGGGTCGGTGATAGCGGGGGAAGTGTTGGGCATGGCACACACCATGGTCACTCCTCCTGCCAGAGCAGCCGCCGTACCCGAGGAGAAGTCCTCCTTGTGTGTGGCTCCAGGCTCCCGCAGGTGGACATGCACGTCGATCAGTCCTAACAACCAGTAAGAAAACTGGGTTTAAGTTTTCACATGATTACATGCACGTAAGTATTGAACTAAAACCCTTTATCCTCGTCAGACTATCGACTCTCTGCAAAAGAGCTGAAAACTTGCACAATGGCGACCAAAATCCACCACTTCTCCATTAGTCGTTTAAGAGTAACTGAACCTCCAGATTCCTTTTTTTTTTGGTTAGACACTGATCTATATGTTTTTTTAATTTATCTATTGGCTGATCTGGAGGCAGGGGACGTATTCGATGCCAGCGTTCAACACCAAACGCTGTAAAAAAAAATTGACAGAATTGTGCAGATTGATTATAATTGAAATCTTAATGAGTTAAAATATGGCGGTTGTAAGGTGCAAAAACAGGGGGCAGCGTCTACCAATCAGAGACGTCCCCCATTCCCTTCCTGCCCCCTCCTGTCCTCGGCATCGGCAGACTCAGCACTCGCTGCCTGTGCTAACGGGTCATACTGTTACAGCTCTGGACCGTCGTTGGTCGTGGCCTACGGGAGACTCAGGAGGAGAGAAGTTCTCGACTTCAGACTACATTTCTGTCACAAAAGATTGCTGTTTCTTGAGTTGTCTAAACTTCCAAATCCCTTTATGCTTGATTGTGTGGGTCGCATAGACTGCCTGATGTTGCTGTTGATGGTTACGGCACAGAGGAGCGAGTGGGCGTGTCCTACAAAGCCCTCGGTCCTGTTTATGTTGATACATTGACTCTCTAAAGGCATTTTTTGAAATTCCTTGTAAGATGCACTTTAGCTGAAACTCTGGGGTTTAATTAATCTTGAAATAACATTTTTAACTTTTAGAATTGAGGAAAGCACTTTTACTTTTTCAGCCACTTTATTTGTTATCAGTGAATTTTCCTCCGAGGAAAAAAGCATCCAAAAACTGATTTTGGTCGGGCTGTTTGTTGTGTTTTCAAGAGTCACAATTTAGTTTTTTTTAATCTTTATCTTTTTTTATCTTCGACATTGTTTTGAAAGATTTCCTGTCGCTGTTTTCAGTGACATCTAATTAGCTTCCTCGCTAAAATGATCCCATATAAGGTAAATTATTACTCAAGGGATGAATAAAGTTACCATTCTGTTCTGCAGCAGAAGAAAAAAATACATGGACTTCAATGAGTCAGAATAAAAACAAATCCTTCAGTGACTCACCGGGCAGACGGACCAGCGTCTGAGACGTCATGCTGTCGATGTGAGTCTTCACTGGAGGTTTCCGACCAATCTGATGAAGAGCCTGAAAAACCGTTTTGCATCTTTGTTAGATTTCATGATACGACTCAAATGCTTCTTCTTCTTTTTTGATGCACTAAGGATTCTTTTCACCTGCACAAAGAGCTTGGTGCACTTGATGTCGATGATGAGTGGCACCGAGTAGTCGATGGCCATGCGCCTCGTGCGGTAGCCTTTGGTGACGAAGGAGGAGAGTCTGCGACCGCCGCTGTTCCTCATGGAGAGGTTGATGACCAGGTCGAAGTGGTTTTCCTCCAGGTAGTTCATGATGCTGCGCTGCTTCTCTTTTGTGGGACCGTCGCTGTCTTCCTCCTCAAACGGCCAATCCACCGCCGTCACCTGGTACAGGAGGAGTCGGAGAGAAGTGGTTAGAAGAGAAAACAAAGGTACGTTTAATTTCTCTTTATGTGACGACAGGTTGGCTTTCTGAGTAGCAGGAGGTATAAAAATCTGTGTTCTATGTTCAAACAACTTAAAAAACAGACTATAGTTACATCAAAGATCCTTTATTCACCTCCACAATAAAAATTGTATTAGTGAAGATGATTATCTTTATGAATCAGTCAATCCAATAAATTGCAATTTCATTTCTCTGCTGTTTTCCGGTGTGATGAAATATACATATACATCTATACATGTACAATATATCTGCATGAGGAACATAATTTTGTCGTCACCTTGACTCCGTGCTCGGTGTAGAAGTCTGCAGTACCCAGACTGGCGTAGAGATCATAACCCAGAGACTCCAGAGTCTGCACAGTGGGGAGCAGCTCGCTCTTGTTCTGTAAAACACACAAGATAGAAAAATTCACATCCTTTGTTTAGTGTCATGTGTGTAATGGGCGTCATGTTTCATTAGAGTAGAAATTATGTATTCCTGGTCTTTAAAATAAACAAATCAAAGTATATTTATCAGACACACACACATATTTGTTAAAAATGTATAACTAATGATGTATTTCCATGTGGTTATCTGTTAACTAAGCTGCAAACATACAGAATGGTAACATGCTGTTTTAGTGCCTTTCCCACAAAGACGTTTGGTTTCATCTGCTCTCATCTCTACCAAATTATCAGCTGTTGTTTTTGAGAAGTACATCCTTCATGAAAAAGAGTGTAATGCCCGTATCTGCACCTTATAGCTGCCGATGGAGAGCAGGATGTTCTTCTGGGGGATCTTGAAGCCCGTGGAGAGCATCGCCTTGAGGTACGCCTCGTATCTGTTCTCCCCAAAACAGGCCACCTCCCCCGTGCTGGTCATCTCCACCCCGAGCACCACGTCGGCTCCGGCCAGCCGAGAGAAGGAGAACTGAGGAACCTGGAGGTTAGGTGACAAATGTTTAGGAGGAAACACTCTGAACCAAAACTGCACTGAAATGATAACTTCATGTTTTAGTGGAAAAAGGAGTTTTGCTTCTTTTACCTTGACGCCGACAATCCCTTTCCCTCTCATTAGGCCCAGAGGCTCCACCTCCTCGCCTACGATGACCTGAGTTGCCAGGGAAACCAGGTCCACGCCCAGAGTCTTTGACACGAAGGGGAAGGAGCGGGAGACTCGGACGTTGCACTCGATCACCTTCAGCTGGTCATCCTGGAGGAGGACAAAAAAGACGACAGCGTTAAAAACTAAAAGAGATGCCCGTTTAAATAAATACGCTCTTATTCTGAAAGGGAGTGTTTTAATCTCTAACACTCACTCTACAGATTTGAACAAAGAGAATCTGATCATACGTTTCTCTAAAATAATTAAAAAGTGTTTGGTCGTATCTCAGAGGCTTTCCATACACTGATGCATTTCATGTCTAAAACGGCCGACATGTCTCTAATCTGTGTTCAACATGAAGCTCTGCAGACAGACTCGTTACCTTAGCGATCAGCTGCAGGTTAAACGGTCCGGTGACCTGCAGCTCCTGACCGATGGCGTGGACGATCATCTTTATCCTCTCCATCGTCTTCTGGTTGAGATCCTGCGGCGGTGTGACCAGCGTCGCGTCGCCCGAGTGAACGCCGGCGTTCTCCACGTGCTCGGACACGGCGATGGCCAACACCATCCCGTCACAGGCGACGGCGTCCACGTCTATCTCCTGAATAATGCACACACACACACACAAAAAACATTAAAGACAGAATCCACACAGTCACAAAGACGCGGAGAAGAGGCTGACGAGTGGATCTTTGTCTCACCTTGGCCTCCTGTATAAACTTAGAGATGACGACAGGATATTCTTTGGACACGGCGACAGCGCTGGTCAGGTACTTCTCCAGATCGCTGTCGCTGTAGGCCACGTTCATGGCCGCTCCGCTGAGAACATAAGAGGGACGAACCAGGCAGGGGTAACCCACCGTCTCACAGAACTTCACAGCAGACTGGAGGGGGAAGAAGAAACGGACGATACATGAAAAACTCAGAAATACTTCCCGGCAGAAAAACACTTTTTGACCAATAGCTGACTAATGGACTCAGATGCTCCCCTTGTGGACATGTTTTACATCATAATAACTTGATTCTGACATCTTTTGAAAACATTTTTTGGTCTGTCGTACCTCCGTGTCCGAGAGCTCCTTCCACTGCGGCTGGCTGATCCCGATGGTGTCGAGCATCCGGGAGAACTTGAACCTGTTCTCCGCAGAGTCGATGAACTCCGGGGAGGTGCCGAGGATGCGGCACTGCTGACGATGCAGCGACATGGCGATGTTGTTGGGCAGCTGACCTCCCATAGAGAGGATGACGCCGTCGGGGTTTTCTCTCTCATAGATATCCATCACCACCTGAGAAACATTCAGGACCAATCATCAACCTCAGAGACGCTGTTGGTGTCACGATTAACAGGATTTTGAACTTGAATATCACACTGGTAAAGAGTGAATATCAACACATGTTTCCATATCACTAGAACAAAACAAGGTGTGATACTTGCATTTAACAACAATCGTGCTCAGTCTGTAAGGACTCGGGTTGGGGGGGGGGGGGGGGCGCTGGTGGCGCAGTGGTTGGAGTATGGAGGCCCAGGTTCAAATCCGACCTGTGGCTCCTTTCCCACGTCTTATCTCTCCATTAAAGGCATGACGAAAATATTCTTTGACGAAGGTCTTTTTAAATTAGTCAACTATGACGAGATTGATTTGATAAATAATATTACTTCATCGTCTAATTGACGAAAATGTGACGAAACGAAAACTACAATACAAGTGACGATTATCACGCTTCCCCCTCAGCTGTTCTAAAATCATTGTAAACCATAGCAGACTTCATCAAAGGTGTGTGGTGTGTGTGTGTGTGTGTGTGTGTGTGTGTGTGTGTGTGTGTGTGTGGTCAACTATGACGAGATTGATTTGATAATAATATTACTTCATCGTCTAATTGACGAAAATGTGACGAAACGATAACTACAATACAAGTGACGATTATCAGTTTCCCCCTCAGCTGTTCTAAAATCATTGTAAACCATAGCAGACTTCATCAAAGGTGTGTGTGTGTGTGTGTGTGTGTGTGTGTGTGTGTGTGGTGAGTACAACAATGTGCAGCTGGAGTGCAGGTCCATGAAGCCGCCCTGGAGCTTCTGATAATCAAAATAAAGCTTGCGTCTGATTTTGTTGACTAAAATATTTCTATTGTCGTCACTAAAATGATGTGCAATTTTAGTCAGTGACTAATTGACTAAATTAAATCAATAAAAATGACTAATATCTGACTAAATATAAAGACATTTTCATCAGGAGAGTATGACTATGACTAAATAGAAAATGGTGTGAAGATTAACACTGGTTGAAAATAGAAACAGGGCGTCAGCGTTCAAACGGCACACCACCTCGCACTGCGTCGCTCACAGGCCGTTGGGACACTCCAATAGGTTAGACAAAGCTCTTTTTGTCGCTGTGTTTAAGGGTATAGTCATGATTAACGACTTGTCTTACCTCAAAGAGATCTCATCAAAGTAGAGGCGGTCACACATGTCGTAGTCGGTGCTGACCGTCTCTGGGTTGTAGTTCACCATGATGGTCTTGTACCCCATCTAGAGGTAAGAGAATAAATACTGATTTAATATCTCTGGATGGACTGACTGTCAGGGACTTAAAGGGTTAAGCATCATCTCATCTTAAGGTCCGACATGATGTAACAACCGTTCAGTTGTTCAGCAGCATCATGAGGTCACGCTTCACTCACCCTCCTGAGCTCCGTGATACACCCGACAGCGCACCAGTCGAACTCCACGCTGCTGCCGATGCGA